ATACAGGGTGAGTCACGCTAAACGGGATGGAGAATTGTATACCTACGTAAGGTTAGACTGGGGCAAATGTAAAAATGGGGTAAATGTAATATTTTTGCCTATTAAACACATTTTAGGATTTAATTTGTACTATTCAAATTTTATACACAACCGATTTGCCCTAGTCTACCTTACACCATTTTTTTATACTTATTACAATCCTCCGCGTCTCTTTGAGCATGATTCACCCTGTATATTAGCTTAAACAACTTAATGTGAGAATTCCCCAAAAAATTATCATCAACGTAAATTTATTTATATTTCTCTTATAATAAAGAAAAGTTACCGCATCTTGAAAAATGTAACAAGCAACCTGTAAAGTAACCCTTTTATGCAAATTCCCGAAACCCTCATGAATTTCCTAAACACCATACCCCTTGCAGACGGTGTTTACCGGGGCGGCGCGAGAATTTCCCCGGCGAAAAGAAAATTTCCGCTGATGTACAAAGTATAATTAAAACGCAATTAAACGAGGACCGTGAAAATTCGAAAGGAGAGCGTGTAAAAATGGCGAGTCGCGACTCGCGAATTAATTCGATTTAATCGCCGTTTTACGGCCGGCGGCGCTTCGGTTTTCGGGGAATCCCCGGCGGATTGCGATCTCGCTGAACTCCGCCGGATTAAAGTTGAAACGTTAAAAGATACACAAAAGTCGCGACAATGTTGCAAGGGATTTCGGGCGGTTTGGATATTATGCAACTCTAGACATTCGCCTTGCATTGTTTGGAAGTTTTTTAATGGAGTTTTGAATGTTTTATCGAGATTTCAGACTGTTTCAACACGTCTTTACATACAGTGAGGACCGAAAGTCCGTCGCCCCCCCTTTAACATTTGAATGGTAAGAGCCTTTGTTGCGCAATTTGGGGTGTTCATATTGAAGTAAAAATACTATTTTTTGACGTAAAAATGACAGTTGAAACTTTCAAAATGACAGTTAGGCGCCATTTTGAATCTTTTTTTCTTATGAAAAGGGGGGTCAAGAGACACCTCGTTTTAAAGGTAATTTTATTCCTAAGTCAACCCCCAAATTTAAAACCATTTTAATAACGCTTATTCACGTGAAGACCAATTTAGTTTTAACCCCCGGACATATTGAAACATTTAAGAATTAATTCTGAACGTACTATAAAATGTGTCAATTAATTGTTGCTATGGTTTCTTGGCTCTGACATTTATATGTCAAATTTAAAGTTGATGAATTTGACATTTTTTTCGTTTAAAGGACGAGCCATTGTCAATTTTTCCTATAGTAAATAGTAATTTCAATTTTTTCATTAATTTAGCTGTGATTTTCGCTATCATGAACGTCGATAATTTTTTGTACATTGTATTTTTATTTACCTATTAATTTTTATCAGAAATAGCCGCTCCCCTATACACACAACATTCGATCATAAATGAAATTTCACCCCTCAGTTCTCGATAATTTCAGTACCTATCGCTGAAAAAATGTTATACGTGGAATATCCAGTTCATGAACTTCCTTTCCTGCGCCTACGGAGCGGAACGGTTTCCTCCAAGTCCGAGCATGGGAATGCTGAAGGTATTTCGGTCGGTATGCGATGATAAGTGAAGTGTACAAATTATCATAAAAAAGGCCATTTGAATAATTACCTTTGAATAATTAGGCACCTAATTCGATTGCGTGTAATTGTTGTTTTCATCGAGCGAATGGTAATGATTTTTTCCACAAATCCCTTGCCCTTTGAGTAAATAAAAACAATTACCATTACAATTTTATAGTGTAGGAGTATAATAACTATTTATTTTAAAAGCTCCTTAATCGTAAAACCAAATAGCGCCGGTGGAACAATTTTAAGCCCGTAGCTATTTGAGTGAAGTAAGAAATATATATTTCATAGACGATCGTAAAATTTTATGCACAGAGTAGATACTTAATTTAGTGAGGAAAGTCACCTTGTCGATGTCTGTGAGATACTAAAACGTTTTCCATCCATTATGAACAAAGGAAATCGCTGGTATAATATGTAAACTGAACTTTCTATTTTTGAGGATAGTGCGAAATAAAAATAGGTTTTATAATCTGAAAAGTTATGCGTAGATCAAACAATTTCACTATATGCAAATGTAAACATGTGCTTAAATAAGAACATGCCTCGGACGTATAGTATACCTATATTGAAAGAAATTTAAAAATAGTATACTATTTCTAGTCATAATTCGACATGGCATAAAAAACGCCTAGCGCCGACTTCAAAGGTACCGGTGCACATGGACGTACCGTTTTTAGTATCAAAATTAAATAGATTAAAGTATTAATTGGGTAATATTTAATGTACTCACTTTGTCAGTGAAATTTTATGTCAAATAAATTTTATAAGTTAAAATTAATAATTTTAAAAACAAGTAAAGTTTAACCAAGGCTTTGAGAAATCGCGAAAAATTTTCAAACCGCGCGAGCCACTGATCTAAGACAAACAAACTGAAGAGCGAGATTAATTAGATGAATATTTGGTGATTTACGACCGCGAGCCAGCTGCCAGTCCGAAATCGCGTGATCGCACAGTTGTAGAATTAATATCAACTATTGGTGAGTTGATGTTTAAAACTTAAGTGAGCCACATCAGCGCGGCTCAGCGGCTATACCGGGGCGATTCGCGCTTATTGGCAATGCGAGAGTATGGGTTTCTTAGCATTCTCGGCGCTTATAACGCGATTTATTTCGCGTCCCCGGTACAACGGTCCAAATCGGATTAATATTAGAATCACTATAATTTCAAATATTTTAATTCTTAAGAGTTACGATGCAAACGATGTAAATATTTACTATTTACGCTTACACAATACTTTAAAAGTCGTGATAAATGCAAAAATTAATTTCCTGCAACTAATTTGTTGAAACCTCCAATGAAACGTGCCTTATGCAAATAATGCTTCCTCAAGTCAAAACCCATCAATGAAATTATTTTATCTAATAATTATTAGGTATAAAATGTTTTCAAAATATGTATTCCAATGAGAAAGAGCTATATTTGTGAATTATTACATTTTATTTGGAACAGGTTAGAATATTACAGTGACCTTGGCCTATTTTCACGAAAATCCCGGATATCCTTAAATTTTGTAGAGTTGTAGGTATAAAAAGAATTTTCTGTATTACCTGAACAAGTTTTATTGGTTAATTGTTAAAGATATATTTATTGTCTAACAATTAAGAGTAAAATGTGCTGATCAGATTATAATTATTATCGTAATTATTGTACTTAATTTAGGACACTCTGTACACTCCAAATATTGAAATTAAAGGTACGTTTTATAGCATGTTGAGGCATAAAATCAATACAGGGTGAGTCACGTTGGGATCATTGATTTCCTTTTTCTGCTTTTTTAATTGACAGTTTGAGAAAATCTTCAAATTTTGGTCAAAATTTCAAAATTGCGTATTTGTTATCTCAAAAATGCCAATTAGCATAAAGAGCAACAATAATTCTGCATTATTAGCATAATGCGACATACATATATTTTGATTTAAATTTCGTATAAACAGTAAATGAGTGTAATTTATAAACACCTATTTTTTTTAATAATACCTGACAACTTGTAAAAAATTTTAAAAAAACTTAACAAACCTTAAGCCGCGCTTAAAAAACGAATCCTGAACGGGCACGAGCGCACACACTTCGATATCGCGAATAAAAAAATACAGCAAACAACACACAAAGCACCAACGCAACAGCAGTAGCAGCAGCAGCACGATAAAAAAAAAGGAAGAAGAGCAAAAACCGCACGATTTGAAAAACTCGACGCAAACAAACTCGGCTCGGCTTTATCCGCGCGACACTTCGCAGTCCCGTCAACGAACAGATCGGCCGCAGCGATTGCGAGCCTGTGCATTATTCCCGCTCGCCTTTTGTCTTCCTACTGAATTCCGAATCGGCATTCGAATTGAATCGTCGTCGGGCGGAATTCGAGTTTAACTGAACTGATCGAGCGAGCGAACGAGCGAACGGGCGTTTTTTTTTCCGGAATCCTTCCGTCGTTTCCACGTCGGTTTTTCTCACACACACACAGAGAGAGCGCCTTGCGAGCCGATTGTTTTGCTCGCGCGCCCGTATCGCCGGTTTCCGTCGGACTTTTGTTGTGCTCGCTCGTTCGCTTCTGATACGGTAGAACGGCCCCACCGATGGGAGGTTTGCTGGAACGACCCGGAGGGGCGACAGCCAACACCTTCCTGCGAAAGGTTACTCATAGCAATCTATAGACCATTCATCAGTCTACAGACAATTCATCAGTCTGTAGAGCAATCATCAGTCTACAGACAATTCATCAGTCTGTAGAGCAATCATCAGTCTACAGACAATTCATCAGTCTTTAGTGCAATCATCAGTCTACAGACAATTCATCAGTCTGTAGAGCAAACATCAGTCTACAGACAATTTATCAGTCTATAGTCACTTCATCAGTATATAGACAATTCATCAGTCTATAGACAATTCATCAGTCTATAGACAATTCATCAGTCTATACACAATTCATCAGTTCTCTAGGCAATTCATCAGACTATAGATTATTATCCACAGACAATTCACCAGTCTGTATGCGAACAATTCATCAGTTTGTATATGAACAATTTATCAGTACATGGAGTTGGTTGTTGGTCTATACACAATTTATCAGTCTGTAGATAATTCAGCAGTCTGTATATGGACAATTCATCAGTCTGTATACAGGGACAATTCATTAGTAAGTATATGGGGAATTAAGTCTTCGGTCTATGGGCAATTCATCAGTTCTGTAGATAATTCATCAGTCTCTAGTCTCTACAAATAAATGATCATTTCTTAAACAATTCGTGAGCCTAAAGTAGATACTTCGTCTCATTCAAAGGGATGGTTAGACCCTTTAGATAACCTTTAATATGTTAATGTTTTTATTATTTTTATAGTTCTTTTGTGCATTAGACAGGGTTTGTTTCTTATTTTTTCATTATTATTTTGTAGCTCTGTTATTTTTTAAATAAATAAATAAACAGCATATCAAATTTTAGAGGAACCAAATATTTTTTTACAATTGCCCCATATGTTTTTCTATATAATTGTATTGCACTTTAGAACCGTTTGTTACATTTACCCCGTACCATGGGGTAAATGTAACATATTGTCAACATTTTAAAAAATATGTAAAATCGTTTTCTTCCTTTTTCAAAAAAACTTTTTAATACCTCGATTCTTTAGTTTAGGAAGTTGTGAATTTAATGTGGTATTAGCACTTCTAATAAGAGAAAAAATAAAGCCACATTTTAGGATTTAATTTGAACTATTCAAATTTTACAACCGATTTGCCCCAGTCTACCTTAGCCAATTTTATAAGGCTCCCACAAAGTGAGTCCCTAATTTTTATAAACTAGAGAGCTATAAAGGGTTGGTAACACCCTGTACAATGGTTTACTTATAAGTAAAAAATTCACGCCTCATGCATACTTGGGCACATTTGTAATACCTGTGCGAGTTTTCATTTCTACCACCATATTTCTCTTTCCGCCTTCGGGGTCTTTTCGCAGTGAATACACACTTAATAAGTGTGCGCTTGATACAACAAAGAGAACAGATTAACCTTTTAAAAAGAAAACCTTGTTATCTTAGGGCTTCCCTCATCCTTGCGAAAGGCCTTTGTTCTCGCAGTTAAAAAAAGGAATTCTTGGTCAAAATTCCGTGCATTATACTGTATTCCGTGTATAATATGTTAGTAGATTTTTTTTTTCGTTCTGCTTCCTCCACGTCCGGAGTGGAAGCGGTCGGTGGTTAAGGTGCAGTGATATAATAATTAAAATTTGATATCCAAAATAAATATTGCACGAAATTATATCTTGGTTCAACAAGTTTCCAAACTTTTCGATAAATTAGATTATAAAATAATTTCATAGTTTCTAAAACTACTTCAACTAATAAAATATTTTTATCCAATATCACTCAACGCTTATTAAATTCAATATTCCACAGCTTACCTATGACCTCCTCGAAACACCATTAAGCCTTAATAATTCGTTTGCTTTTGAACTTTACTATCAAAGTAATAGCGTTTGTTGCATAAAAATAATTTCACGTTTTTTCAAGAACACTCAGGTGTCGTTTTAAGATTAAAGCGTAGGAATTCGCAGAGGATTTACATACAGGGTGGTGGAAACAACTCGTGTAAAGGATGTAGATAAATCGGACACCATGCGGGTTTAAACAATGGCCTGGCGATTAGAAAACCATGGGAAATTAATATTCAAACAAGATAATCATGGTAAATACATACATACATACCTTCGCATGGAATTATTACGCACTCTTTGAATTCTTTGTATAGTGTAGTAAGTTTATAGAATTTGTTATGCACATAAATGATTCAATACCATCAGAAATAAATTCTTATTATTACATTCCCAGGTCCGTCGCGTTTTCATTTATCCATCCAGAAGCCGTTGAAGGTTTTTTTATATCCAATTTATTCTTCATTTATCATCCTTTATTTCGTTGCGCGACGTATTCTCGATCTTTAGTAACTATTAAAATTGACGACACGCCTGCCGTTTTCGCCTAAATGGTCATAAAACGCGTCCATAGCGATAAATTTTCCGCGAATAATGTAAAAAAAGCCCGCGTAAATTCTCACGATTTATTGGAGTTCTCGCCGATAAGACCGTTTACTGTAACGCGGAATTTCAAAAACGTTTTCAATTAACAAAAGGGTGAGATGTATTTCATGGTATAACAAAAGATTAGAGATAAAAGGCGAAGTAAAATGTACCCACATCACTTCAGGAGTGAAGAGACTTCTTGAAAGATGTGCTTGCATTTTTATAATCTTATTTAATATCAATATATTTTGAGCTGATGTAACAAAATATCATCGATACCAAAACGATCAATCATTTAATTTTTTCATCTTAAATATTAACCACTACTTCAATACGAGGGTTAATCAGTATTTCATCTTACGTATATACCGTTCTAATAGGCAATTATTAAACAGTCCTGGTATAGAAAACGTTCATAAAACGAAGGAGAATCCATCATAATTTCGTAAAGATAAAGGTCATAAGTACTAACGCGAATCGTAATAAAATAAAGAAAATAAAATAAGAAAATATCTCCAAGATTAAACATTAAATCTATACAAGGGTAGAACAATATTTCGTCTTACATATACCCTTCTAATAGGCAATTATTAAACGCTCTTGGTACAGAAAACATACATAAAAGGAAGCAGAATCCAAGATATTTTCGCGAAGATAAAGGGCCCAAGTACTTACAAGGAACATAATACAACAAAGCTCGTTGTTCAATCGCTCGAAACAATGTTTAGGCGTGTTGTTGTTCTTTCGCGCAAGACAATGATCAATTTTTTTCGTTAATGACTGTACTCAAGATTGATCGTAGGTGAGGCGAATGCGTGTTATTTTTCAATGACGAACAAGACGTGAATTTTTTAGCCTTCGCAATGATTTAATAACGAATGTAGGGCGTGAACTTGATTTGAATAAATCAATTAGGCATGTTAATAAACGAACATTATACAGGGTTAATCAAAGTGCTTCAAAATATATAATAACATATTTTATTTGTTTTTTTTGTGACTGTAGGGATCATATTCTTAAGATCTTCTAATTATCTAGATACTAGAGTGAATTATATAACTAATAGAGTCAATTATCAACCCAGCAGTACAGCTTGATCTATGTAAGAGAGTAAATTGTTCAATAAGCGAGTCAATAGTCTATCTAACAATAAGAGAGTCAATTACCTTTACCCAGAAGAGCAATATCCATCTAATAGAGTCAATGATTTAACTATAAGAGAGCCAATTATCTAACTAAAAGAGCCAAATATCCAACGAAGAGAGCCAAATATTCAACTAAGCGAGCCAAATATCCAACTAAGAGAGCCAATTTTCTAATTAATTATCACCCAACCGATTTTTGAATCGTGAAAAATAACTAATAAATATCATAAACAGTGGGAAATAAGAAATGTTTCTTCTCATTTGCTTACAATAACGGCGCGTTGTGAAAAAAACCTTCGAATATTCCGGAGTCGCTGTAATTACTCGCAAACGAGAGACGTTGAAGATATTTTTATGGAAATTAAATTCAGATAAAATATTGCACAAAGGATATCATTAGGAAGCCGTGAGAAGATTATTAAGAATTTCCTTTGTTTGGAGCGCTAGAAGGAATTTAGAAAACGCGAATGACGCAAAATGGAGGGTTCAGCTGCTCTTGTCGTGTTTCGTCCTTTTTGACTCACCCTTATTATAATTGTTTGTGGTTAAAAAGAGAAAAGTTAAAAGTGAATCGACTTCGTAGGGTCTCCGGCTTTTATCGGCGTGTTTTTGTACGGGGTTAATTAGTTATTTCGTTGTAGTATTGGTTGTAGAAGTATTGGTAGCAGTATTCGTCCATGAGGTCCTTACAGACGACATTTTGCGAATTCTCTCCACGGCCCTCGACGATTTCAGTCTGTCGAAGTGCTTCTTTTTGCACAGGAATATCAGAAAGATAAATACACCTGAAAACTAGGATGTTTGCCAGTCCTAAAAACAGTTATTTGTTCTCGCTTACCCTGCAGGCAATTTATGAAATCCCATACGATTTCCACGACAGCCGTAACGTTGTGTTGGTTGAAATCGTAGAAGGACGACACCACTTCGAACAGATATAATATCCCCATTGTAAACGATAATTTTATAATCAAGCCGAACCTGAAATATAAAAACTAATTAAATTGCGCTCACGTTGTAATCCCGCATATAAATCGTCCTTTCTAGCGATTTTATTTCGAGCAGGATTTTAAGATTAGGTGCATTCGCCCCGCATGCGGTGCAATTAACTTTGTCTCGTGCTTTATTTATATTTGTACGCGAATAAGTGGGACTTTAAGATGCGTTCGATGATACATAAACTGCCAAAATTGACATTAATGACACATCGTATGACAGAAATTTAATAGAGGTGGGAACCAATGTTTGGTATAGAGATGCATTACAGACTGTTACAAAATAAGCGTTATTTTTCACATACCTCTGGCGTTTGACGAAAAATTTCTTCTTCTTTTGCAACGTAGCCGGAGTTTCCACCATTGCCCTGATTTCCTTCTTCACTTGCATGATGTAATTTACCGTCCTAGCGAAATAAATGGTATTAACGATTTGGATAATCGTCAAAGGGATCGCTCTGAACAATATCTCGGAGTAGTTTCCTGAAAATTAATTTCATTTCATGTATGATTTTCGTGAAACATCAAACTTATACCTTTTTCTATGGCACACTTCGTAACCCCTATATTAATCTTAATGGAATTGGGCAATATATCCGTTTTATGCAGCGTCACTAGCAAAGCAGTGTATAAAAATGGTAAGCCCCAGCCGTAAGAAGAATAAATCAGGAACTTCTTGAGATCCCTTTTTTGTTTTTCGGATATATCTAAATGTATACTCGTCTTCCTGCAAAAGTAATCGAGATTTTTCATCAGCATCCCAACAAAAGCTCGTACGAGAATAACTCACCCGAAAGTTGCATTTATGTCGTAACACATCACTTGAAGCCAACAGAAACAGCTAAAACCGAGGTAAATTACCAGGAATCCTAAAAATAATATTCCTTTTAGCAAAACTAGGACGTGTACCTATTACAAAATTATCTACAGGGAGTTTTTTTAATAGCATGCTAACACTGAAGAGGATGTTTCTTGGTCCCATTTTAAAAAAATATTTTTATTTCAAGAGAAAGCAGTGAAAAAGTGCTTTTTAGGTCAAAAAATGCACTTCAATGCATAAACTCTGTACACCAAATTTCATAAAAATATTTAAAGTTGTATGGAAGTGACAGTAAATAATTGATTTTTTTCTTAAAACTTTAGCACAAAAGTTAAGACGTTTAGGACATAGGTTCATGAAATGAACGGAAATATAGGAAAGGAAGGGTAATATAATAATAATAAATTGGTTAGAGTCCTTACCGAATATCTTGCACAAATTCCTTGTACTGCTGAAATGCAAATTCGCGCTGAACGCGAGGTAAACCAGAAACAAGTAGAGCAGTAAAAGCGACAGGCAGAAAGACACCAACGTTTTCCCGAAGACGTTCTTCGCCTGGCCGAAGGCGATGTAGAAGAAAACGGTGGAAATCAGGAAACAGCAGGAAACGATCATAGCGGCCCTGTTCCAGAGGAACTTCCGGCGAATGGGCGGCGTTTTGCGCAGGAACCCGAAGTACCCGAACCCTTTAATGACGTTGGGTTTCTCAGCGTGCTCGATGCAATAGGGTTGCTCCGGGTGGAAATATATTTCATCGGTTTGGCTGTTGTGGAAATCCCCTTTCTCGTCCAGGAAGAATGTAGAAATGTTCCGTTTCAGGGAGACTTTCGGGGATTTTCCATGGACCACAGCGATACCACCTGGAACGAAATCCCCATTTTCATTAAAAAATCGTTCAAATTGGGACGAGTAACTTAGGGAGTGCAGTGAATAACATCCGAGTTGGGAACTTTAACACACCTACCGCTGGTTTTTCCCACAAATCCGCGGAAATGGACCAATTCCAGGCCGTGTACGAAAGTGTCCCTGCATTGGGAACCGCCGACGAAACTCCTGCCGTCCTCGCAGCATTTCCTGATGCACTTCAAACTTTCGCACACGCTCCAATTTCCACAGGCCCTTTTCACGTATTTCCCGTCGACCGTTCGGTCCAAACAAAACTGGGTTTTCGGCGTTCGAGTCGAGTAATCCGGGAAAATCCCGGTCGATTTTCGATGGCCGAATTCCGACAGTTTTTCCGCTAACTCGTCCGTTATTATTTCGCACTGAGGCAGGCCGATTTTCCTTACGATGCTCTCCTTATCGAATTCGTTGGGGAGATTTGTCTTATCGCAGGCTCGCTTGGTGGTGTTGTAGAGGTGGAAATTCGGGCAGCATTTCGTGGGCACCTCGATTTCCTCCAGTTTGGTGAAAGTATTATTATTTTTTCCGAAAATCGTTACTTTATTCTGGAAAACATCCACGCACTTCGTGAAATTGTCCCCGAGGAAAGGGGTGTTGATGCGAATTATTTCGGCGATCCCCGTGTGGTTGCTGCACGAAAAACTCCCGTTTGGGAAATCGGTGATGGAGTTTTCGCAGCATTTGTTCGTGACTGATGCGTCTAATTGATCGTCGATAATTATAATTAGCAAAATTTTGAGTAAATATCCACGCATTTTCGCGATGGCGTGGCGATTATGGCTTGGCTGCGACTAAACAAAAATGATTAAAAAACTTCAATGTTGGTGGAAGCTTTATTAAATATGCAATTGAGGTGGACATAAATTCACTAGGAATATAAAAGCTCACTTTCTTTAACTGGATTTTAATCTAACAGAAGAAAAAGAAATAATTAAAGTGCGGTTTAATTCTGGCAATGATACACTTTTGGAGTTAAATAAAGTGGGTTCAAAATTAGAATTTTGAATTTTGTCCTTTTGAATATTAAACTTGCGCCACTGTGCATGGTAAATTCACAGTTGAGAACTGTAAATCAACTGTCTTTATGTTTATTTATTCTCGTCAAATATGTTATTTATCGTTTATATTACAAATAAGATAACATATTGCTATTCACAATTTCTAAAATTTCCCAAGAAATTTCTATCCGGTACTGCCAAGTTTCTATTTTGAGCAATTTTATATTATAAACCACTCCATTGTAATACGAATTACAACTCAATAGGCCAGAGCATTATTTTAAACAGGAAAAATTTATCGTTTTAATCCAAACTATTATGATAATCCATTAGAATACGAAATGCGTCAAACTGGTTGCCTATCACACAGGTTAATAACACTTTGAAGGAAATTAAGGTAATAAAGTGATAAAATATAAATTATGCTTTCTAATCCTAACATTTCAATCAACTTTTATTAAATATTATTAATTATCAAAAAAAAATTGCCAAATATTTGCCAAATTATAATTGTCAAGTTGGCAACGCTGGAGATAATGATGTGCAAATTTCTTCAGCTTTTAAAATCATATGTTCCGTGAACCCGTAACATGAATCATTTGTTCATACAAACGCGCGCGTGTTTAATTTCGAAATTCCTATTTTATCAAAAAATAAACGAAAGAACAGTTGCAATCGATTGGCTATGTTTGTAAAAAAATCAGCAACTCCCAGTTTTCTTATTTTTTGTTAAAAATATTTATTGCATCATCTTTTCGAAATTGTTTAAATTCGACCACGTATTCTTGTGTATTTGAATTGTTTAAACTATTTTTGTCAGATTAAAGATAAATCAACAATTTTCGAGTATTAACAGTGACTGGAATTGAAGCAGTGAAAATGTAAGTGAAAACTAAAAACTAATATAATTTAATATTAACAAATAAGTTTAAGATTTTATTGAAGAATTACCTACTAAGATGATATAGTGATTTCTGAGTTCAAGTTCCAGTTTATTAATTTTCCTTTTCTCTGATGTAACTTCTTTTTATCAATAGAATTGTTTTGTAGATACCATTTTATGTTAAACCTTATAATTGCTCTTCCAATTTTAATGTACAGGTTCTTAAGAGTACCTTAGGTATGCAAGATACAAGCATTTTTAATCTTATTTTCTTTCTACACATTATTTTTTATTTCCAATTATTTACCTTGACACACGTGTTTCCTAAATTCTCTAGCCTTATAAAAATTTATAAAATTGCATTTCCTTTACACTGCTATTAATAAGCAGTTAATACGCATCAGTAAATCTAAATAATTAGAGCACCATTTGTTAATCCCATGATCCCCATATGTCATCACATGTCACTGATGACAGTGACGAGATTGCTCTGTTTACTTATAATAAACTCTACAATTAGTTTGTTGAATAGTTACAGGTGCAGGACAATCTAAAAATAAATCGAGACCTTATACAAAATGCAATAGACACAAGTGTTATCTTCTAATTAGTCTGTGTATTTGTATAAGAATATTTTAATATTGGAATATTGGGGTAAAAAGGATTTGCAAACTTTGAAAGAAATTGTTAATTCTTGGCGTTGTTTAAAAAAGCAGTGATATGAAGAAATTTACACTGTAAGTAGAGTAGAATAGTGTAGAGTTAGAGTAATCAGGAGAACGAATTAGAAAAATAACGCTTCTTTTGTAACAGTCGTTACTGTACCTCTATACCAAAAAATATTGTTCGCACCTCTATCAAACTCCTGTCATACGGATTGTCATTAATGTCAATTTTAACAGTTTTATTTTTTATATACATAGAAAAGGAAATAATATAGTTTATATACCATCGAACGCTATTCGCGTACAATGCAAAAAAAATCGTTATTGTAGTTGTTGTAATTTTTTGGGTACTTTGCATCCAATTTACATCAGTTTATTCCATTGTAGATTGCATATCTCCGCAATTCCCTAATATTTCATATACACCTGGCTCCATTTCCGATTGCAACATGGTCATTTCTATGAGTGGAACAAAGAAAGATTATTAAAATGACAGTTGTCAGAGTGAAAAGTTGCAATGACACAAATGTCACTCTGAACTTTTTCTTTGTAAGTGTCTAATGGAAGTTGTCTTTATCGCACCCATGGCCTATATAACCTATGTTGCAATCAAAAATGGAGCAACCTGTATGAATAAAGGATGTAAACACCCTGTACGTTTGTAATAAACAAGTTTAGACTTGTCGAAACTCGTATCAGCGTTTGAAAGCGTTCATGTGTGAACCTATTATACAAATTACAACAAACGTACACGTATTCGGGTATTTCCCGCTCGTCTACCTGTCGCCTTGAAAGAGATTTCGCTTCGCGGAACTTTCGAATCGAACCGGCAAAGCAAAGTCCAATCCATTGCCGGCGAATCGGAATGTTTGCCAGCGATGTTAATTATTCGATTAAAAACGCCGAATTACGTAATGTAACAATTAAAGAAAATTGTAGGGAAGAATTAATTAACGCCGAGATTCTCGGAATGTGTAAATTGTAGCGCTTTTGCCGGTTTTATGTTGTTTGTTTTGTGTCCATGATACGCCACCGGCTGGTCATTCAACTGTTTAAGGATTTTTTTAATGAGAAATCGTTGTACAGTGTTGCCGATAGTTTGAGATTTTTGGTATTACGGTGCTGGTTGTGATAAAAATGGTATTTTATTAAGTAAATATGAAATAATTTTGGAGAAATTTGATAATAAAATAATAAATTTGAAGTGGAGAAAAAATAATTGAATACATATTGTACGTACTTAAATGCAAAAAGAACAACTTTCATTTTTATAGATACCTACATAACTTGATAACTTATCTTGATGACATGATTTTGTAATTTTTGATAAAAACAAATAAAATTATTTTCTGCTTACATAAGAAATTCTCGGAATGTATGAAAAAAACATATAATTACGATATGTAAAAAACGCTAATTACAAAATGCAATTTGAAACTTTTGAAATTGAAAATGGAATAGCATTAAAATAACAGAAACTATAAAAAGAAAAAATCATATCTATTCAAAAAAACTTCCAGAAATCAAACATACCCTTTTCAAAACCAAATTAATCAAGATAAATAGAAAATATAGGACCACATATTTTCCAAAGAAAATTTAAGACAATCTCGGAAACTACATCAAATGAATCATCGAATTTCATTATACCACGCAAAAAAATTCCTCGAATACAGGAATTTCACCCCAACCAGGCAACATTGCAAACAAACAAAAAATAAAGAATCCCACTCGGCTGCGGTGCCTCTCGAATTTCGATGATTCACAGAAATCACGAGGTGGGAATCTTGTGATACACCAAGAGCCCTCATTGGCCGAAATATCGTCCACGACCTACCAACACCTCCCTATGGAAACGAAACGAGTGCGACGAGCCCCGCGCGATATCCACCTCCTCGTCGAGCCCACGCCGTGCAAGCGTGTTCTTGACGTCACTGCGCCCAGACGCCTTCTTGATCCTGCGAATTGCCAACCGCGGTGTAGATCATTTACTGACATTGAAGGAAAAGGACGTGCGTTTTGATCTAATTTTTTGCGCTCTCAACCGAGTGGAATTTCCTGCATTTTGATTTTATTGCGGCCCATTTGATCGTGTACACCGGTGTTTGGTGTTTGTACGACTCAGTTGATCGTATTTGTTTGGTAAAAAGTTGCCGAATCATCCATAGTTGCGAAGAGGTGTAACTTCAGTGCGCCAACTTTTGAGTAAGATTTTTTTCGATTTTTTGGCTGTTGTTTTGGGATAAATCGCTTTTATGTTGGTCTAGTATGCCGTGGAAAATGATGCGAATCGAGTTGGCCGGCGAATTTTGGAATTTTTGGAAATTGCGTAATATTTTGCAATAATTATTTTTTTTTGTAATTAAGCGATTTTGATGTGGTTTCGAGGGAACTTTGTTGTTTTATGTATGATATTAAAATTTTTTGTAATAGTTTTTTATTAAATTGCTCTGTTTTGTACGAGTTTAAGGTATGAGGTTAATTTATGACGTCATGGACTTTGACTGTGGTGCACAAAGTAAAAGTCAAAAAGGGGTCTAAATATTATCTTCTTCTTCTTTTTTCTTTTATTGGGCTGAGTCTACAGACTATTTACCCAGTCTAAATATGATTTTTTTACTCGTACTACACTCATTTTTATAATTATCTGTAACAAAAGGAAACAAAAAAGCATTTATTAAGCATAATTACATTGCATTTAACAGCCGTTTCATTTTTGCTTTGTCATGCAATAGCAACAGATAAAGAAATATAAAAATTACTTAGGAATTTATTAAATCCTATTGACGTGTGCGTTTGATGTTGCGCCGTTATTATCTTTTTCCTGATAACTTAATTAGAATTATTATGTGTTGTGTATTAAGTAAATAGTAATTAAGTCGAAAATGAGTGCTATAGTATTACTGATGTGGGTACAAAAACCTCAAGGTCAAACCATAGGAATCGATAATCCTAATAAAACGAATGTAATACTTTACTAGTATTACATGAAATGTAGAATGTAATATGTCCAGAGTGCAAAACATGCGTTTCTCGGAATTTTGATCTATTTTTATCGTTTTTCCACTTTTTCCACGTCATTAATTAAGTGGTATTGTGTGGAACTTTGTATTCAACCTAAAAGTATAATTGGTGTACAACAGTCACACAAATTAAAGTATTGTTTAAATAAAATTGTAGAGGAAAGTAATCGTTGTACTGATAAAACAAAAATATAAATAAATCCTTCATAGACATTCCTTATACAATTTAATTCATTATTTCTGAGCGACCAGTATTGATTTGACCATAATTGTTATTGTGGGCGTAATGATTACTAATAAAAAGTAAATCGATATAAAATTAGTAGAAATTACTGGCCTACTTTTAACCATAAGATATACAAGTAGGTAAGTTACTCAGTAACTGATAATTTTGTACAAAACAGTGCTCTAAATTGGGAGAGTGATAATGAAAATACAAAAATAGGCCAACCAACCAGTATTAAGCAATGAGATATGATAAAAAATTATGGAGGTGGGTATAGCTTATATTTTGGACCTGATTCGTGTCTCAGCTTATTCCTGTTTCATAAGATCTGTTGTAAAATCGTGAGAGTTCATCATTGCTTGATGATCCTTCTTTTAATCAAGTTTTAGTGGTTCCTGAACTGATTTCATGATCCTGAGATCCTCCTAAATTTCTAACACTAGTAATAGGTTTTGTGCTATAGTTAAACTATTATTTTATGCTTAAATTATTAATATAATAACGGTTAATGTTCTTTACAGGTTGAGTGTTGCATACCCTCAACGTCATTCCTGCTAAGGTTCCTTTGAGTTTCAACATTCTTAAAGAAGGACAAAAAGAATTTCATGTAAGTTAAGCGTTCCTCTTCTTCATTATCCTTCCCTTTGTGTTCATAAATCGCCGTTCACATCACCGCATTTTATAGCAATTTTCGTACTTTGATCAAATTATTTATTGTTAATTATAAATTTAGATTATGTTAGTATTTAAATAGATGTAAATGTTTTATTGATTTTTGTTGTTATCGAATGAATTATTGTTAAATATTGTTCGTGCGACAATGAAAATGAAAATGAAAATTCATCCATTTGTGTGCCGTCTCATTAGAATCGTGCCATTTCCACGATACTACCATTTTGATACGAATTTTTAGTTGGACTTGTAAATGTCTTTCAAAATGCCAAAATGCAATCGTCTTCCCATAGATGGAGGAGGCACTCGTAGCTACCACTACTGGAGAAGTTTGATCGTTTTTCGAATTTTTACTGTCCAGCGTACCTAGTTTTTACACCCAATTTCCAATTTGATTTGACAATGTCTTTATATTTTTCTATGGTAACCATTGATAAGACTGGTATGATTGGGCATTTTGACTGTAAACCTCTTTTGTTCTGTGATCAAAATCTGTTCAAATTTTCTCGAACTGGATTAGTTGCGTAATTTTAAAACAATAATTTGTTTGGATTATCACAATTCTTTCGATTGATGAACTTTCATCTTTTAGATATAAAGTTGCGGATATCGCGTTAAATTTTATTTGTGTAACTAAATGAAGATATCTAGTCGTTGCCTGTTTGAGATAAAATTTATAGCCTTTTTAAAAGCGTGGATTTTTCAATTAACAAAAGAGGTATAAATGCAAAAAATTATATACAAAAAGTAAATTGACAGAATTTTTGTTGCTTTGGACATTTTTTTTACCACATTTTAGTAATCTTTTTTTTTCTTTTTTGTGATTTCTAGGTGACGCCAAAATGAAGAATCGTGTGGTATATTTCAATTATTATCAAACAGTATTTTTTAATATTACTTAAATTAGTCACGTTCATAGATTACAAACTTTATTATATCTATAAAAAACATCTGCTGATTATTGATATAACATTTTACTTACAAGATAAAGCTATTTAGATACACATTTTAAAAAAAGGGATGCAAAATCTCAAAAAAAATATTACTAAAATAAAAATGGCCAAAGCAATTATAGAATGGATCTGCTTATTTTAAATGTGTATGCATTAAAAAACGTTTGCTATCTCAAACAAATCAAATCTTTCACATTTTTTGAGGAAGCAAACGCATTGGAAGGGACAGATGAACAATCTTCTCGAGCTTTCCATTGCATTTAAAACTTTGATTTAACTCGAATCAATAACGAACGTTTGGAAACAATTCCAAGAGATTTTCGTCCCTTCTAACTATAAATTACGCTGTAACATTCCGCGCGTTCTACGATCGCCCTCGCTAATTCTCTTTCCGTTGAACTTATAGTCCTTGTCGAGATGGCCTTCCCAAACGAAGCTGCCCACCTTTGTGGATCCTACCGAGAAATATCTGCTCTCAAAACGACAAGAAATAAACCGACAGCCGGCCGGCGACACCGCCATGGAGAACATGTACTTGCTAGGAAGCGGATCTGCGGATCCGGATTCCTTGGTTTGCGTCAACCCGCACGAGGTCAACCCGCTGGACGGTTCCCGATTGGCCTGTGCAACCCTCACCGCAGACGTACCCCTCAAGGTAACGAAGACCCCGGGCGCAATTTCGTTCAAAAAGTACTAAATTACAGCTCGATTTTTACCCAATTGCAGGTCGAATCCAGCGCCTCATCACAAGGCCCGGACGAAATAAGCTGTGGTGGGTTTTACCAGCCCCAGAAGAAAATCAAATTGGAAATGGAGGAATTCAGCGATCTGTCGCATTTCGTCTTGCCAAAACGAACGAATGCAAACTCTGCGGATGAACTCAATACTCCAATATTTGGTAAGTATTCGTTTCGAATAAGGAAATTTGTCTCTCTGTGGGTGCGATGTTGCGATGGTTCTTGTAATGAACGAATGGAGGTTGTTGGGAGAGGACTATGTCCTATACAGGGTGGCCCAGAAATGTTTTTACTTTGGTAAATAAAGGGGTTTAAAATCGATCGATCTCAGTAGTGGTTCTAAGATCAGCTGCGACTGTTGGTCAAAGATTTGCTGTCAAATCGATCATTCAGGAGCTCTTTCGTGCTGATACCAAAACTGCAGAATTTTTTGTTGCTTCGAAAACGATCCGAATCGAATGATCAATTCGGAAGAAAATTTTTGATCTATAGTCTCAGCTGATTCTAGCAGCTTTTGTTAACCTTGAAAGTGAAAAGAACATTGAATCATTCAATAATGTCAAATTGGTGTAAAGCTAATTCACGTCATTTTCGTTGATTTAAACTTCTACTGGGATTGTTCGATTTTCAACCTCTTTATATACCAAAGAAATAGCTAATTCACGTTTTCTGGTGCAGTTCTGGCATCTCAATTGTCGTTTCCATAAGGCATTCCGGGCCACCTTTGTTACTGTTAAAGCTAACATTCTCTTTGTTTCTAGATAAGGATGCTTTTGATTTCACGAATTACGAGAAAAATGTCCAAGCTGACTTGCACGTCCAACTGAGATACGACGCGACATCCGGTGTAGGCGGCGCTCAAACGTCGAGCGCCGCCGCGCGTCAGCCGCGCCAACTACACAACAACAAGGACGTTTTCTTGCAACCAGATTCAACGCATCATCGAAACGTAACCGCGTTACCATTAGATAGTAGGCATTACGCCGACGCGCCTGCGTACTCGCCGGCCGCGTCGGAAAACGGTACATACAGCGTGTCCCCAACCGATGCCGCAATGCCATTGGCCTACGACATGACTAATAGTGTTAGTGTTAATCTAGATTGTAATAACCAGTACGGACTCATCACTCCCGAAGGGAGCGAGAAATCTTATAATCCCGACGAGGACGCGAAGGATAGAAAGACGTTGTTCAAAGCCCGAACGACGGGAACTCCGAAATTGTCTTTGGACATTAATTTGGGGAATTTGTTCAATACCAACATCTTGGACGTCAGCACTCCGAATTTGATAGCCGAGGTCGTTAATTTGGAAGCCACCGGTTTCAACATTTTGGATCTCGTTAACGAGGTAATTACTACCACATAATATAATTCGTATTTCACCTAAAATTTCTCGTTTTCGCAGGACAACCTCGCCCTCACCAACGACCTCTTCCCGAATTTGTACGCCAGCGATAACCAGGAAGCCCAACCGGCGGCCGGTTTCAAAAAGTTGGCTGTAAAACAGCCGAGGAAACGGCGCTCGAAGAAGTACGAAGACGACGACGACGAGGATTACATACCTCCCGGTAAGAAGGTTTACAAGCGCGCCGAGGAGTACTCGGACTCGGAGAGCGACGATGAAAGAGCCCGGCCCAGGAAGAAGGCCAGAGGAAGGCCGCCGAAGAGAACCGAGTCCTTTTCCTCGGATTGCTCCGTGGGGAGGGACGGCGATGTTTCAAAGTAAGTCTCTATAAACCTTTGCAGTTTTACCTGTGCTGCGCGCGCATACTGTGGATAATTAACTTGACATATAAACGAACAAACGAACGCACCTCAGGTACATTATGGTTCTGACACCAGACAAAGACAACTTAAGACATACTTCAGACGTCATTTGTCATTATCCAATAATCCGTCAGATTTAATTTGTAATGGACTCGATGACTCGATACAAATTTGTCTCATCTACAAATCTCATCTCTCTTGGACTTACCTATGTTTGCGCAGATTTTAAATGGTTCCACAGATTGCGCGTGAAACATATTTGCTTCTTTTATTATGTTGATCTAATAACTCCATCACTCTCTTTCGTAAACTGAATAGGTCTATTAACTATCTATATAAAATGTACAAAATAACTCATTAAATTGTTGGTTTCAGGTACAGGGAATTGAGAGACAAAAACAACGAAGCGTCTCGAAAGTCGAGGTTGAAGAGGAAGATGAAGGAACTGGAAATTGAGAAGGAGAACGAGGAATTGCATAACAAAAACATTAAACTTAAAGCACAAGTGGAAGAACTAGAAAAAATGGTGAATAACTTCAGAGATAATCTGTTTAAAATAATGATTAATAAATAATGATAGTACTGTAAACATAGTTTGTTGCGTACGTTAGGTTAAGTACTAAGGTGTTTAGATATTTTTGTTATATACCTATTAATTTAATTTTAATGGAAATTGGATTTGTGTTCGACTATTTTTGCTAGTTTTTTGTTAATCCCAATGAGATTTTGTAGTGAGTTTTGTTCTATTTTTCACCGGCAGATCTTACATTAAGATCCACTTTGTGTTTTATCCGTACAGTGTCAGAGACTCTTTAGTTTTTTAAGCACTAGCACTATTTTGTATTCTTATATTTTTTATTACTTACAAAAATGTATGTACCTGTAATTATTTACATGATTAAAATTTTGTAGCATTGAAAACGACCGTTTCAATTGTTAGGATGAAGGATGTTTGGTTAGACATTAAATACGTTACATATATATTTTAATAAAAAATAAATAATATTTACTTAGAATGTATTATGATGATAAATAACATCAATTATAAACAAAACATTTATATACAAATTATATTTTCCTTCAAATAATAAATTGAGAAAAAGTAAACTCGATATTTTCTTTTAAAAATCCTAAAATAACCAGAAATATACAGGGTTCTACCGACAGAGGGCGTGTAGAGTAGAGGAGCATTGAACATAATACAAAGTTACTTACATTCCTGAGAAGTAATAGGCCTTCAAATAAGTAAAGTTATTTAAAACCCTCTGTACGACTTAAACTTAAAACAACTAAATTTGTTAGTTAGGACACCCTGTAAATTGTACATACAGGGAGAGTGTGAAGTAATAGGAATTGAATGAATTCATACTCTGAGAAAAAAATGACTCAAGATTTTTTTGTGCCACACGGTATTCGATTTTTTGTTGAAATAAATTTAGCACCAATCAAAAAGGATTCGACTTTTTATACACAACAAATATTTTATGGAAGCGAAATAATTCCAATAAATAATTATCGCGTTACATAAGACTTGAAAAAAATAAAATTATCCTCTTGAATTACCGGTATTTTCATTTCATAACAAACGGATATAAACGCTTAACTTGAGCACGTTTATTACTTACTTTACCTACCAGCAGCAAATTAAAATACCATTACACTGCGTACCAAATATCAGAATTGATATTATATAAAAATAAATACACGTATAATTGCTAATAAAATTATTGTCGAACAGTTAATTTCTATGAAAATATCATCTCAATTTCGCTGAAAATTATCACTTTATTACGCTCCATCTTTTAGAAATCAATCAATTAAAATTAATGGCGAATGCGCAAGGCTTAAAGTATTAGTAACATACAACAAATCCATGTCAATTGCTAGTGAAATAGCTTCAATAATGACCCACATCATAAATTATTTATTACTAATCGCACCTACCTATACAGGTGTTGTAGAAAATGTTATAGATCCCAACTTGAATGCATTAAGGTTTCCAAAATTTGCTCCCTTTTGGAGCTTCGCTTGAAAGAAGCAATCATGTATACAAACAACAATCATCTTAATTTTTAAACGCCTTGTTGAATGGTCGCAAGGAAATAGAAAATAGAGAGTGGTGTGTATAAGTAGCACAAACGAAAAACGTACGCATAATCCGGGCAATAAAGGTCGAAAAATACCGCATAATACAACAGTCATAACACAAACGATAGCGAAAAGGAATTCCGGAGGAATTCGAGAAATAATATTATTTAAATTCGGCCTTTTTTCCGATTAAAGCAATGGTTTCTGTTACTAATTTACCTACAATGTTCGTGTAAATGCCCAAGCTTGCTGATAAAGGTAAGAATTATTATTCAACCAACCAGTAAAATAGTTTCTTTTACAAGCATAACAAATTCGCTTAACAAAATTTGCTTCCTGATATACCTACAGACCGATCAAATTAACTTAGGATTCAATACGCATTAAGTGTCTCTCTCTCCAACAACTCTTTATTACAATAACATCTACTCTCTTAGATGCGCAAACTTGGTTTCAAGCTCATTTCATTGAGCTATACCTCCTGGAATTCTACACAACGCTACTCTATCAACATATCTACTGATTAAGAATTCCTCGTTATCTTAATATTCCACAAACGAAAAATTCCAAACAAAAAAGTGCGCTAAAAAATCGAAAATTTCGAAATCGTGTTCGTGGCGTGAAAAAAGTCGTGTCGGCGTTTAAAGCAGATGACTGGACTAACGTGACAAATCGCTCCAATTTGGCGGAGAATGGTTCTTGGTCTTGTTTGCAGCTCCGGCGGTTCCAGCAGTACCAGCAGTACCAGCGCGTCAATGGGATTGTATCCTTTGGTTTGGCGAAAAAGTTCGCTCGATCCGTTCGCGTTTGGTAAGTATATATGATTGCGTGTGTTCTATTATAAAACGTAAATAAATTCGGCGGGAGTACCATTATGAAAAATTCCGGCGCTTGATGAGCACGGCGTGTTGGTGTGGAAAGGGCAGCCTTGGTTAGTTTTTTTTATTTTTTTTTCTTCGTTATAATTTTATGCTTTTTTAAAGCAATTATGCGCAGTAAGTAGGCGATTATATTTATAAATAGTAACCCTAAATAATTGTGGTGAATTGACAAAGTAACAACGTGGTCTAGGTAATTAATACTTGTAAGTTAGAAACATTATAACTATGTTATAATTATGCCGGGACTTTTGCTAAAGTTGCATAATCCACCCTGTATATTCATTTTCAGTTAATTAAGTTAGTTTTTAGTTAGTTTTCAAGTTAATTTTCTTTTCACTTCGTACCTCAATAATTATTGAATTGTTTCCTACATTTACCATTAGTTGATGGAATTGATGACATTTTCTGGCTGGAAATCAAGGTTTGATTTTTTTGTAGATTTGAATCAAAATATCCATCATAGAAATTTCAATAATTTTTCTCATAACCAACTTATCACATCATGAAACTGAAAGTTAATTGAATAATAAAATTTAAACGATCCTGGAGATTCCACTTATCGAATAATTAAACGATTAAAAATGCTAAATTGGCCTTGAATTGTGATAGTAAATTGGTATATCCGAATACATTTGATCTTTTCTAGTAATTTTTCTTTTTTATTAATCATTTAACTCAATTATTTCTGCATATTTGATTGCATGTCCTCATATTAAGTATACTCAGCTTTCTTTTACTAGACAAGTATATAATTTACTTCGATAATAATAATCCTACTATAATTTTATACTTCAATAGTTTCTTTAACACCTATCGAATGCCAACTTGTTCTTTTATTATTTTAGAAGGGTTTATGTGTAGAAATATAAATTATTTATTAGGAAATTCTGCAATAAACGATACAATATTCTATTCAGTATCTACTATTTGTTGATGTTAAATCAAAGCTTATTGTCCGTTTGCTACAATTAGAACCTTTGTAAATTTTATATAATTTTCAATAATTCATCACATATAAAAAAGCAGAACAATGTTTATTTGTGTGTTTATCATATTTATTTAATTATTTTTGTATAGAGTCAGGTTGAAAAATATTATAGCTATTTTAAGAATCCTCAAGCATCACCTGCAAATAACAATTACAAAAAATTATTACAAGCTATAAAATTATTGTGCAATAAATCACACATATTTTGTAACATAGGTACAGCAAATTATTTTTTTTATGTTAAAATATGATCTATTCATAAAGAGATAATTCCATTTCCTGCTTGAATTTTTTGCCAACTTGATTTGCATTACATAGCTGGGTAAGTACAGTAACAATTATAGCTGGGTAAATACAAGTTTGTGCATAGAATTATAAAATTATGTTGGATGTGTGTTTAGTCTACATATTACGAATCGCTCATGTGAATCGGACTTTTGGATTGCTGTATTTATTAATACGTAGGTAATTATTTACAATTTTCATTTAAATTTTCGTGTACTTACCTCATGGCTGGACTAAACGAGAAACAATACAACAATACGATTGGCTAATTAAATTTTATTGCCGTCGGAAATTTATTAAATTAAATTTTACGTTTAGCTGTTTTGCTTATGAGAGATATTACGAATGAATTAGTGGATAGCGTCTAATAGACATATTAATCAGGTAAATTCCAGGTTCAGTTTGTATGCACTATGCAATGCATCAGTGGAAAAATTTAAATAATTTTTAGTGCAATGATAGGCTCGTATACCAACAGTTTGTGTGTAAACAATACGGCACAAGTAATGATAATAATAATAATAGTAATAATTTGTAAGGCAATATTCTACCCAGGAGGTAATCGTGATTTATCATGTTCAAACAATCGTTATAAACTTTGTATTACCCTGTTTGTAGAATTAAAATTACAGTAATTATCTATTACAGATTCAATACATGAACATTGAAATTTAGTATATCGTATATCGAACGTCGCTCCTCGAACTCATGGAAAAGGTCGAGGAAAAGCGGAGCCCGCTCGAAAAGTCCAATGTTTTTTCGCTTCTAACATTTGGGTAAGCAGTATTTTTCTCTAAAATCTCTTTTATTATTTCTTATTTTAAACGAGTAAAAAAATTATTGCGACATTTAATTTAATTTGATATATCTTCTATTTTGTGTGCTTGCTTAAACAAGTTGGTTTATAATCGAGGAAGAAGGAAAAGTAAGAAAATTATATATTTATTTCTCAGTTCAATAAATGTTGGGCATTCTGAGAAGTTGGGTAGAAACCTGGCTTGTAACTTGTGAATTTTTGTAACGTTTTTTTTGTAGATACGTCTTGGGTTTGTTGAGGAAGGGTTGGAAACGGGATTTAGACGAAGAGGATTTGTACGCTTTACCCAAAAAATGCAAATCGAAATATTACGGTTACCAGGCGATACAACAATGGAAAAAAACGCCGACTCCGTTCAAATTTTTACTGCACAAATTGGGCAAGGTTTACCTGATGTTCTGCTTCGCCCATCTCACATGGACCGAGTTTCGAAGGTACTTAAATTTTTGATAGTCCATGATCTTTTCTGCAGTATATGATATTCTTCTTCTTATTCAACAAATAAGGCCTCAAATGCTGTGGGTAGATGTCATAGATCCTTTTGTTGAGTTTATTAAACATTGCAGGAGAGCTATTTTAAGTTTGGATTATTATCAAAATTCTGTATCAAGTAATTGCTTGGTACTTTTACTGTTATATTCTACCTTCTTGTAGATCTCAATCAGAGGAACCTGGTGGTAGGTACTGATAACTCGATTCTGAAAAAACGAGGGATTAAAACATTCCCTTTACAACTCACTCAAAGGGCTAGTTTTTATTGATCAAATTGCCTTTACTCAGTACAGAGTTTTTGTCAAAAATTCCTGAAATTTCTTGACAATTTTTAAACACTGGATCTATCAATGATCTCGATTAAATGAATCACTCTACATTAACGAATTATTTCCAACTCCCCTTTCATTTCAGTTTCCTTCGGCCATACGGAATAAGCCGGCTGATAACCTACTTCGACAAAAACCAAACGACGATAACCGAAACTGAAGCCTATTACTGCGCCAGCATCGTCATCTTCACGAAATTCTTCCAGTTCTTCTTCATCTCGCACATGCTCGTGCTGGAGCTCAAATTCCTGATTCAACTGAGGGTGTCCCTTCAGACTCTCCTCTACGATAAGATCCTGCGCTTCTCCTCCACCTCGCTGGCGAACTCCAATTCGGGCAATCTGATCACCATCCTGACCAAGGACATCCATTGCATCGAGTCGAATTTGTGGATTTTCAAGGATTTCGCCATCTTCACCGTGCAATCTGTTACTATTTTTTATTTGATTTGGTCGAAAGTTGGCTTGGCCGCGTTTTCGGCTGTGGTTGTTTATTGCATTGCTCTGCCCGTTCAAGGTAGGAGCACATTTAAATGTTTTATACTATCCAATGCAAAGGAATTATATCTAAAGCGATATTTTTAACATTTTTTCAGGATATTTGTGCACCCGGATAGCCAAGTTGAAGCTGAAAGTTTGCAAAAACTCTGACGACAGACTTCAATTGACGCAGGAAGTCCTGTCGGCGATACGAGTAGTGAAAATGTACACATGGGAGAAGTTTTACATCAGGAAGATCACGGATTCAAGGCGGTGAGTGCAATTTGCGCTATTGCTTAATCGAAAACGGTCTAATTGCCAAATTAAATATTTAAATTACTCACTTGTGTCTCATTAAATCGATGTCAAATATTGTTGAAATTTGATATTCCAATAATATTTACCACTCTTTATCGCGAATTAAGGTGTTTTTTGTTGAAACCGCTGATTAATTTACGCACTCATGCATGAGAGGGTGATTCTGCATGAAAAAATAATGATATTTTGTTTTATAAACATATGTCCGCAAATGCTTCGTTTTAGAGATACGGGGTGTTAAAGTTTCTTCACTAGTAGATAAAATGTTTTGAGGAAATGAAAAGTACACGTCAAGATGTTTTATTTTTTTACTCGAAAACAGCGGCCCTTACGAAAAAAGACACAAGAGAATTTTTTTGTCACAAATTGAACGAGGAATTCATTCATAATTGAATTTTCAATAAAAATACCTCAGTGGCGTGACAATATAATTTTTTCCTTTAAAAAAAATGTATTATTACATTCAATTATGAACATAAAATTTTTAATTTTATATCAAAAAATGCGTAATAGTTGCCTCTCAAAACCCATCAAATTTCATTTGAATATCTCGTTCGGTTTCAGAGAAATAAATAAATCTTCGGTTTTTAAGAAGAAACTTTAACACACCGCATCTCGAAAATGTATATAGCAAAATATCATTATTTTTTCATGCAAAATCACCCCCTGAAGTTTGTCGAACTTATTAATTAACACCCTGTATAATAATATAAATTAATATAAGACTTAAACATTAGTTAGAAATATGCATGCAAAAATGTCTTTAAAATGCATTACAATTAGCAAACAATTAGATATTAAAAAACTACACCTTAACTTATAAAATGTAGATAAAAAAATTCCACCAGGTACTAATTTTAATATACTGCTCCGCAAAAGTTAAGGAAGTTGACAAATATTGAGATTAATTTAAAAGTTGCAGGTTTCTTGATCGCCAAATTTATTATGAATTGTAGAGGTAGGGGCAAAAAATCCACTTAGATATAAGCATTATAATATTTAAAAATTTGGTGATCGAAAAGTCTGTAACTTTTAAAATAATCGCAAAATTTGCGAACTTCCTTAACTTTTGTGCAGCAGTTTACTTGCAAGTACAAACAAGCATAATTTACTCGCAGCAAAGAAGTGGCAGCCCTGCTGAAAATGCTCCTGCTCCACTTCGTCCTGGTGGTGATCGGCCTGTTCGTATCCGGCGTGACGTTCCTGGTCCTGATCCTGACCTACATATGGCTGGGCAACGACACCAACACCGAGCTCATCTACTACGTGCTGAGCCTCTTCGGCGAACTCACCATGGCCATGGGCATCATGATACCGATGAACATGAGCCGCACGGCCGAATTCGCCGCCTCTCTCAAGCGAATCGGCCGCGTCCTGGCCGCCGACGAGCTCGCCAAAGTGAAGAACATCTACAGCGAGGCCGGCATCGACGTCAGCAACGTGGCGGTTCGAATCGAAGACAAGACCATCCTCGAGGAGGTCTCGATGAAAATCGCCCGGCCGGGCCTGCACGTCGTCACCGGCTCCGTCGGCACGGGGAAGAGCTCCATCTTCCACGTTCTAATCGGCCTCACCAACTACCAAGAAGGTATATACAAATCTAACCCCTCTTCCAATACCGCGAGTTTAATTTTCTAGGGCATTGTAAGATCGGCGGGAGCATTTCCTACGCCGCGCAGGAACCCTGGCTGTTTCCGTCGTCCATCAAAAACAACATACTATTCGGGGAGAAGTTCAACAAGGAGCGATACGAGCGAGTCCTGAAGGTCTGCGCTTTGGACTACGATCTCTCCTATCTGCAAAACGGCGACGAGACTTTGGTGGCCGAAGGGGGGTTGAATCTGAGCAAAGGCCAGCAGGCCAGGATCAATCTGGCGCGGTGCGTGTACAAGCAGAGCGATATTTACCTCCTGGACGATCCGCTGACTGCGCTCGACGGCAGCGTGCAGGACTACATATTCAACGAATGCCTGTTGAAGTTGCTGCGCGGCAAAATCGTCGTGCTGGTGTCCCAAAACGACAAGCACTTAAAGGAAGCCGATGATGTGTTCACGCTGAAAGCTGGTAAATTGGTGTGCGACGATCGCTCGAAACTGAAGAGCGAGGATGGTGACAAAAGGGACGATTCGATTGGGAATAATGTAGAAAAGAGTGTTTCTATAGAGAAGGAAATTCTAGAAAAAGCGGCGTTGGTGGCTAATGAAAAGCGGTACACGAACGAGAACTTGTTCCGGGAGACCCAACAAACCGGCACAGTCGAACTCGATGTCTATAAATCGTATATAAAGTTTGGGGGAGGCTATTTATTCCTTGCTGGGATATTGTTGCTTAATGGCACGTCGCAAGGGACTCATATACTCAACGAGAAACTGTTCGCAAAGTGGTAAGTAATTAAGATACTCTTTCTCCTTCATTTCTCTACATTCACCATCTGCTATTTTCAGGGTGGACGTACAAAATATCAACATAACATCCGAAAATGGCTCCTTGAAGATGACCTACTTGAATTACTACAGCATCTCATTGATCGGGTCTTCTATAGTTACTTTCATCACCTTGTACACGTTATTGAGATTCGCCCGGAACGCCTCGTTGGCCGTACACACGGCCATGATTTCCAGGATAATCACGGCGATGATGACGTTTTTCGATTCCCATTACTTGGGAAATGTCGTGAACAGATTTTCCTACGATCTGAACATCGTCGACGAAAAGCTACCCTTGATTTTCCTTCATTTATTCAGGGTAAGGACCATAGTTTACTACACTCCTAATAAAAGCAAACTCTATTCATCTGTTATAGAGTTAAAAAGTATAATTTTCAGAGCGGTATATTTCGTTTACTTCTTTTAGGCGATATTCGGTTGTTTGGGAATAATCGTGATAATAATAACGGTAAATTGGATCTTCGTTTTCCCATCGGCTATTTTCTTAACCCTGATACTGCTCTTGCGGTTCTTCTACATCAACACAGGACGTAATTTGAAAAGAAAGGAAGCCATAAGTAAGTTAAACTTCGTTTACAGCTCGTTTAAGTTATCATGGTCATGACGTCACGACCTGCATACGTTAAATACGTACATAATTCACGAATTGTTACAGCGAGAAGTCCGTTAGTAGCGCATTTGAATTGTACCGTGGACGGTTTGTCCACCATTCGGGCATTCGACGCCGAAAAACGCATGGCAGATGAATTTTACCGACATCAAGACCTCTATTCCTCCGCCATTTTCACGATGAGAGTCACCCAGGCCGCTTTCACCTTCTACATGGGCGCTCTGAGCGCCACCTTCACCACCCTGATCATCGCCAAATACTTGTTCTTCAAAGAAGGTAGAAGAGTTCTTTTAGAGACGATCAATACCACTCTGATATATTTTGCTTCTAGAAACCACCGCTGGAAACGTAGGTTTAGTGCTCACCAACATCCTGAGGATATCCGATTTGATCTCTTGGGGTGTGAACGAATGGATCGAACTGGAAACCAACATGACGTCCGTGGAAAGGTGCCTGGAATACACCAAGGTGAACCAGGAGCTCCAGACGGGCAACAAATCCAAAGACTGGCCGAAAGAAGGAGAAATCGCCTTCAAACAAGTCCAATTGAAGTACGGAAGCGACGACGTTTCGATTTTAAAGAACATCAACTTCGTCGTGGAGCCCAAGCAGCACGTGGGTTTGGTAGGCAGGACCGGAGCGGGTAAATCCTCCATTATCTCCACGCTGTTCAGATTGTACGATTTCGAAGGAACCATCGAAATCGACGGCGAGGACACCAAAACAATATCTCTTGATTACCTAAGGTGAGCTCCAGTTCCTCGATATTTCCTTCTCAAAAGTAGTAAACTTCCGCAGGAATAACATCGTGGTGATACCCCAAGACCCGGTCCTCTTCACCGGCACCCTTCGCGAGAACCTCGACCCCGACCGGCGGCACTCCGACGAGGAGATCTGGTCGATACTGAAGAAGCTGCTGATAGAGGGCAGCGTGAAGAGCCTGGACGCGCCGGTGCCGAGTTTCAGCGCGGGAGAGAAGCAGCTGCTGTGCATGGGCCGGGCGGCGCTGAGGAAGTGCAAAATCGTGGTGCTGGACGAGATCACCGCCAACATGGACGCGGAAAACGACGAATTGATCCACTCGCTGGTCGAGCAGGTGTTCGACGGGTGCACGATACTGATGGTAGCGCACAGATTGAATTTCATTTTGGGCTGTGATAGGGTGATTGTGATGGATAAGGGGGAAATCGTCGAATTCGACGAGCCCAAGAGGCTGCTGCAGGACGGGTCGTCGGTTTTTTCGAGAATTTGTGATAAAGCTAAGTCTTAGTGTAAGATGATGAGATGTTTTTTGTATATAAAAATGTATTATTCATTAAAGTGGAGAAAATTTTGTTGGTTCTTTAATCATCTTGTGCTTAAATTTGTAGGCGCTTCTAGAGTGGAATTTAGGTTGTTTATCGGATCGAGTTACGATGTGTTAATTGAATATCGCGTTAAATTTAAATCGGAGATAAATTTTATATTGATTTTACTTACATTTCCTGTAGGTAAATCTCGAATTTCAATTCGAATTTTTTGTTTGACTGAAATAATTTCCGTTTTACACAAACAATACCTATACAATCGTTTGTCAGAAATAAATAAACCTTCAGTTTTTTATCCTTTAGTTTATTTAATTCCGAGTTTACCAATAAGTAATAAAATATTCAATAGAAATACTATAAATAAGTAGAAAAAGTGAGAAAGTATACAGAGAAAAGTGACAAATTTATCGATTCTTATTAAATTTAGCATCATAATCGTCATCATCGGATCTGTAATCTTCCAGTATTTTTTCAAAAATTAATCTCTTATCCATTAGGTAAATTTTGTAGGTCCAAAAAAGGTAAAGAACCATCAATGATCCAAATACAATTACATTTATGTAGTATAAGATCGGTCCAACTATTTCGTAAGAGTACAACATTGATCTAAAAATATGTACTTTTATGCATGAAAACCTATTAAAATGGCCTATTATACGTTTACTTACGGATAAACAATCCACATAGGATACAATATCAATCTCATAATGACCCAAACTATTGAAAATAACACGAAACAAACTTTAGATGGAATGTCATATTTGAGGTATATTAATATTTTTGCCAACTAAAAAATATTCATTTAGTCATAAATAAATTGGAAGTAAATTAATTATCAATTTACCTCCAAGAATATGTCGCTTGGAAACAGTATGAGTATCGTAAAACTAGCCACATGGTATAGATTCATGAAAATTGCTTGGAAGATCAGAAGGATCGCTATAATATGATGGACCATATTTTCGGCAAAGTCTTTCCTTATTTTAGTGGTCAATAATTTTATGATTAACGAAAAAAAGTACGATAAATTCAATACGACGAGGAACCAAACGTCTGTTGTCATCCGATGCTCATGAAAAGTCCTAAAAAATGATGATTACCCTAAGCATATTTTCTGCAGTTTGAATTATTATGCACTAACCAAAAATGGGCATCATCTTTCATCCATGGTTTGTCGTGAAGCACAATTGCAGTGTGCATTACAGCCATTAAATAATAAAATAAATGCCAGCAACTTCTGTTGAAGCGATATATTTTGTTGTTCTGTTATTGGGAAAGACAACTTTTAGTTAAAAACTAGTTTGTCAAAAATATTATATTTGAGCAAAGACAAGTAGAAACTTACTTTATGTGTTAAACCACAACAAATTGCGATTCTTTGGAAGCAATACCTGTAAAATTATTTCACTATTTGTGAATTCTCCTTTAATTCAATAATCCTAGGATTTATTAAAACGTTGCAAGTCTATATTGTACAAATCTTGATGAAACACCCTGTATAGAATTATTAGATTTATGTATTAAAAAATACATACTTACTTTTCTAAAGCATTTCTTACAATCAATAGAAAAAAAACACAAGGCATTGTGTAAAAAATGTTAGATGCAATAAATTCTTTGATCAAATTCTTCATTTTTTTGAAGATATGTTAATCGAAATTAAAAAAAAATGACATCAAATAATCTCAATAAATTTATGAATAAACTTGTTTTGGCGCACTGATAACTGAAAGCAGGTACTGAATAAAATAAATATATTAATACTGCTTTAAACTAAAACCTCACAATTTCAATTAACGCATTTACATTGTTCTCATAAAATTAGTAAAAATATTAAATTAATTTCCTTTTCGATAAATATTGAAGGTAGCAATTTTATTACTTTGCATGTAAAAGTCGAATAATATACCGAAATAAGAAAAATAAGGAAAAGCATTTGGATTGAATACATTGTGAAAATTGCAAGTGAATTAATATGCAAAATTCCAAGTATATATTTTTCAACTATCCATATTAACCTTTTGGAGGTTATCAAATATCAAACAGAGCACATGCAGTTTTCTAATCTATTACTTTTTTCATTGATAAAGAAGTGATTAGTCTTTTAGAAGCACATGATCAGGAAATTTTACCTTTTTATAATTTCGTTGAAGGGTCCCATTATATTCCATCATATCTCTTCATATATCAATTATATAAAGTACAAAATAGCAAATAACAAATAAAATGCTTACACTCAGTGATACTATTTATTATTACATCACAGATAAATAGTCATATTGAATCCAAGTAAAAAATTATTCTATTTCCCAAAACCACCTCTACACGAAGGACTACTTTCTACATTCTTGCTGGATTTTTCCCATTCTTCTGGGGTTTTTGCAACTATCGATAAAGCGTGTACACCATTGTTTAATTCCTCTTGTAATACCTCATTTACGGTCCTATGTCTTTTAATTAGGGGCATATTTGAAAAACAATCCGAAACCACTACAACTTTGAAGTGCGTTTCAGAACCCTTAGGAACATTGTGCATGTAGGATTCATTAATAATGTCTAAATACACGGTTTTTAATTTACTTTGGAGTTTACTTTGAATGCAATTACTTATCTTATTCATTGTATTTGTAAATTGTGTAATAATTTCATTTTAAAACCATTTCAAACTGTCACTGTCACACGTCACACGTCACAGATGTCGTGGAAAAATCAATAATGTCAACTGTCTATTACTTTATTCTGTTGCTTTCCGAAAGTACCCGAAATGAGCCAATGCAACAATTTTATCAATATATAATATGCTAATAATAGTTCTTGTAATTTTTAAATTTAAAACTGTTTATACTAAACATAAATCTAGTATAATTTTATAAAATAATTCACTTACAATTAACTTCGTTTACCTTCGTAAATAACCAGGTAAATTTCTAAAGGCATCAGAACCAGAATTGCCAACAGAATCAATAAAAAATTTTTTTTTTTTAAATCGGCAGCACAATTTCTAATTTAAACTATTATTTCACTGTATTAATAAGAATAGGCATTAAATATAACGTCGAAATTTTTGGTATTATAATTATTTAACAACAATAACTCGATGAAAAATTGAATTTTTTACATTATCTGTCAATGTCAGTCGATTTTGAATTTTGTAGTTGGCTGCACTGGCACGCTTTGAAGATGGCCGATGTTTAGTAGGAAACGAAAGTTGTGAAGTCTAGTTTTTAATTAAAAGTGATTGTGAAACTTTATTAAGAAACCTTTTTACGGCATTTAATCATTGTTAGTGAAATATTGCACAAAAATTAAGACACGAATTCCTTAATCCCATTTACAAAACAGTTTTAAAGGTGCAACAGAATACATATACTTGGACAAAACGGTGTTAAGTTCGTTCATGTAAATTAATAAATATAATATTTGAATTCGGTATCAGTTGAAGAGTTAAAAACAAGACGTGCGTTTAGTGGTGGAATCGGTGAGGTATTCCAATTCGCGACTTTCCCATTGGTACGCCTGCAACTACCTGTTAAAATTAAGCACAGTGAACTTATTGTTTACGTTATATTTTTCAAATATAAACAAATAAATACAGGCTGCTCGCCAGAACGCGCTATGGAATTGTACAGTCGCAAGATGCATTTGGACAACGTGCAAAGATAAACGTCGCCTTCGAATACACACATCGATTCAGTAACTTTTTTATGAAAATTCGTTGAGGTTATGTCGAAATCGGGGTGTTAGGATACTCGGGGTGGTAGTGGTGACATGTGATTGAGAAAAGACACACTGGATCGAGGGGTACCTGGTCCAGGGGGGTGCCTTGACGGCGGAGGAAACGTGTCTCAGGCCTCCGTCGTCCCACAGCCCCCAGGACTGTCAATACACGGTAGTGAAGTTACTCCGAAACAGGCCCTTGTCGAAAGGTTCGTATTCAAATTTAGTTATTATAAAGCCAGCATTGTCTTCTACTATTGTGTATGTAGTAATAGACTTATATAATTTTATATAAAACAATAAATTAAGTAACTTCGTTGTGTTATGAAAGGTATTTTTGCTTCGACAGTATAATTAAAACTAGAAAAAATATGTAATTTGTGTAATAGTTAATTTTTTATTATTGCCAAGGAAGTTACTAATAGATCAATAATTTAATTCACATTATATTTTTATGGAACCTGAACAGATTGTCCGAAAGATTTCTTTTCGTTGTGTAAAAAATTATATTGGAAACTCATTCTTACATGTTGCATTCTAGTTTAATCATCATTATTTATTTATAAGTAAATACTAGACTGATTAAATAATAAAAACTTGATGTCAAAATATTTGATGATGTATGTATTGATTAATTATTATCTCATTCGAAATTGCAAGAAATTTGAAATAAACTAAATTTTATCAATCTTAACATACTATATCCTGAAAACACGAATATAAAGTGTTGTTTAATTATTTTCCGTTCCACAAAACTAGATTTTTTCATTGTCATTGTTTTGTACTATTTTTTTTTACTGTAATATCGAATCTGAAGATACCGGGTTTATTAAAATTTTAATTTATGCAAAAGATCGATTCCTTTGCACGTCTATCATCCATAATTCATATATGCATATCGCGTTTTATCAATAATAATGCACTAATTTCCATGCCTTTTCTCCAAACCGATTGTCGCATTCATGCCCGTCACAGCGAAGTTTCCATTGAAATTCACAAGGCTTTTCCCATGGGACAAAACTGAAAAAAAAACCATTAGGAATGAAGTAATTGTAATCTACTGATAGCGATCGGCGAAACCCTCCCACGCACAAATGCTCGACAAAAACACCTAATTATGCATGAAAACTCAACTCAACTCGACAAACAAATTTAAATTAACTTTCTGCACATATTCGACGACCTCACATGGTCTCTATAACGCGCCATTCCGCGCAACCGGCTCATGTACTGATATCCAAATCGGCATGAAGCTCGGCGAAATCCAATTTTTCGTTTGAAATGCAGGCTTCGTCGTCGTATGGAGGGCTATCGACGACGCCAAAGCGACTGCATGCCGCGCTTCGACCAATCGTTCAACGGTATATGCGAGCAGAACCTGCAGGACACCTTGCACCTGAAGCAGCGTTATCTGGACGCCAAGGCCAAAAGGGTACCCAAGACCAAAGAGAAGAAGCACCAGGATTCTTCGATACAAAGCAGCGTCCACGTGGTAAGTATCCTCATTCCTTTCCTATACTAAAACGTTGCGGTTGCTTCTATATGATGAAAATATCGAATGAATTTTCCCGAACGATGTGTATACTTTCATAAAATCGACCGGTATGCGATGCGTATCGATAGAGATCCACCTAAGAAAGGCATTTGATGTAAAAGCGTATTGTATCGAAGACCCCGAATAGAAACTCGAGGAAAGTGCAAGATGCAAAAATCGTTCCGTTTCGTTCGTTCTCCTCGAGTTGCGACCAAACGAGTTTACTGTAAATAAATTTACCGTTCGCAGTTCGACTGCACCGGATGGGTCGCGATTAGTTTCGAAACGCAGCCGTAATTATTATCTAATAATGTTGGGATCCCTATCGGTTTGTTCAATAAACGGAGAAACGGTTTCGCGAAAGGATCTTCCTATTCGATAACTTTGGCCTGGTGTTGGAGTTGAAAATGTAGCTAGATTGGTCGTCGAGAGTGTTCATGAGGATGTTAAAAAAAGACCAAAGAAATCAGATTTTTATGAACTACCAACTGATTTTTGTATTGCTTGTTCGTTCGAGTAACATTAGGAATTCTGGAATTTATTAGGGAAGTGGAATTCTCGTCTATTAATCCTTCTATGGTCTTTAAAATTCTTGTTGAATATAGTAGACCCTTTTAGTAAGACCCTCTTGTAAGTTTTTCAGATCAAATTAGCTTCTACTGGGACACTTCTAGTCTCAATTTCTGTTTAGGGAGTCTTTCTTAAGAATCCAAGTCTTGAGTTCTCTTTAAGATCCTTTTATATTGCAATGTACTTTAAGGATGATCCCTAAACTCTACTATACTGTTCCCCCAAGAATGTTTCAAAAAGACCACCTCAAAGGAATATCACTAACATTACTCCTTATGTAAATTAAATAAAAAAAGAACAATTAGATTGCATCATAGTTAACCTGTTGATGCGGGCTTTCGTTCGATAGCATCAACAACTGAACTCTTTTTCGATTGTATTCTTCGCGCGTAATTTCGAGCGGATTTTCTATTAAAAATCGACAACGAAACGAGTGCAATCGGCCGGCTCCTCATAGAACAGACCAATAGACATTCACCCGTCCGCATAGTGACCGCGTACACGAGGCATCGGACGACGTAAGTGCACGGATTGATGTAGTTTTCGTGCGGTAACATCTCCGTAAACGTTTTCTCTCTTTGCCCTGCCCCCGCCTCGCGTTCCACCCTCTCCGTTCGCGTCATTCGGTTCTGCATAATTCCGTTTGTTTTTTTTTTCGTTTCGCGTTTTTAACGCCCGTCGAGTTTTATCATCGGTCTTATCGGTCGGTCGACGGCCAGGTTTCGGGCCCCCGTTCGCTTCGCTCTCGTCCGGTGCCTATTCCATTGTCGCCGGGTCGCCGGGGACATACCGATCAGCGCGCTATGCGACGGTATTTCCGTTCGCCTTTGGAGGTGGCATCGGCCGCTCGATTATCGGTTATTGTAGATACATTTTCGAACGAAATTTCACGGTTTCTAGCTCGATTCGATTCGATTAATGAGAATTTTTGGAATTGGAGTTAGATGAGAACGAACGATTCTTCTAAATCGTTAAAAAATTATTTATGTATGTAATTGTTTCGCTGATAGAATTGGATTACTTTCATTCATAATGCATATTTATATCTTCATCCTGTACACCCTGTATATTTTTGTTTTCTTATAGCGTTTTTTCGTATCTTTAAAGTAGAAGAAATGGATGCTAATGCTAGAGACCAGTTTCTAGCTCGATTCGATTCGTTAAAAAAATCATTTATGTAATTATTTCCCTAATAGAATTGGATTACTTTCATTCATACTGCATATCTATATCTTCATCCTGTACACCCTGTATATTTTTGTTCTCTCGTATTTTTAAAATAGAAGAAATGCGTACTAATGCTGTAGACTAGTTTCTAGCTCGATTCGATTCGTTAAAAAATCATTAATGTAATTATTTCCCTAATAGAATTGGATTACTCCATAGACCTATTAACTATGGACGCGGTTTAGACAAAGAGGTAGTGTTGTCGATGAATGAGAGAGATGCAGCTAGTTTGGGCATATGGCAATGAGAGATTGGACAATGCATTAGCCAATAGTAAGAAAGCAAAAGACCACGTGAGTTACGTTTTCAGAAATGCAAGGTAGCTGGGGTAGAGGAGGGTAGCTTATGGTAGAATAGAGTTGAGGAGTGCAGCGGAGGGTATTGTGATTTATTATTTTTTTGCCGAGGAAAATGTATTTTTCAGCTGAGCCTAAATTCCCACGCATTTGCAAATACAGTTTTTATTTTGTATTGTTAATTGGAACATCCTACCTATTAGCCAGTACAGATTTCGCAATTTAAGATCTAACTGCTTTCTCTTGTAAAAAATATGTTTCTTCCTGGTCATTCTTCTGTCCAAGTGGATACCAAGATAAAAACAATATTTAAATATTAAGCGTATAAATAATTTAACAGATTAATCGCCTTTTTCCACACACCCTGTATATATTTTATATATTTTTTGGTCCCGCCTACTTTTAGCCCAAACTAGCTCCATCTCTCACGGACCTCTCTCTCTATCATTGGGAACGCTGAATAACCTCAAAATAACGATTGTGCCGCGTCCATACTTAATAGGTCTATGGATTACTCTCATTCATACTGCATATCTATATCTTCATCCTGTACACCCTGTATATTTTTCTTCTCTCGTATCTTTAAAATAGAAGAAATACGTACTAATGCTGGAGAGTTATATAAAATAAAAAGCATATTTTTGATATAGGTACAATTCCGTGTACAACATGGTAATGCGACGATAAACTGGTTTTTCGTGAACTTGGAGCTCGACTTTAACTTCAATATTTCAACTCGTTACGTTTATTGTTATTATTCTAGTTAGTTACAATGTCCCGCCACGATTATACATGCCATTAGGTATGATAATAAGGTGATATTTTTACCGAGCGTTTGTACAAAGGTACATAAAAAAAAGATATACGTATAAAAGTCGCCTTATTACCATTAACAGGAAACGCATTTTTGCGTTGTGGGTATTTTTGGAATAAACCAAACGAACAACCGAACGAGCAAAACCTATTCTTTTTTTTTATAGTCTATTGACCTTTAATTATGAATACCTCTTTACCCTCCTTTACCAATGAAGCAGCCGATGAAAAGGACTTTCTCGCCACAAGTACCAGTATTCCGCAATCGCCTAAAGCTCGGTTTTCGTTCTGTTTTGCAGCAGCAAAAATTCCTGAAACGCTCCGCCGACGAGCTGGATCCCGGCGGCGGCCAAAACGACAGCTTCGAACCGCCGGTGAAATTGCAATGCTCCAACGAGGGCCTGACCAAGTTCTCCGTCGAGATCGTCCAGCAATTGGAGTTCACCACGTCGGCGGCCAGCTCGCAACCCCAGCAGATATCGACGAACGTCACGGTGAAAACGCACGCCAACGCGTCCGTCAAGAGCGACGTTTCGTCACCGAAATTGAACGCCGATCATCAGAAATCCGCCGGATCTTCCAACATCGGTTAGTACTTGATTATTTTCTATATGAACTCGTTTAACGGGACATGATTCTGACTTTACTGAATACGATTCTGAACTTCATTTAATAGCCCGTATTTATAATAATGAAGCATTTACTTTGAAGTAAAAGGTAGAGGTAAAAAATAGAACCATTTGCTTTAAAGCTACAGCATGGTACTCGAAGCAAAACTTCTCTTCTTTTGCATATAAATTGAAGCAATTCCTTCATTTTTTTGAAGCGAAAGGTTGTGCTTCTTCTTATAAATACGACCTAATGTTCAGGGAGTACCTTAAGATTATCGCTCATCTTCAATAACTCTAAAAAACGGAGCTATGGAAGTGTATGGTACCGTTTGCTCGCTGGACAATTCTATAACTTATAACGTGGGTTTTTTTGAAGGTTTGGACGTGGGGACGCTGGTCGAGTGCGTGAAACAGGAGCCGGACAATGATTTCGCCGATCTGGACCAATGCGCGGCGGCGCTGGAAAAGGACGCCGCCGCCAACGGGGGCGCCGGTTTCGGCGGCTTCCACGATCTCATCGGCGACGACACCAACGACGAGATCATCTCGTCGGCGACGTTCAACGATCTCATTTCGGACATTTCGAACTATCCCGACTACGAGCTGATGAAAGACTTCGATTTCGAAGATACGAAATTGGATGCGAAAACGGAGGACGTCAAAGTAAGGGCGCGATTCGTCCGGTTCCGAAACGTTTTTATGACTTTTATGACTTTTGTACAGAATATATCTCTGCAAGAAACGAAACCGTCTACTCAGAATGCGATGTTGCAACAGCAACAACAACAGCAGCAGCAGCAGCAACAGCAGCAGCAGCAGCAACAACAGCAGCAGCAACAGCAGGGTAATCAACAGCAACAGCAGCAGAATCCTAGCAACCCGAGAAATATATCTGGTTATCCGAATATGGACTTTCCGAAGACTGAACTCAGTCCGGCGGCGCAAACGTTGAAACAAATGGCCGAACAGGTAAGTAATATTGACATTTTTTTTCATATTCACTAATGTCATCGCAATATTTTACTAGTAATACTCGAATTATCTATTTATCATTAATAGCATCAACACAAGAACCAAATGGGACTGTCATTTACCGCCGCCCGGTCTCCGTACGGTGAATTCCAATTCCAAGGCAGCGATTACGGCAGCCCTAACTCCATGCACAAAAACAGCCCGGGATTCCCGCAACCGGACATGATAAAGCAAGAAATGATTTTCCAGGTACGCACAACACCTACAACGTTTTCGACTAACCTCTAATCGTACATATTTTAATCATATACCTATTACTAATATACTGCTAACTCCCTATCCATTCCATGAGAGAAAATCGTAGCGATTAAAGAGAGAGATCCGACCTTCTGTGGTGTGCTTAGTCGTTTATACGCAAGCGCGTTAATTTCAAAAGGACCAATAGCGAGTAGCTGAGGCCTAAAACGAAAAGAAGGAAAATAAAACTTGAAATCGTGTTTAAATTCGGTAACCTGCCATATTTACACACGCAAGTCGATATATTTTAAAAATATATCAAAAAATATACCAAAATAAAAGCTAGCCCGTTTCTGACGTTTCATTTGCTCTGTCAAAAGTAGCCAATCAAGAAATCTTTCACTCGAGCATGCGCATAAATAAGCAAGCGCACCACAATATAATGTTTGCTACGGGTTTTAGACCATTATTAGCGGTATAGTAGTAATAGGTATATGATTTTAATGCATTTTTAGAACAACGAATTCGACATGAAACGCAAGAACGCCGGCATCTACAAGCAACAATACTCGCCGTACAGCAGCCCGAGCGCCAGCAGCCACGGCAGTCCGGGCTACCTGCCGCGAAACGCCGGGCCGCCGGGCAACGCGACCGGCTCGGGCGCGTTCGGCGGCGGCACGCCGCCCAGGCCGCCGTCGGGCTCCGGCGGCGGCGGCGGCAACCCGTCCTCCGGCGGGCCCAATCTGCAGATAAACCAAGCGCAACAGCTCAACATCAGCCAGCAGAATCACGGCCACACGATACAGGTGTCGGCCGGGCAACACGTGCACCTGTCCGGCGACATTAAGGGTAATATATCGGTGGCGTCGCAGCAGGGGATGCATTTCACGCAGCAATCGTCGCAGAACAATTCGTCCCAATCGCAAGCCGGTCCTAACGCGAACACGCAGAGTCCCATGTCGGCGCAGCAGCATCAGGGATCGCCGATGTCCAACGGCGTGCCGGGCCAAAATCCGATGTGCGGTAGTCAAATTCCTGGGGGGAATTTGCAAATGTCCGGTGGCGGTATGGGGGCGGGTATTCCGGTGCCGGGAGGCTTAGGATCTGCTAACATGACAGGTATGTTGGTCGCATTCCTGACCAGTTGTTCAATTCAAAAATTTTTGACGACAGCATTGAAAATTATCTGTCGATTGTTAAGTAAACGAGGGAGAAAAAGTAAGATGGAAAAATAGAGGTAACATGGCGGGTCCAATTAGGAGCCTTTGAGCGTAAGGAAATAAACTGCTCCACAAAAGTTAAGGAAGTTCGCGAATTTTGCGATTGTTTTAAAAGTTACGGACTTTTTGATCGCCGAATTTTCAAAGATGCGAAATTAAATGTTTTCTCCCATATTTGAGTGGATTTTTTGTCCCTACCTCTGCAACTGTTACTAAATTTGGCGATCAAAAAACCTGTAACTTTTAAATTAATCTCAATATTTGTGAACTTCCTTAACTTTTGTGGAGCAGTATATTTTAAATAACAATTTAATTATGTTAAGAATTGTTATGGTAAAAATATAACATTATTTAATATTATGTATGAAAATTTTGTTGATATTGTATGAAAAAACAGTAACAACTGCTTCACGGGTTTCTCGCTATTTGCTATTTTTCGCTGGGAAAATGAGATGGATACTGTTCACTGAACTTTCTTTAGTCGAAATCGTCTACAAATTTTACAACGAGCGGTAGTACACCGTTGCCAAATTTGTAAGAGTTTATCTATTACAGGAATTTTGAAATATATAATTTGTCACATTTTGAAACTATATTTCTTAAACTTGCAATTTATTATATGTTGTAGGTGTATTTTGAAGAATATAAATAACATTAATTTTTAGTATTAAGTCGATTACATAATAAGGATGTAAAAATAAAAAAATAGCAGAAGGAAATTGTAAAAAATAGCGCGGCAACGTGCAATGTTTTACCTCTATTTTCTGTTAGACTGCGACCTATTGTTGGTACCCTAAAATTTTGTAAACAGTTTTATCTGTTTTAGTTATACACTGTGCTTCATTCCAGATCACAACATAGGTTATATAGGCTATAAGTGCGATAAAGACAACTTCCATTAGACACTTATAAAAGAAAAAGAAAGTGACTGATTTGTGTCATTGCAACTTTTCACTCTGACAACTGTTATTTTATCAATCTTTCTTTGTTCAACTCATAGAAACGACCATGTCGCGGTCTGAATTAAAGCAATCTGTATATCTACGATATTTTACAAATAATAATTGTTACTATACACTAATTCCAAAATAGTAGGCACTAAATTATGATTGCGATAATGGGTCTCTCCCAGTGGCGTACGGAAAATATCGTAGACTACAAGTGTGTTTGACGGGAAAATCAGTCTAATAATTAGAAGAGCAAGGGTTATGTAATAAATAAGAAAAGCGACAATATTTCCGAGAATTTAGTGCCTACTATTTTGGAAATAGAGTATAAATGGTTTTGTTTGTAGGTAACGAGAACATGAGCAACAACATGACGGGCCAAAACAACATGGGAATGCCCGGCGCGAATATGGGCCAACAGACCAACAACATGAGCGGTTCCGGAGGAATGCCTGGTTCGATGGGTGGCATTCAACACTCCGGTATGCACAACGTCGGAGGCATGGCGCCCAATCACATCGACACCTACTCGATGTCGCAAACGCAAACCATCAATTTCACGCAGCAAACGTTACGGCGGGCCGGCAACAACCAAGCCATGCCGAATCCGATGGCCGGCCCGGCCCAGATGGCGCCGGCGCCGACCAATCCCAACCAACAGATGGGGCCGCGACTGATGAGCCAGACGCTCGAGCAACAGAAGCTGTTGCACCAACAGCAAATGCTGCGGGCGCAACAACAACAGCAGGCCGCCATGCAACAGCACCTGGTCAGGCCGCCGCCGCCCGATTACAAGTCCAGCGCGGGGATGATGCAGGGCATGCAGCCGCGGTACGCCGCCCCGGCGCCGCCGCCTTCCAACATGCGGAGGATGCCGATGCAACCGATGCCGCCTTCGGGTAAGTTCGATCCGGAGATGTGGAAATGCAAGGTATAAATCGAATTGGTTTAATAGGTCCCATGATGCGATCTAATATGTACATGATGCAACAGCAACAACAACAGCAACAAATGCCCCAGCAGATGCCCCAAAGGGCGGCGATGTACGCCCGACAACAAGGACCGATAGCCAACATGGAATCGATGCAGCACAATTCGGAATGGAGGCATCTGCTCATGTCCCAGCAACAACAAACTAATTTTAATGCTATGAGACCAAATTTCCAACAAAGTAAGCTTTTTATCGAGTATTCCGAGCGGTTGATAATAACGGTGGCGGTATTTTTTAAGGCTTTAACATGAACCCCAACAATATGCAACAACAAATGACGGCGCTGCAACACCAACAACAGATGAAGAGCCAACAGGGGATGATCTCCGGCGGCCAGCAAGGCATGGGAGGACCGTCTGGAATGAACCAAGCGATGAACCAACCGAACAATCCCATGGCTCAGATGAACAACATGAACCAGGCCATGTTGCACATGCAACAGCAGCAACAACAACAACAAACCATGATGCAGCAACAACAAAATTCCCATGTAAGTATCCTGACTGAATTGCAGTATAACTGTTTCTCATAAATCATTATCTCATAAACTATTATTCAATGTACGATTAATCTGATTTTAGATGTCGATGTCGAGCATACACATGCAGCAATCCCAATCGATAAGCATATCGAATCAATCGATGCAGCAGAACCAGCAGCAAGGAATGCAGGGCCACAATCAAATGAATTCGGTGGTACCTTCCAACAATTCGCAGAACTCGCAGAACTCTCTAGCTTCCAGTTTTAACACGCCGTCGGATTTCAATTTCGAATTCCTGGATAATTTGGCGTCCGGCGACGGGACGCCGTTCAGCGATCAGGAATTGCTGAGCTCCTTCGATACTGACGCAGGTTTTAATTTAGATTTTTAGAGTTTTTTTTTCTCCATGTGGTTTTAGGTTTTTAAGACGCGATAGATGTTTTTCGGGTCGGCGCGATTCGGTCGGTTGAATGTTTTTATTTGTTTTGATGCAGTTTGGCAATTGATATTAAATGAAATTTATCGAAAACATGGACCAAATATACATAATATTTGTTACTCGATTTTATTTTTTATTATTATTTTTTTTTATATAGTTTTCTTGGACCATTGCATTGCCAGCTATGTCAATTCTTAAAATTAAATTGTTGATAATTTTTTATATTAAATGAATATATATTTTTGTACATAATTTATATTTAAACTATGGTTTATGTTTTTGTACTTCCATTGTTTTTTTAATAGTATTTTTCTCATTTTTTTATGTTTTGTTTATTAGTCAATCAAGCTCTCGAAATATATATGTTTTAGTAATAATAATCTCTAAAGCAATATTAGACGCATTTATAAGAAAAGAATTCTCAGATGTTTATGCGTCGGATTTGTAATTAAAGTTTAAACTAATTAATTATGCACTGTAATTTTTGAGTACTGTAATCGATTACAGTACTGAATATTTCGGCCTTTTTTTAGTTTTTTATTCTCTCGCTCCTATTCAAGAATTCTCTTATAAAATTGTTATAAATCTGAAACGCCAAAATAAGGAATAAATTTTACTATAGCGTTTATTTATTCGGAATTGCTACTTCGTTTATTTATAGTAATAAATTGTGTTCATTTTTTAGAAGCAGCTAATTTTTGTAATAGATATACGAACGTTCCAAGAGTTCTATCTTGTATCGACATTCAAATGAGCCTAAGACTGATTAAATACTTTTTGGTCGCTCATTCTATAGTAAAATTTACTCCGCTTATTAATTGATATAAAGATTTTTAGCTTTATAAATTACATGAAAAATTTAAACTACCGGCTAGTAAATCCCTTATAAATGTTGTATATTAATTGGGTTCGAATAGTTAATGAATTTCATATACAATTTTGATATAAAACCAGCTTTTCTACCGCGTATTTGAAACTAGTTGACCGCTTAGAATGTTTAAATTGGTAGTCTAAATTTTTCCTCAATACAAATCAAAAATCTCGCCTATTCGAGGCACGTGGGAATCAATTTATTAGTAAATTAATGGACATCAAATACATATACATTAAGTACAAGCAATGCTCGATGCATTGTTCACCAAAATACACTCACTTATTCTAATGATATATAAAATAATGTAGGTAATATTTTAGAGAAATTTTTGAATGAGAAGAAACTTAGAGTAGAATCAGTAAAACACTCAGTACGTTATAATACGGAAAGTAGAATCGATAACATTATTTAAGCTAATTGTAACTTAAATGCCCGTTTGAAAATATCACATTTCACTATTTTTAGTGATATAACGAGTTTCCAGTTGGAATAAACTTAGTGCATTAATTGCTAACAAATTTACAATTATTGCAGAATAAAGATTTTTAAATGAAATGTGATATTTTCAAATGGTTTGTTTTGGGAAATGAGTCCTGTGTATTTTGAATGGAAAATATGCGATTTTTACAAAAATGAGAAAATTTGTAAAGTTTTATTTATGTAGATTACAAATTTTTACATCAGAAATATTCACTTTTATTTCATATATTTGTCCATTCAAAATCTACATGCACTTTTAATATTAATGAAAATCTCATATTGTTTCAATTCTTCCAGTTTATACATTCCAGTTTCGTTCTTTTATGGTTTCCAGTTCTTTTGCCAGTATTTGTTCGTTTCAGTTTTTAAAATATACAGTATTTTTCTCATTTAGCATGGACCAATAAAAGCGATTCTAAATTTTGTGCCATATAAGTTTTCACTTTTGAAAATGTTTACCAAACGGTTTTTTTTCGGCACTCGAAATTTTATTACCCACGTCCATGTAATTTTATGTATATTTATGAATTATATACCTATTATGTATTTTTTGACAATATTCTTTTTTTCTTTTATTATTTATGTGTACTTAGACAAATTAAAATTGTTATATTCTAATTTTTACAGACATATAAGAGTTTATAATGAGAAATATATTCCATATTTTGTAGATTTATCATAAACAGGTGATTATACATATATAATAAATATATATATAAAATTTTCATATATCTTTTATTTATCGTTTTTCTTGTTAGTATGTGTTAGTTGTTTACAACAAAAAATAATGTTAATACGTTATACAGAAATATCACTTAAAATTACTCAAATTGTTCTCTGTATAAATTCTAAAAGCGTATAAAAAGTATCCCAAATGATTAAAACTTGGAAATATCCATATGAATATGATTCATATGAGATTTAAAGATTTGTACTTTTCTATAAGCGAATTTGAGCATTCCATATAAATTGGCAATTTACTCCAAATTCCATGTTATACAGATATTAAATCGGTTCATTATATCCGAGTTTACTTTTTACTTAGCAAGAACTCCGCAACATTTTCTTTATTAATTCGAGTTGCGTACTGTAAAGGAGTATTCCCTTCATTATCCTCCACGTGAATACTGTGTCCCTTGTCCAACAAAAGTGTCAATAAGTTCAAGTTACCCCTGTCGATACCTAAATGTAATGGCGTCTGCCCTTTCTTGTTTCTCACATTAGGAGGATGCTCGCTGAGCAGCAAATTTCTCACGTTGTTTATATCATTTTTACGCACAGCGCAATGCAAGGGGGTTTCCCCATCGTTATCCCTAATAGCAACAGGATGCTTCCTCGCTAGTAATTCTCTTACTATTTTGAACTTCTTATCGCATGAAATACAACTGCTTTGAATTGCAACATGCAGGGCAGTTGCCCCGGACGAATTCTGGACAACAAGCGGATGTCCTTTGTCCAAAAGTAGCTTCACCACTTCCACGCAATTGTACTGCGACGCGAAATGAAGAGGAGTGTTATTGAACTTATCGATTATATGCACATTTTCCACCTTCTCGAGGATCTTCAGGAACTCCGGCGTGTGATTGGTGCCTATTTCCTCGTGCATGCCCTTCAGCAACTGCACGAGCCCCAACCTCCACAGCTCCTCGTACCCGTGTTCAGGCAACAGCAGCAGGATCAAGTCGATGTTGTTGGGGCACCAGTTCTGCTCGACCAACCAATCGAAAAAACGACTTTTGAACTCCCCCGGCACGATCCTGTCCTCCAGCATGTCCTCCATGAAGTTGTTGTACTCGAAGAAGCCGCTCTCGAAGAACCGCTGCAGGAATCCGCGGGGGAACCGGTCGCCGACGATGAGGTCGCTGATGTACCGGGAGGCGAAGTACTCGGAGAAGGTTTTGTGCACGAATTGCATGTCGTCGTCGATTTTTATCAACACCCCCATTTTGAGCAGGAACTTTTCGTCGCAATTTTGGGGCGCCTCCAGCACGTCTTTGAAGAACTCCTGCGCGTCGGGGAACTCCAATATCAGCGCTTCTTTAACGAACTCCTTGATGGCCGCTTCGAATTGGTTTTTGATCGACTCCATGACGATTTCGTTGCCGGCTGCGTTACCTTTTTCCTCGATGTAAATATCTTTTTTCCTCTTGACGAATTCGTCGTAGAGCCACCGGAGGTTGACGTACTCGGGCAGGGAGATCTCGTCCGATATCTCCTCCACGAAACTCTTGCAATTCTTCACGAATATATCTCCGATCATCTTCGTCTGCAACGGTATGCCTATCAGAGTGGACACTCTGTGCCAACCGGTCCTGTTCGACAGCCTGTTCAGCAACTCCAACGAGAACTTCTTGATGTCATCGTACTTGCTCTTATCCTGCTGCTCGTAGAGCACGTCCCACCACAAGTTGGACAACACCTGGACGGATTCGTCCTCCGAAAACGGCATCAAAGCGAAATTGTCGCTGCGGAGGTTCTTGTCCTTGAAGTTCTTCAGCACGTGCACCCTCGACGTGATGACGATCTTCTTGATGTTGCTCCTGGTGGTGAGCGCCTCCAGCGAGTTGATCATCATGTTGGTGAACTCGGAGCTGACCTCGTCGAGCGCGTCCAGCAGCAGGACGACGTTGTGGGCGAGGTTGAAGACGTCCGTCTCGAACGTCGTCTGGCCGGTGATCTTGAGCAACGCCATCAGCTCGTCGAGATCGATGCGGTCGCGGTTGCTCTTCGAGAGGTGGTAGAGGAATTTGTTGCACTCGTTCAGGTTGATCTTCATCACCCAGTAGGGGTGCCGGAGGAGCGTCTGGAAGATGTGGTCGAGTATGATGGACTTGCCCATGCCGGGGTCGTCGAGGATCATGATGGTTTTGTCGCCGATTTCTTCGAGGATCAGATAGCAGAACTCCTTTTCGGAGAACCTGATGTCTTGTTCGTGCTTGATGAAGTATCTTTCGACGTAGTAGGGGATGTTTTTGGTCGGCGCGACGTCGTGAACGACGATTTCCTCCGGCCGTTTCATCAGCAATAGTTTCTGTAGAATGCATTCGCCTATTATGTGGGTTTCGTTGTGGATGATGCTCTTCATCGACATCACGTTCCCTTGGAATTTGATTTCCTTCGTCAGGATTTTCTCTTGTAAGTCTCTACTGAAATGATCGAACGTGATGAGGGCTTTTTTGATGTTCGGCGAGAAGCGATTGAATTCCTCCAGGACCTCTTCCTTGTCGGTGAGGAATATCAGTTTTTTGTAGCACCTTTGCTTTTGGAAGTCGAACAGTTTGTCGTACTTGAGCAGTACTTGTAGCATTTTCAAGTCGACGATCGGTAGAATTAGATAAACGTATTGAGGTAGGAGAAACAGTTCGATCGAACGGTTGAAATTTTCGGGTATTTCGGGATCCACGTAGATGGAAATCTCTCGAAGCTGCGATTCGTTGTAGTTGTTATTTTCCAGCATCAGGAGTATGTATATTATGAACATGTGCAGATCGTAAGTTTCTCTATAACCCAGTTTCAATATTAGGAAATTTTCGTCTAGGCTGAACGGATTTTTATCCAAAATGCCGTTTTTTTCTGTTATCAACATCGAGAACCCCTTCACCAGGTTTTCTATGTAATTTTCGCTCCGTTTTTGTATCACGAACTGCTCGAAATTATCCTTCGTGAGATACACGCCTTTGTCGGCTTGAAACCACATTTTAACTTTATCGAAAAAGTATTCTTTAAACGATTTCGGCGGCGAAAACTTCAAATTCTCGATCAAACCCGATATACTCTCGTCAACATCCTTATCAGTTACGGTTATCAACAACAATTTATCGAAGAACTCCTCCAAGTAACCCTCGCTCTCTTTATCGTTAACTTTACCGCGAACGAAGGAAATAAACTCCCGATTGGCGTGGAACTTGTAGCATTCCTTATTCGCTATGAAATTAAACGAGTCGATTTGCGTATGCTGTATTAAACACTCCGAATCATTCTTCACGTGTCTGCTCAAACACGTGTTGATCTTGTAAGTGTTGAACTTGAGATTAGTGCAAAGCACGATTTTGGTCCTGGCGACGTCGAAGTGTCTCGCGATTTTGGGAAACTCCTTGGCGTATTTGTACAAGTTGAAATCGCCCTTGGGCGCGTCGGGGAAGAGCTGGTCGAAGTCGACGGCCCCTTTGCCCCGGTGCTTGGCCTGCAGCAGGACGATCTCGGCGTCCGTCTCGCAGACGACGTCGTCGAAGTTGCCGGCCTTCTTGTTCTCGGTGGAGAGGCGGAAGTCGCGGCCGGCGCGGCTGCCGTGCAGCAGGAACAACTCGAGGAGTTTTATCTGGTAGTCGGTGCCTTCGCTGCCGCCGGCGCCCTTCAGCTTCTCGTAGCTCGTTAGCCTGGTCTCCATTGCGGTCTGGATAAAAATGTATTTACCACTCGGATGATCGAATGGGTGGCTTCGGTTTTTTATACAGTTTAATTTTGAAAATAATGGCGTTTTGCATTGGTAAAATAGTGCGCACTGAAAGCAAAATTTTTGTTTGTTGGTGGTCATATGGAAATCAAAACACTTGCACAGTCCACCAAATGAAACAAAAATTTTGCTTTAAGTGCACTTTCAGTGCGCACTATTTTACCAATGGAAAACGCCATAAGGTTATATTATTAATTGAAGACATTTAAGAAGAGAGAATAAATTAACTGAGTATACTATATAAATCTTTAAATTATGTTGACCTTGTGTTGTCTACAGTGGGCAACCAATTATAATTAAAACAATTATTTAATTACAATTTATTTTAAATGCCGAGTGAATTAAAATTTATGAATTTTTTTAATAAATGTTCTTACCTTCCGAATGGAACACTTTTTCTTAAATTATCCCAGGATATTTGATAGTATTCACTATATTTTTTAAACAGCACTTTTAATATTAGATGCATATAAACAACTAAACAGAGAGATAAATAATAAAAGGAAACGCCGGTTGTAAATAGATTAATATGCATGAATCTAGGCAATTAAACCAAAATGAGTAAAAAGTTGTTATAGGTATTCCTACCATTTATTATTAATTTAATATCGCAGGTAGGTATTTAATGTAACTATAACTGGGGAAAACTCGTTTCAAATATATCATTATAATGTATACTTCACAGAGGCGTTTAAAATTAATAATTGTTTATGAATTCCTTTGTCTATTTACCTGTTATGCAATGTTACTTGATTTGTCGTAATTGATCGAATAATTATCCAATGGAATAATCTTGTTGGTATTCATGTAAACTTGGGTAAACAAGTAAAAGTAAAATAGACATCTTAATCCCCTAGTTAGTACAATTATAATTTATACTTACTAATTATTTATATAATCAATGTAGTCGATTAAAAATTCGTAAATACAATCCTGGCAGTGAACCCGTTTAAATGAAATACGGCCCTTACAAAAATGGCGTCATCAAGGTCAATAAAATAATGACAATTGACATATCTAGCTCCGTGTTCCGGTTCTTGTTTCCTGTTCAGTGTCAGTTGTCACTTATTTGTCAAAAAAAGTGAGTTGTGTTTACGTATGCCTGTGTGCTTTTAATTTCAATTAAAATTTCAAAATGAGTAGCATAAAATTCACGGAAATAGCATATTGTAAAATGATTTTACATGCTATTAAATATCCCCATTGTACAGTGAATGGTGTGCTGTTAGCCAAACCATCTAACAGTAATAACGAGGTAGAATTTGTTGACTGTATTCCCCTTTTTCATGTTTGTGTTAATTTAACACCCATGGCTGAGATTGCTTTGATGCAGGTAATATAATTTAACGTTCTCTAATTCAGTATAATTCAATTAAGTATTATTTACAGATAGATGAATATGCTTCTAAAAAGAATTTAGTTATTGGTGGATATTACGTAGCTCCTGAGAACCCAAAAGACCAAAGTTTCGATAAGGTTTACAATCGAATATTTGATAAAATTGCAGCTAATAATACTAATCCTTCATATGTTGTAATTGTAAGTATTCTTGTATCTCTAAAGGTTTTAGATGCTAATATTATAATTTGTAGGTTAATAGTACTAATAGCACGATTCAAAGGGGGAGAATCGCTTTAAAAGTAGGACAATACAGCGACGGGAATTATAAATTATGCGAAGATATTAGTGTTTCTGATGACTCGATGAATGTATGTATATCAGGCATTAACACAACTATGTATAACAAAATTGTAGATTTCGATAATCACCTCGATGACATTCAACTCGATTGGACAAACACGGATTTGAACAAAGAAATTCGTTCATTTTTATGAGGTTTATAAGTGCAATATTTTATCAAATTTATTGATGTAATCGTAGGTTTACAGGTATACCCGAGTACAATTAGGTTATGTAAAAAACAGTTACTTACCTGTTTTCACACACTATAACAAAACGTATTCAGTCAGTGTATTATAATATAAAATTCTTAAATAAATATTCGTTTAAGGTGCTTATGAAATTTAACAAATTATCATTCTCGACCTTATTACCTTTACATACTTCACTCGCGTTTATTAAAAAACATTGGCAAACATTTGAGAGTATTAACAACAGACTTGTAAATAATGGCTGTATGAAATTAGAGTGTTGAAAAATATGTCTCGTAAACCAATCCAAAAGAAGTCGTTGCGAAATATAAAAACAAACACCACCAAGTAGCAAAACCAAATAATCCTCTATAAACAGTTTTTGTAAAAACCTACAAAAAAACATTACCATTAAAAAATTACAGGAAGCTATGCGAAACCAATTCATACCGATTTCAAACTATCCAATGTTAAATGGAAATCTGCTGCTGAATCGAGAATACTTTTGCTCTCATCTGCTTGAACAGTCGCCTTTAAAGTATCGTTTAATTTAGTATAATTGGTAACCACGTTTTGCTTATGAAATTCCCCTATCCAATTGTATTCTCCTAAAGTTTTGTAGATCAGCGTGAAGAAGTAGCATAGAACAATAGGCGCAGCATACTGAAGAGTCACTACGCAAAGATAGTAAAACACTGCAGCTACCTAAAAGAGAATAAAATGAAAATAAATTGTTTGGTAGAATTGAGAGACAAGGTTTAGTCACTGAGGCTACCTTATAAATTATCTAAGCAGAAGGGTACATTGGTTTGGGTAATAATTACCTGTTTCTGTAACTCGATATTTGTAATTCTACCGGCTTCTTTTTTCTGGTTTTCCAACCGGTGATAAGCCATATCTAAATAAGCCTGTAGATACCACGGCATTAACACTAATTTTAAAACTACTGTCAGTACAACCAAAAAAAGCCTTAAAGATTCGAAACTTTCCTCTGACATCCTTAAAAAAGGAAATACATAGATTACTAGTTCATTTCTTTTATAGCACATTGTAAAATAATGAATTACTTACAATGGTTCGGTCCTTCCCGAGAATATCCTTTCAGTCAAATAAAATCTGGATACTGGTTTTATCCACAAAACAATTAGAACGAATGGTAAGGCGAATGTTAAATTAAGCAATAATTGCTTAAACCTGTTGTCTTGAAAGTACCTACAAATTATACCACATATTATCTGGTTTTCAGTTATATGATTAATGCTTACTTGAGAAGAACCCAATGCGTTTTTGCGATTCGAAGTCCCGGAAATGTAAATAGTGCGCCCAAAATTCCACACCAAACGGCTATGAAGAATTTTAGCACGATTTTCGACGCTGGGCCACTAAAAATATAACTTACATATTAAATTTCATACACTATCTACCAAATATACCTCGATGAAAGGCCCTGTTTTTCCAAAAACGAGGAAGCACTTTTGTTGAAACTGTCATAAGCATCTTCCAAGCCGATTTCTAAGGTACTTTCATCCACTATCAGTACCATCATGGAGATCAGCAAGTAGATGAAACCCATAACAATGCAAGTAGATCTTTCACCTATGGATTCCTCGCCTTTGAAGTATTGTACAGTCAAAGTAAATAGTAATTTACTAGATGCTTATTAAGGATTTAATACATACGAAGGAGTCAAAATTTCGCGAAATATAAAAAGGATACATTGCAAATAACACCACTAGAATACACCAAACCATGCTTAAGTTTATCTCATTTTTTAAAGGAAACCATACTTGATATATCTGAAAAAGAGTAAATAAATAACAATATATCGGTATAATATTGAGTATACATACTTCGGTAATCCAATAAATAATAGACGCGTACACAGAAAAATCAATCAGCCACTGATATTCGGCGTAATATCGCAAATGAATAACATCTAAGTTCGTAATTTTTATAGAGTCTAATTTAATATCTAAAGAACGAGGTATGTGGAAGGTATCAACTTTAGCGGTTCCGTTCGTTTGGCCCTTTGCATTCTTACGGTTCTTGGTTTTTTCTTTCGGAATATTCGCCAACTCCCGCAATTCGCTGTCTGTCGGGTATAAATATCGAACGAGGCCAGTGGAGCACAACAACCATCTAGCGAGGGAATAATGCGGTCCCAATTTTTGGATAACGCTGATCATTACCATTGTTATCACCAATTGGGCCCCCAGTAGCGCCTAAAATTGAATAAAAACGCTTAAATTTATTGAATATCGAGAAATAGTTTGCTTACCATTGCTCCTTATGTAAATTTGGATTAGCAAATCTTGAATTTCATAGCGAATTTGGGGTATTTTTAGAAAATTCAGCACCTGGTTCTGCTTGACATAACCTAAAAATATTGAATGAGAAGATTAACATAACAATTATTTGCTTATTGACCTCCTTTCTTTCCGGGGAATTACAGTAAATTACTGATGATTTAACTTTATAATGGAACAAAAAGAGGAACCTGATGTAACAATTGAATACTGGTATGCTGTGCAAAATTAAATATACAAACTAACCTCAACATTTAATTTTTTCTAATAATTATATTGTAGTAATAAATGTGGTTATTTGGAGAAATATCAGGAACTATTGGAGTACCTTCAACAGGAACATCCTTCTGTAAAAGTTAAAGGACATGAAGGTCGAAGGGGTAAGAAATATTAAATTGTTTTTTAAATATTACTTACACTGTATTCCAGGTTCATTCGAAGTTACTGTGAACGGTGAAACAGTTCATTCCAAATTATCAACATTGGCTTATCCAGATTACGAAGATTTATCCAAAATAATAAAGGATGTTCAAAGTGGAAAATCTACAAGAAAATGTAAGGAACAACCAATTACCAGTTGTTCTTTGTCTTAGTTCTTAATTGTATAATTATCTATACATTTATTTAGTAGTAAAGAACATGTTTAGAATTAGTTGTTCAGTTTGAGTTTTATAAATTTTGAAAAATTTCCTGCTATTTCTTCTAGTTGTTAAAATTTGCTTTTTTTTAAATTTTAATTGACTGGATTACCCTAACATATTTGACAGGTATAGTCAAAGTAGATTTGTTTATAAAAAGAAGACGACAAATGACATTTCTTCAATTTTCAAACTAACACAAAACAAAAATTAGTTTTTATTCAAATAAAATTAAATTAAAAATAAAAATAAACTCTATTAAACAATAAAAAGTGAAAAAGTAACAACAGCAATCCAACCACCAATAGAATTTTAACACTTTTAGGCTGTTTATAAAGAGGTTATATTCATAAGTTCTTCATTGAACTAAGATTTTATATGATGAAGATTTGCGGAATTTGCGGAGGCAATCACCACACTAACGATTGCGATATAATACAAATCGTTGTTCATGTAAGCTAAAAATCCTATTAACAATATTTACAATAAAATTAATTCTTTAATATCCAGGTCACCGATAGTCCGATTCCTTCCAAAGCCAAGTTGACTCTTCCACAAAACTTAACACTAACAAAGACTACAGATAACAGCTATCGCGTGACAGCTAACAGCACCATTGCCAAAGGCACTAAATTCGGTCCACTACAAGCCAAAAAGAATTTTACTTTTATCCCGGCCATTTCTTTTCCTCTTCGAATATTTGTAGGGCTCGGTAATGAAGAACATTATCTAGATACTACCGATGAAAACGAATGCAACTGGTTGATATTTATTAGCCCTGCTTGTGATTTCCAAGAACAAAACGTAGTTTGTTATCAGGTGTTTATTAATTATTTTGTTTTGTTAGTTTATTATTGCAATATTTTATTGATTTTAGGAAGGCGAAGATATTTTTTACGTTACCGTTAAAGAAATAAGCAAAGGTGAAGACTTGAAAGTATGGTATTCTCCATATTATGCTACTAAAATGAAAACTAATATATTGAAACCTATAATCAATGAACTTGATGACAACTTAAAAACCAGAAAACTTTCAGGTACAAATACAAATTTTATAAAGAATGTAGAATACAAAAATATTCTCTATTCATTAACAGAATATTCTGTTTTTTAGATGCACTCATAAAGCGAAACAAGCAAATAACTTCAAGGGAAATGTGGAGTTGTAAATTTTGTGGAAAAAGCGAGAGAAAGGTTCCAGAGTTTGCCTTGCATTTATTGAAACATTATTCCAAAAAATTAGAAAGACGGTGCCACTTGTGCAATATGTCATTCCTAAAAGTTAAGGTATTTAATTACTCCATTTAATGTTACCAGAATTACATTTAACTTATTGTAGAGTTACCAGAAACACGTAAAAATTGTCCACGAAAAAGTCATTACAGATAAAACTCCCACACAAATTGCACTTAAATCGAGTACAAGCAATAATGTAGAAAAAAGTGCAGATTTGTCTAACGAGAACTATGTTGGTGGACCTTTATTAACGAACGAAGTGAATTATGATAGTACCGATAATACCGGTCTGGTGCTGCCTCAAACAGACATGGACCATCAGAATATGCAATTCGAGCAAGATAATTTAAATATGGAATCCATTCTCTCGGAAAGCGTGAAAGATTTGGACAACTTCAATTTCGAGTTAGTTGAAAACGACACTGAACAATTCGTCTGTGATATTTGTTTAAAAGTATTCAAGAAAGTCAAATCCCTAATTCAACATATGAATAAACATACTGGGAAATTCACATGCATCGAGTGTAATAAGGTTTACAATTACTGTTAGTTTTCCATATTTTTCATTGACTGAAATTCTATTTTAGGTGTTTGCAAGGCAAGAAAACCTGAATTACCATTCGTGCAAATTACTGTACAAATTTCAATGTTACCATTGCTCTAAACTGTTTTACCAAAAAAAGTACCTCTCCAGGCACATGAAGTTGTTCCATAATAAGCAAACGAACGGAGAAGAAACCGATGCACCCAAGGAAACTAATAGCAACCCTTCAATTCAGCATGTGCAATGCTCTAAATGCTCCAAAATGTTTGCACACAAAAGTAACTTAATAATTCACTTGAAAACGCACTTGCCAAGAGAAAAATACATTTGCCCAATCTGCGATAAACTGCTTATATCTCAAAAGACCTTCGTCAAGCATTATAAACTGCACAAAGATCCCGTCGTTAAATGCACTACTTGCGACAAAATCCTGAACAGGAAAGACACTTTGAAATACCACATGGAAAGTGTACATTCAGGAAATGAAGTAAGTACACATAATTTAAGGATTACAGGTATAATTACGATATTGTACTTTTCAGGAAATTTGCTCAGATTGTGGTAAACCGATGAAAACCAAAAAAATACTCAACACTCACAAGAAAGCTCACGAAACAACAAAGACATACGACTGCCCTCGATGCACCTTGAAATTCAACAGATCATTCAATTTAACGAGACACATAAAAGTTGTACACGAATCGAAAAAAATCGATGCAGACAAGAAATTCGCCTGTGCGATATGCGATAGGAAATTTAAATTCAACAAATCCCTAACGAGGCACATACGGACGATACATCCGCACGAACCCATCGAGCAGAAATCCGCCAAACTGAAGAAATGCGCGAAAATTTCCAACAAAATCGACGATTCCGTTGCCGGTTTGAAGCGAACTATCGATAGCATGCATTTCACCAACATCGACAACTTCGATACCGATAGCAACGATAGATTAGTGGAAAGCTTGATTAATAACCACGTGGGTTCCGGTTTAGCAAGCGATGCTCACCAAACTGTTTCTATGATGTCGATGCTCGATTTGGATATTGATGGAATTAATTGAAATTTGAAAACGATTTCGGTTCTCTATGCAGTAGATTCGAAAGAAATGGAACATACAGAAGGTGGAGCGTAGACTTGTTTCCAGATTCACTATATTTTTTTACTAAGGTAATGAAAGGATAATTTTATTATAATTTATATTTAGTTTACACAAGGTACAATGCACATATATTTGTTTTTATGAGTATAAAAATAAATATGTAGTCAAAATATCCGATTCGTCGTTTGTCTACTTATTCCTGAGACATGATTTTAAACTCTTAATTTTAACCTGCTTACATTTTATCAAAATAATTCAAATTCCCAAACTTCGTAGAGTAATGAAATAAATAATTAACTCGCCTGTTGGGGATCTGTCCCTAATATTTAACTGGCAGTAAGTAGGGACTGTTTTTATTACTGTACGAGAATTGTGAATTACAATTGAAGTTAGAGTTAGACAGTTATTGACAATTTAAGGCATCATTGACAAGAGATTTGTGAATTCCACCACATACAGGGTTTACATACATATTTAATTGTCATTACATACGCTTAGTCTAAAATATGAAAATTTATCCTAATACAATTTCAATTTTTGAATAACATTTATTAATATAATATATAATTACAATACAGTACGCTTAATAAACTCGAATACTTCATTTTTAATAACTTTTAATGCGTATTTCTCATTTTTTTAGGCCATCTAAATGATTAAATTCGTTATTAATTAACTAGTTAGTGAGCCTCAATATAACATCTTCAAATAAACGGATCTTTTAAAGCTAAAGTGAATCCAAAAAGGTCCAATTTTGTCCTTTGTAGTGTATGGTATTATCCTCATGTAAAAGGTAACTTCATGTTCTAATTCAAACAGACCTTTATGCTCTCTACTATAAATATGCAATACGAGTAGCCTCATTAATTTCCTGTTCTCAATTCTTAATGCATAGAACCAAGTCCTAGATCCTAGAACTCCTTCATTTCCTCCAACGTAACCGCACCCTTTAGATCTTTACCAATAAAAGACATCTACAGATAGAATATTTCAGAGTAAGGGGAACTTAGTAGGTATACCTCAACTCGATCCGCAGGACCTGAAGTTATCTACCAATTTCAAACCTACCCCGATAGAACAAACTCGTATTAAGTAAAGCCTCATCTTGCGTTACGGGTTAGTAATTGAATTATCCATAATTTGTTCCTTGAAATTTCCGTTCACTTGATACCTAGAGTTGTCCATAATTTTGTAATTCGCCAGTTGCTCGTACACCTGCCGCATTCTTTGTATGTTTATCCTGCTGACCTCCGTGTGGTTGATCATCGGCAAAGGATAGTCCTTGCCGATGAGGCATTTCGCCGCCTGCTGAGTCCTTTCAGGAGCCAACCACGGCTCGTGAATGTACTGAGGCGGGATGTTCTTCAATATCGGCAGATATTTTCTGCAAAATTACTTAATAACGCATCGATTCGTGGTGGTTGGAATGTTTTTACCTTATGTAATCACCGTTAGGGTCTGCTTTTCGTCCGAATTTTATAGGGCAGTAGCAATGGAAAAATTGTTGGAAGAAACTGGAACAAGACAACCACATCCAAGTTCCTGCGTTTACAGACCAATCGGCGTCCAGTAGTAACTCTTCGAATACCTTAAAGAATGTGTTAGTATAAGCGTAAGTTAAGTTACTTGGGTTTTATACCTTCATTCCTTCCTCCCAAGATATCCAGAGGTCTCCACGCGTTAGGAAACAAGCAACAGCGTGTCTGGCTATGTGGTGTATCCACCCTTCCAGCCTCAACTGGGTCATTATAGCGTCTATCCAGGGAAAACCGGTTTGACCCTGGAAGTTTACATTTCACGAGCTTCACGACTTTGGCAATTTAATGTACTTACATTGGCCCATTTGGCTAGCGCTTCAGCGTTTCTATCCCACGGTATTTGCACGCAAATCGGATTTCCAAACATTTTATCGAAGCTGGGGTTCTTCGTGGCGGCGCAGTAGAAGAATTCCCTCCACAGCAGCTGGCCGTGCAGCGACAGCGGCGGAAAGGCTTTCTTAATTTTCTTGTACAAATCCGTCAGCTGGTAATAGAACAACCTGGTGGACAAACACCCGAATCGCAGGTACGGAGACAGGCCCGTTTGGGACGGCAGGAGCGACTGCGGCGTCATTTTCGGCCTGCCGAAGGACGCCACCCAGGCTTTCCGTTCCAAATGCCGTTCCAGACGAGCCAGAGATTCCGTTTCGCCGCCTTGCCACACCGGCGGATTCAAACCTACAACTCCTCGATATTTCCGAATACTGTTAAAACAAAGCATTAACTCTCACCTTCGGTGTCGAAACCTAGTTCCTCCAAGGTCGGTACTCCGTACTTTTCTTCGTGATCGTCCGTTAAAGGTGTAACGGCGCCGTTTAAGGTTGAAATGCTGACGGGAACGTCCGGTTTCGGTGGCGGCCCCATCGTCGCGATGATGGCCAGGAATTGATTGTAAGTGAGAGGCGCCTTTCCAGCATTTCTGTCTATAATCTGCTGGAGATGGTAGAGCGTGTGGGAGACGCGCTGGATCACCTACAATCTCTTTATGAAATCGGTCGTTTAGTGTATTGTTTTAAGGTTTACCGTTATGCCTAACTCATTGCATAGTGCTGTTAGGTTGTGGTCTCTGACTCTTCCGAACGGTTCGGGGTCTTCTTCGAAGGTGAGGTCGGTGGTGCCCCATTCTTTGAACAGCTTCGGCAGGACGTCGGCCGGTTGGCCGCGTATGACGAACAATCTCGAGTTCAATTTGCGCAAATTATGGTCCAAATCCTCCAAACATTGCAACAGAAACCTGAATATTAATAGCAACTATTTATGTTTCTTCTGTCGAGTGGGTTTGAAGCGTACGATTTACCTCCATTTGTTGATGCCGACGTTGGAGGAGCCGGCGAACCAGGGGTCGAGGATGAAAACGCAGCGAAATGTCTTGGCCCCTTTCAGTCCTTCCTTCAGCGAGGGGTTGTCGTGGAGGCGCAACCCTTTGCGGAACCAATGCACCGTGTGTTTCTCCTTTCCGGCGGATCTTCGGCTCGCGCTCCCGCTCATCTACTTAATGTGGAAACACATTTTTATTTTCATAGCTCGAATAGACTCGCTTTCGTATCCCCGAATAGACGCTGGCTGGAATACAGAAACTACCATGAGTCTCGGCTATTCTATTTCGATTAGAAAAAAATACTGGGGAGAGTGCGATATCCGTGGCGCCGCGATTTGGCAACTTTTTTTAGCTTAAATGAGCCAAAATAATGTTTTTTTTTTGATATCTCGCCTCGTTTTCGAGATATCGATATTTGAAGTTTTTACCAAAAGTTAGTTCAAGATTCGCTTAGTGTAGTGTGGTGTAATAGGATAGGGTAAGTTTTTTTTATATGTTAATAGAGATTGTAAATTAAATTTATAATGTAAGGTAGACTAAGGCAAATGTAAAAATGGGGTACATGTAATATTTTATTACATGTCAACATTTTAAAAAATATGTAAAATCGTTTTCTTCCTTTTTCAAAAAAACTTTTTAATACCTCGATTCTTTAGTTTAGGAAGTTGTGAATTTAATGTGGTATCTACATTTCTAATAAAAGAAAAAATAAAGCCACATTTTAGGATTTAATTTGAACTATTCAAATTTTACAACCGATTTGCCCCAGTCTACCTTACTATAATTTATTGTAATTTATCATTAATTATATGATTTATTGAAGATTTATGAATATATTAAGAAAAAAAAATGTTCAACTTCAAGTATCGATATCTTGAAAATGAAGCAAGCTAACAAAAAATTATTCTTCATTTTCGCTTTATTTTGGCTTAATTAAGCTAAAAAAGTTATCAAATCGCGGCGCCAAAATAAACTCTAACCAAAATACTCTTTCCAAAATATTAAATTCTGCGAATTTAATAGAAAACGGATCCACGGAGTATTCGCTTCCTGAAGATACATTTAAAAACTTTACTATTTAAATTTTCAATGAGTGGATACAATCTATTAAAGGTCAACTTTGTTTACTTATTCAATACGACTTTGCATATCATAATTTCTAATCTACTTACTCATAGGCTAAACTGGTGAAAGTAATGGGTATACCTACTTACATTTTCTGGTAAATAAAAAGCCCCGAACAGGCGATGAATGCCGCACAGAAAACAAAACCGCACTAAAACCACCCGAAAATCCTTTGGATTTTCGATTGCAGCGGAAAATTGCTGGAAATTAAAATATGTTCTAACGCATAGCGAGCAGTAATTTTTCTCTTCCACGACGAATGCAACGTGACCGGGAGTCGGAGAGGCCGGCGATTGGCTACAGGTGTCATGTGATCGCTTTGAAGTCACGTTGCATTCGGTGTGGTTTATCGATATCGTTACATGACATACTCGGTGCATTTTAAAAATACGATTTTGTTACTTAATGAAATACACTGGTCATGGGATCGAGCGGAACGCTCGTTTTGAGGCCCCGTTATCTCGAAATAAAAGCGCGTGTAGCGCATCCTACAGGGTGTTAATTAGTAATTTAGGGTTGCCCAAATTCTCCCAAATTGCTCTCAAATTGCTCTCAAATTTCCTGATTTAGTAACGGGACATTCTATGTACAGTTGCATTGGATTTCTATTGCAATTTCCTTCAACCAATTAAAGATTAATTGGCTGAATTGGCAATATTTAAAGACTAATTAGCAATATTTCATTAATACCCACCCATTTCCTTTCTTCTACATAAACTTTGAAATAAATATCACATTACAGTATCTAAAAAAACCAGTTTGCGGATTTCCGAAAAACAAATTAGCGAATTTCAATCAAACGAAAGTTGTTGAAATTTATACACTTTCATCTGCAGAATAAAATTCGTAATTTCAAACCCACTTTATTTTATTTCTGTAAATATTTGATTGCATGACTGACTCATTCCCTATAACGTGATCAAGATTGTCTGAAATGCTACTCAGATTATTTACCTGCAGGAGTGGGGTACATAAAAGGGGGTGATGAATTGACAAGGGAAGGATAAAGCACGATGTTCCGTATAAATTTAACTACTAAACTAATCAATAAGTCGTTTTTACATATTATTTCTACTAGCAAGTGCAGAAGTAGCATTATGTCGAAGGAAATTGTACAGGATTATAATTAGTTTAAAGCGATTACGTTATGTTTCCATAAATAGAAATTTAGCATTAATTGCGTGCGGTTTATTCATTTAAATATCCTATTTATTGTTATATAAGGATTGATTTTATTAATTAGGCAAATTTGAATTGGTCTGTTGTTTTTAGATTGAAAAGCAAGTTTCTAAAATTACGCCTGATTTGATTCTGAATATTTCATACTCTATTTCAACAACTTTTATTTCAAAGTTTTCTTGGAGCTTTATCGGTCAATTAATTTACGTTAGAAATAATATTTTTGATTTAGTTGCTTTATGTTAATTATGTTTAATGATTGTCATGACGAGCTTTCCTGCCTGAGTTTTTTCTGATTTTAGTAATTTTTGAAACATTCTGTATGTGTATTTTTTAAGTTTATTTGGTAGATACTTTTTGAAGCAATATTTTACTGAATTAAACCATTGAAGAAACTTCTTAGAATCCCCATTCAACTAAATTTTCGCTACACTTTCAATCGCACATATTCCACACAAATTAGACAGTACCAAAAAGAGCCAAGAGGCAAAAATCGAGCAATTTAACAGCGCACCGTTAGAGGTGGAAGCTTTCCTGCCTCCAATTGTTCACGCTAAATGAGCACGAGCGAACCAAACTAACAGGTGCGAGTTACTAGACAAGAAATTTCTTCATTACAAACGAAACGCTCGCTGATTGCCATGCTGGTTGGTTTGGTTCGCGTTCCGAGGGTGGACAATGAACACTGTTTGTGCTTCCCGTGAAGTTCGATGGAATTGACATGTTGCTATTGTAACAGGGTAAGATGAATAACAAAATTTTATTCCACTTATTGTACATTGCTATGGTGATGGAGGGTTTGTTAGAGCCGGTATTTAAACCTCTACATAACAAACTTTTACCTAACTTTTTACATTAATTAATTAACAAATTTAACTAAGCAATGATAATAATAATTGAAGATTGAAGTAACAAAATTTTATTCCACTTATTGCACATTGCTATGGTGATGGAGGGTTTGTTAGAGCCGGTATTTAAATCTCTACATAACAAACTTTTACCTAACTTTTTACATTAAATAATTAACAAATTTAACTAAGCAATGATAATATTAATTGAAGATAATATTATCTGCATACTATTTAGTCCCTTTGTGGGTAACTTGTCTCAAGTTTCACAATTTATTCTTGAGGCTTCATTGGAATCAGTAAATGAAATTCACTTTAGAGTAGATAAAACAGTTTCCAAGTTACTTTGAATGCCGGTATAATAAAAATATATGATACAATTATTATACATAGTTCGAAATATCGTACGGTATTTTTTACAGAACATTTATAGAGCAAAATAACCAGCCGTATCGGCGGCGTTCGCGGCTCGAAGGAGCAAATTGTTGTAAAATAATGTGCTCCAGTTGCCAAGGAACCCACAGTATGTTAAGTCGGCGTGTTAAGAACTTCCGCGCGTTCCGGGCGTTTTGAAATGGATTTTTCGGAGCACAATGAACGGGAGAGAAATTCGTTGTTGTATGGTCGACGATGATGGTAATCGAAATCGTTGCGAAACCGTCGTTGACAGAATACAGAGCGACAAAAGTGCACGGGCGCAATCGGATGTTGTTCGACAATAATTATGGAAATCGCGCGCGCCGGAATTTGCATGATAATTTTAGTTTTGCGGGCGTGAACAAGTTCAAATCCCTGCAGGAAAAGCGCTCTTGAATGGCTGGAATCGAGATCAAAAATGCACAATTTCCACTTAATAAAACCGATATTGTCAAGACAAGATATTAATAGAACTATTAAATAATACTAAAAATGTTTTGCTAATTTTTTTATACATTTTTAATTGGTAAATTTGTAGTGTTAAAAGACAAAAAAATACAAATTGATCCTCTTCATAGAAAAATATTCTTCTTTATTCGCTTTGTTTTCATAAACATTTACCTACTTTATAATTAATTAAATACAGAATATCTTGTTTGAATTTTAAATAGCTGTTTAACATTCCCATATTAAAAACCCAATTTTTTTCAGATGTTTATTATACAATGGCAAGACACTATTGCGGTGCATACAAGTATTTCTTATGGACTTGTTGGATACTTCTACAAAAATCTGTAACAGGTAATTTTATTTCTAATACTCTACTAGATATCCTTCAACCTCAAGTTCTTTTAGGATAAACAAAACTTGTGTGAGCGATATGCTTTCTAAAAAATGTATAAAGATTTTAATCGTCTTTGGTTATTAGGTATTCGTTAAGCATACAAAATTCGCCATCCATAACAATCTAATTCCCATTTACAGTTAGTTAAAAAAGCCGAATTTATTACCGGCAGCGGAGCGCTGGCGCGAATTTTTCCAATACGAAAACTTCTAATAAATAAATTAGCCATCTGATAACGAAACTCGAAGAGCTGTTACGAGGCGGTTTTACCCGTGGAAAATCATTGCGCCAAGAAGGAGGAATTACGGTGCAAAGCACACTCCATCCGGTCGCCGAAGAGCGCCTTTCACCTGTCGGCTTCCGAAGATTTAGGGGGCGATCAAAGTGTATCATTCCGAGCGATTTATGCGTAGGGCTTTTCTGATCGAAGTCTATTAATTCGTGGGAACTATTTTTTACATGAAATATTTCGTTCAGATGAGGCAGCCTTAAATTACTCGTGAAATTTATGGACGAGTACAAAGGTGTGAAATCCTGATGATAGTCATTTTGGTAGAGGAATTTCTTTCATTTTGGTAGAGGATGTGTACGAATTGAAGTCGTGAAGTAGAGCAAAATTTGGTTATGATCTAGAGGATGTTTCAAAATTGATGCGAAAAAAATTCAGTTTCAAATATTAGAAAATAAGTATAAAAAATTTGAAGGTAAATTAATTACCTCTTTGAAATATCAAATATCAGAGCCTAGTGTAGTTTGAAAAGTAATCATACCATTATTACTGTTAGAACGTTAGAACTTCCCATTATAATTCTTTTTTATTTAATTTCATATATTTCCGAAATTCCTTCTCGAATAACGCACTTATAATTTAAAAATTGGGCAATTCATACCGTTAAATTTTTAACACGAACATTACCCGCGTCGAGTTTAAATTTCTAATGGCTTTTACCTTACCAGGTAATTTTCGACTTGTTTGAGGCGATTTTTTTAACAGTATTCCACCGATTAAGACCCATCAAATTGCTCGCATCTACAACATACCAATTTAGAAAAATAGGCTCATTTTTCGCATTTACCTACTTTCGTTTCGATGTTTTACATGATCGTGCGTGTTGAACAAAACGACTGTAACAAAAGGATTTGTTATAATTCCTTTCGTTTCGATTGCATGTTCTACTTCTCGAAAGAAATCGACTGTTAATTGTGAAGAGTATACGAAAACGACGCCATTATTTAAATACCCTTATTTAATCTCTTCGCATTTGAAGAGATCGAGAAAGAAAAGTGGGTATTTCAATCGCTTTAAACTCTAAAGTGCAGGTATTTCGCGTAGGATTTATATGCGATTTTGAGCCAATTACGAATTAATTAATCAAAGATTAACCTACAACCGACTCGATATATCATCCACTTTCTATAACGATTTATTTTCCACACGAAAATAAAACGAAAACAATATGCAATTAGCCGAAGAAAACGAAGGTAAAACAACAATACCTATGTCGACGTTGGCGAAACATCATAGGTTTAAATTGCATTCCGTCGATCGAATGTGCATGTTCTACTTACTTTTACCTCGATGAGAATACAAAAAAATGCATTTTTTTCGATTTCTATCCACCGGATGCAATTTGTCTGTTTTAATTTATCTTTGAAATAAGTGTAATTTGTTTTAAATGCGCAAACACGCGGCAGGTGTTGGTAATTTTACCGGTACTTACTAGAAAAATTAGCCAGTAGATTTCACTAGAAATATATCAGATGAATTTTTTGTAATACAATAAGTAGCTACAATTTTATGGTAATCGGTAAATTTCAATCGCGATAAAAACTATCGCAGTTGCGAAATGGCGCAAAATTACACCAAAAGGGATAACTATCTCGGCCTTCTCTGCTAATTGAAATTCTTTAACTGCCGTAAACAACAAAAGCACCATTACGTAAGGCTTTTCTTCGGTTAGGTGTTTTCATCGTTATTTCCATTACTTTTATTAGCCATGTAATTGCACCTTTCCTTGTATTATTTTCATTACGCAAGTGCATTTTTATTACGTAACGCAAGATGAATTCGTAAGAAAAAGGGCGCCGATTACCATCTAAAACGACTATAATTAAACACTTAAATAATCCCTTGAACGGCTCGTTGAAATTAATTCACTTTTTATGGTAATTCGTTTAATTTGTTAGGTATTAAAAACTGGATATAAACATGCATAATTCGTTGCAGCAGTAAATTAATAGTCCTTTGAGAACACGGGATTTATAGTCAATTCTAGAGGAGTTCTTAAACTATATTCCATCTTGTTAGGCAATGAAGTCTCGTGATTTTTAGTTGACAGATGACAGTTTGACTCGTGACGTCATTGCCTACCGAGATGAAATCTGATATATTTATAAACTTCTAATACGTCCCATATTCCAGCGCTAACAGACAACAGATGCTTCCTGGAGAACGGAGCCTCCTCGGAGAACTTCTTCGTGGCCGAAGACACGCCGGTGGGCTCTCTGATCGGCCAAATCCACGTGCACGGCGATCCCAGACCCAACGGCTCGATCGGCCTCCGACTGAAGGAGGCCGACAGCCCGGTGGCCATCCCGCCGGGCACCAAGGACCTCACCTTGCGCAAGCCGCTCGACAAGGAGGGCCTCGACGGGCCGGCCTCGGTCTTCGTCAACGTCGTCTGCGAACGCCTGGGCACCAACGATCCCGGCTTCGTCGTGCCGGTGAGCGTCCGCGTGACGGACGTCAACGACAACGCGCCCGCCTTCATCAACGCCCCCTACGTCCTGAACATCTCCGAGGTGACGGTGGTGGGCACCAGGGTGTTGCAGGGCGTGCACGCCGTCGACGGCGACCAGCAGGGCGTCTTCTCTAGCGTCCGGTATTCGGTGTTGCCCGGCCGGCATTCCGATTATTTCGAATTCGAGAACGAACTCGAAGGGACGCTCGTGCTCAAGAAGCCGCTCGACTACGAGAGTTTGAGGACGTTCGATGTGCACATCAGGGCCGAGGATCACGGGGATCCACCGAAGAAGAACGATACCGTTCTTACGGTTAATGTCATCGATGCTGATGATCAAAATCCTAAATTCATGGATGATAGGTGAGGAACTATAATACCCTACTCTTCCCTACTCGTCTCTACTCTTCCCTGCACTTCTATACTCTGCCCTGCTCTTCCCTACTCTTCCTTGCTCTTTCATACTATTCTCTACCCTTCCATATTCTTCCCTGCTTAACCATACTCTTTCCCGGCTCTTTCATACTATTTTCTACTCTTCCATATTCTTTCCTGCTCTTTCATACTCTTTCCCTGCCCTTTCCTACTCTTTCATACTCTTTTCTACTCCTCCTTGCTCTTTCATACTATTCTCTACTCTTCTATATTCTTCCCTGCTTAACCATACTCTTTCCTTGCTCTTCCATACTCTTTCCCTGCTCCTCCATACTCTTCCCAGCTCTTCCTATACTCTTTCCTATTCTTCTCTACTTTTTCCTACTTTTCCCTGCTCTTCCATACTCTTCCCTGTTCTTCCATACTCTTCCCAGCTCTTCCTATAATATTTCCTATTCTTCTCTACTCTTCCATACTCTATCCTACTCTATGCTATCATAAATTTGATGAAAATTAAATCAAAACTAGCCTTACCCGGGCATATCCATCATACGCAACACCATTCTACCGAGAATATTATTAAAGAACTTTCGCTCTACTTTAAATTTACAAAAAGTATTGTTCTGCAGGTACACTTCCGTATTACCGGAGCCGCCTAAGAAGGGTTCTCTTCTGATCGTCAAGCCGAGAGAACTGCGGGCGTTGGATCAAGACGCGGGCATCAATTCGGAGATATACTACACGTTCAACGAGGTCGGGATAGAGTACACGTTCTTCAAATTGAACAGATTAGCGGGGAAGATTAGTTTGGCCAAAGATCTATCGGATAGCGATATACCTTACCCGGTTACGCTTGTTATCAGGGCCACCCAGCAGGATAATCCCGATAGATACGCGTTAACAACGCTTACTGTAAGTTACTCTTGTGTATTGGTTATGATTTTGATTACATTTTTTAATGCGTAGGTTACCAGGAACTCGGCGAAAGGTATACGATTCCTGCACAGCACGTTTTACATAAAGGCATCAGAAGCCCTTCCAGCGGGATCGGTTATCGGAACATTAGCTAATAACAGACCCGGCGAGCACTTGCGATATTTCGTCTCGGACCAAAACATCCTCAGAACGTTCACCTTCAACACGAAAGGGGAGCTATCGTTAAGAAAGAAACTAGATTACGAAGAAAAACCGGAGTATTATTTCAAAGTCTTCGCAACAGACGGAATCACGGTAAGACACACCTCCGATTTTACTCGCCTCGTTTACAACTTCCATCGTTTGCAGAACGATTCCAGTATCGTGAACATCTCCGTGGAGAACACCAACGAATGGGAGCCGCGCTTCCGCTATCCCCATTACGAGTTCTACATATCGGGCCGGCCCAACGAGTTGCTGGGGCGCATCGAGGCCGCCGACGGGGACAAAAACGACAGGCTGTCGCTGTCCCTCAGCGGCGCCTACGCCTCCACGTTCGCCATCTCCGAGAACGGGGAGCTCCGGCTGAGGGACCCGAAGGACTTGGACGCGCAGATGGTGAATTTGGCCGTCGTCGCGACGGACAACGGCCGACCGCCGAGGTCCTCGACGGTGCCGGTCACCGTGCACCTTCCGGCGGCCGCGGATAAGTCGGGAATTGTAGCCAATAAGAAAAGTAACGGAGGTTCTATACTCCTGGCCGGACTCGGTGCAATATTATTATTTCTGCTGTTCGTAGTGGTACTTTTGGTAGCCTACATTTATAAAGTGTGAGTTGATACGTTGGAGTAATCGCGGAGTATACAGGTTTTTTTTTTAGGAAAAGAAATCCGCGCCGGGTGGGTTCGGCTCTGCGATCGGAGAAGGATGGTAAAGGGTTGAAGAAAATCACGAATCCAATGTTCGGGGAGAGGTCCCGAACGCCGACGGCTACCGCCTTGGGCGGGGTGCCCAGCGAGCTGAAGATCAAGAGCCCCAAAGTGCACCCGGCGCCGCAGCCGCCCCTTTGGGCCTCGGACTCCGCCAGGGTCAAGAAGCTCAGCTGGGGAGACGACAAAGTGAGTTAGTAAATTAAAAGATTTTCTATCGATTCCTCTAGAATACTCATTCGGGACTCTTACAAAGCTGTCGTACAGTTATATGAAATAGTACAACGTCAATTTGTCATTTAAAAATAGTAATTTTTTACTAAAACGATGAAGAAACTTAAGATAAAAAAACCGCTGAAGAGAGCAACAATAAAACGGAATAAAGTCGTAGATGAAAATAGCCAAACAGAGAGTACTGAAGGATACAGTACTGCAGATGAAACCGATAACACTAACAACGAAGAAAATCGACTAGTAACGATAAAAAACGGAAAATTCGTTTACGATATTAAATTTGGAACTGTTAAATTCATAACAGCTGTTACGATGGTACTGATATTTATTAACACGATATTCTCGTTGTCTTTGTTCGATTCTTCGATAAGAATACGCAGTCATTTGGGGTATTTCATCAACATGGTTTCCAACACAGCCGAAGGAGCGAAACTGCCCATTTTCCAATCACTACCAGTTCTGATATTCCTAATTTTCGACCTGATCTTTCTATTCGCGCTCTGGAAGATATTCAAAAGGAAGAAACAGCGAAAATACAACTGGTTGCTATTCGTTATTATCATCGCCCATTTAGCTCTCATCATCCTCACCTTCATCTTGTTATTCGTCATCATGGGCCACATTTACGGAGGACACGTGTACATCCACGATGGTATCATGGAAGCCATGAAGAACTACTCGAGCAACTCCTTATTCAAAAAACAAATCGATAGGTAAGATCTACTCGGATCTACCCAACATTCCGGAACGCTCCAAACACCGCTTCTCCCCAGCTTGCAAATAGAATTCCAATGCTGCGGCAGCAAGAAGTACGACGAATGGTACAACATCCAATGGTACGACGCGAGCCTGATAAAAAAAGGCCACGCGGAGAAGTCCAACGGCAACACGCCCTTCAGCTGCTGCTCCATGTCCTCTCTGTCCCCTTGCGTTCACCACAACATAGAGAACACGGGGAAGGGCTACTTGTACACCCCCGAGCAGAACTTGAGCATCTCCACGACGGGCTGCCACGAGAAGATCCTGACGAAGACGCGCCAGGTCGGCTGGAAGATCATCGGGAACCTGCTGATTTTTATCGTCCTGCAAGGAGTGGTGCTGGTTGGGATGAGGCTCTTGCAGACTGCTCATTACGCTAGTAAATTCGCGTTCGGGGGGCACAATAGAGTTTATACGGCGTGGATTTTCGGTAGGGGGGTTATGAAAAATTCGATCGCGCCCGATGATGGTCCTCCGCCTGTACCGCCCGTGCCGGATGAGTTGAAATGATTGCAAATTTATTAGAAGAGATCGGAAGATTTTCTAGTGTGAATGATTTAATGTTTGCGTTAGTGTGGAAGGTTTTCTGTAGTATATTAATTAGTGTATCAATTTTATTTTACAGACGGATACCGAGAGCGCTGAAACTCTGAATGAAGCTACCAATTCTACGCCAGCAACGTTGCAAAGTAACACAAACTTAACTGTTTACTTTTAGTTATTCGAAAATATGTATGTATATGTATAGCGTAATGTTAGAAATAAAGTGTAAAATTTTACTGTCAATTTGTAATAATTTATCGATGTTTTTTCTTTAGTAGTCTCTAGTTGCTATATTCCTCGGGTTTTAGAAAATCAGTTCCAAGAAAAAACGAACATAGAAATCAACAGGTAATAACAAACTTTTTAGTGTCAAGCGTGATTCATAATCGCAAATCAAAATCCGGTCAACCGGGCTATTAATGATATAATTTTTATCAACTAATGCGGCTCTTAGGAGCTTTCAGCTCGGAAATTCCGAGTCGATATCGACTCTTGCGACACTAAAACTAAGCCCCGACGACCAGCGTTTGGGAAAGAGAGAGTATGTAGGTAAAATTTCATTTTCTGTTTTATGATTATCCTCACTTTCTTCGCTCAGTTCGGTCCGTCAGCCAGCCTTGCCCGTACCGAAGATAACGCGTAAGTGTGTCATGAAAGTTAATGTCGCTTTGTGTTTGTTTTGCATTGTTCTCGCCGACGCTGGCACAGAGGCGCCCGAGGATGATTCGGAAGGGATTTGGAGCGCCTTGCTGGAGAAATGGGCCACCAGTAAGACGACCAATAATAGGTATATTTACAGGTTTTCTATACTCTTTAAGAGTGTTAAAAATGATGAACACAAATCGTACTGTATAGGCCTCTCTCCTGAGTAACTTTAACCCAAATACAGTGTAGAATGTATAGGATATTTAACAATTCATCTTGGGGTCTCCTGATTGAGCAGAACCTTTATTTTATAGACAGAGTCGCGTTATGTTGATACCGATTTCTCCGAATTCGTTCGTAGCGGAGGATAAAATGAGTAATTTTTCGAAAGAATCCAAGGTAATCCCGGGGAAAATCGTCAACAACGTAGCGCCTCAGAAAATCTCTACAACCGGAGGAAGGCAAGTCTCTGAGACGGACTTGTACTTACTAGGCGCCATCGAAAAATTGGTGTATAAAGTGGATTTTATGGAGAAAAGATTGCGAAGAGTCGAGGAAATGCTGTACTATAACATGGCAGGAAACAGAATAGATACGGGTGAGTTACAGCCCTCAAAAAGTTAAAGTTTCATGATAGAATTTGAAAATCATTTCCATTTTTATTCCAGAACCGTGCCCCAATAATTACACTCGGGTCGGGCACGAGTGCTACCATTTCAACAGCTACACCGGAAGGGAATTCGATTGGAAAGTGGCGAGTAAAACTTGCAAGAAAATGGGCGCATTCCTAGCCGAAATGGAAACCATCGAAGAAAACCAAGATTTAGTCACCTATTTAGTATCAACACAACATCTAAGAGGTAAATACAACCCTTAAAAACATTCCAAACAACACAACAAACCGGCCTTAAATCACAACATAACTATTCCAGGTAGGGACTTCTGGGTAGGAGGTCTCAACCCGGGGCTCCTCTGGATATGGAGCAACAGCGCCAGGCCCGTCGCGGCGCCGGGCTCTCACAACAACAAAGACAATCCGTCGTCGGCGATCAACGGAGAAGGGCGCTGCTTGAGACTGGCCTACAATCCGGCCCTTCGATCGTACAGCTACAGGGGCACCGACTGTTCGATGAGGTACAACTTTATCTGCGAGAAGCCGCTGAACAAGTCGAGTAACGAGATTAGGAGGCTCGGTAGGAGTAAAAACATACTAAGCGACGAACTGTAACCGAATGTGTATTAATAACGATTATTTATTACATTTTATTACTAATAACCAAGAAAAATCAAATGTATTTAAGCAGATGTAGATTAAAATAAATAGTTTTTTTTTATATACAACACCATTCGAATTAATTGCAAACCTATATTCTAGCAATTTAATATAAAAGCCAATTATGCTAAAATAAAATTATATTAACCGAGCTGTAAAGAAAAATATATTTCATTTGCTACATTACTATATACAATATCTGCTTATTTTGAAACTTGACCTTCCTTCTCTTTCTGGGCTTTGTAATCGTCGTGCCATTGCTGATTGAGTTTGACCAACGATACTCCTTCTTTCGCTTCTTTTTTACCTACGTACACCATCGCGAAACAGCCTATTACTGTAGCCAGCATCATGTAATTAGCTATTTTGATTCTAACACGGTTCCTGCACTTTTCCATCGTACTTTGGGAAACGTACGTGGGGACTTCCTTGACGGTTTTGTAGTTGCCAGTCCATACAAGAAATCTTCTTTCTAGGTTATTAACCTTGTGAGTTGTTGAGCCCAGTTCGCCTGCATTGTGCTGGAATCTGACCCAGCCTACCAAAGAGTTGTGCTTTAGAGATTTAGAAAATATGTTTCGTATGAAAGCCATCTAAAAATAATGTACAAAATTAATTTGATAGACGTTGAAGGAGTGATTTATGAATTTTTTGCGAATAATAACTGCAATTGTTATGAAAATATGCATATTATGATCACGAGAATATTGCAGTCGTGCATCAGTTTGGTTGATTACATAAACATTACTTACTTGCAGGATTCGTATATTTTATAATGACATTAATATATATTATTTTTATAATAGGTATTTCATGACTGAACAGATAATTAATTAAATTAAAAATTGATAAAATTATTAGAGATAAAAAAATTTACAAATAAACTACTAACCTCAATTTTTCTTCATTTCACAAACAAAGTCAACTGTCAAATAAAACTTTTCAAACTACAAATTTGACTGGATGCGACAAAAATAAAAGACCATAACGAAATGAAAAATACTTCATTTGCCAAAAATGTCAATGTCAAAAGTCAAAATAGAAACTCCATGAACTAATATTGTAAAAAATAAATAATTTCAGTTGTAAACAGTATTTATAATGCGAAATGGGCCGCAAATGTAACGTGGAAGGTTGCCAATCCGACTCGAGCAGACCGAAAGATGTCGGAGTTACATTTCACAAAGTTCCGCCTCACAGCGACATCAGACCAAAGTGGCTGTCTTTATGCAGGATACCGGAAGACAAAAAGAGCGTTAAAGTTATATACGTTTGCTCCCGGCATTTCCTCCGAGCCGATTTCTGTAATTTCAAAGGTAAGAAATACATGCTGAAGCAAGGGGTGCTGCCTAGTGTATTTCCCTGGGACAAATCGAAGCTCGAAGCCATCAAAGCCGAAACGAAGAAGGATAAACAGTCTGATTCGAAGGACGAGTCCGGGAATAGTTCTCAAATTGTCACCGATTTGGACACTAGCATTGATATTAAAGAAGAAAATTTAGAGGATAAAATCAAGCAGGAAGTGCTCGAAGGGGACGATCAATTGAGCGAATTGAAAGTCGAGCCGAAGAATGAAGAAGACATTAAAGAAGAAACTCCTAACACATCGACGACTAATTCTTTAAATTTCACCATTAATTCCAAATTGGAAGTGTTAGATTTTAAAAACAAATGGTATCCAGCCAAAATAGTGGAAATCGATTACGAGGAAAACGAAGTGTTGATACATTTTGATAATTTTTCGACTAAATACGACGAATGGATATCGACGAACAGCTCTCGCTTAAGGCCCCTGCAGGAGGGAACCCCTGCAGTGGATCCTGAGAAAAACCTTGATGGAAATGATGCTTTTGCAGTCGGAGAAAGATGCCTAGCTTCTTGGAGTGTATCGAGGAAATTTCCCGCTACTATAACAAAAGTATTAGATAATGGTAAACATGAATAGTTTTTTGTGTACAAGTTTATTAATAATTTTGATGTTTTAGATAATTACGAAGTACTATTCGATGACGGGTTTGTTAAAACTTTGAAAGGTTCTAAAATTAACAAATCTGATGGTAAATCCAGTTCTCTGTTTGACCCGATAAAGAGCACTAAACAAGACAGAAGGGATAAAAAACGAAAATTAAATGTAGCCGCTCTATTTAGGAAAAGACCAAAACTAGATCTAGTCGATGATAAATCGAAAAAGGCAAATACTAGTACCGCAAGTACATCGGACGCCGCTGAATCGCCTCAAACCGATGGTATTAGTCCTGGATTGACACCGTCTGCAGATGATATTGATAACTGGAAACCGAGGTACTTAGTTATCTGAAGCAACTAGTCTGTGACTTTAATTTTGTGATATTGCAGTTGGTACAAGAATAAACCTATAGGGATAGAATCTTCACTTCAAACTCAAGATGGCCTTAAAGTAACCTACATAGTTCCCGATCCTCGACTTCCACCTGGCTGGAACAAACATCTAATTCGTCGTACAAAAGGATGTGATCCTGGCAAATGGGACACAATAATTATCAGGTAGGTTAAATATTTACAAATTTACCAACAGATTTATTGAAAATAATGTATTTCTTTACTTCTAGTCCCGACAATAAAAGATTGCGATCAAAGTCGGATGCATTGAAGTACATAGAGGATCATCCCAACGAAGTACTCAACGAGAAAATGTTCGATTTTTCGCTTGTATTGAAAAGAAAACGCAAAACCGCGACCTCCACTCCGATGAAATCTCCTCCGAAAGAACCTCAACCTTCAAATCTCGCGGAGTTCGAAGAAAACTTAGAAGCTTCAACGGATAGTCAGATTAGAGAAGAAGGTTGTTTCGCCAAATGTGGATTTATTTTATTTTAATATGACGATTTCTCCAGACAATTCCAACTGCCTTAAGATACTCTTCGAAGACGATGCGTACAAATGTCCGATAAGCGGATGCGGTAAAATATTTAGAAGGGAAAATTTGGCGCAAATGCACGTGAAACACTATCATCCCGAGTACACGAAATTTCTGGATTCAACTCCTAATGTCGCCGATTTGGCTTATGCTCGCACTGTGGGGGAAAGTCTGGATAGATCTCCAGGTAAAACATCCTTTAAAAAATTTGTAAATTGTAGAGAATTCAAAGTTCGCGAGGTTTTTATACAACATTTTAACGTATGATTAGAATAAATGGGGTATTTAAATGTGCTAAATGAAGCAGTTAGCAATATTGATTTTTGCCAAATCAATTATATTGACCATTTATATACCAAAATCAGTTATGGTTGTTGTAAATGTAATTAACGAAATTTTTCTTTCATTGCAATCTTAGAGGAGTACGACTTGAAGACGGACGGCCATTTTTTAAGTAAATATGAATTTACTTGTTTTGTAGCACAAATAGCTGGTTTGTAGGACGAGGAATTCACTTTTATTTTCTTATGATTTTTTTTTGCTTGTAACAATCACAAAATTCCAGTGATGATAATCGAATTGTGTGTTATAGGACCCCAAAAACCGCCGCCGTTGAAACCGGCTTTGAAAACCATCCTGAAAACGCCGAAACATTCGAGTTCGGCGCTAGAAGAAATGCCCGAACTCAAACCGGCCGGCAAACCCAAATCGAAGGATTCCGAAATCATCAAATTGCTGAACACCAAGCCGTACAACAAGCAAGAATCGGAGGGCGTCCAATCGCCGCCCGCCACGGGAACCCCCGCCAGCCCTTATCCCGACATTAAACTCAAGGATCTGCTGACCAGGACCGACACCGTCCCCAAAAGGGACGACTTGAACATGAAGAACCTCTGCAAAACCAAACCGGCCGGTATAAAAACTTTACTACCCGGTCACCGACCGCCATCCGAACCGCTAAGTAAGCCTCTCTCATCGACGATCACTCATAAAATCTAATTTCTATTACTTAGGCGAGTACGAAGACTTCCCGAAGCCACCGAAGCGAAAACGAGGCCATTTAGACAGTACCGAAACCATCCAAGGTAGAGACCATCAAACCGATCAACAGAACCAATCGACACCTAATCCCACACTTCCCGTCACCGCTCCTCCATCTCACAATTTACCAACCACTCCACACGATCCATCTCCCGCCACCCAATCACCGATCACACAACCACCCGCTCCCCACCATCCCCCTAATAATATTATCATTGAAGGCGGCGAGGTGATTAAGATAGTGAGAATGAAGCAAGAGGAGATCATCAATTGCACGTGCGGCTTCATGGAGGAGGACGGGCTGATGATCCAGTGCGAGCTGTGCCTGTGCTGGCAGCACGCCTACTGCAACAACATCGAACGGGAGAGCCAGGTGCCCGATAAATACGTTTGTTACATCTGCCAGAATCCGCTGCGGGAGCGCCGCTCTCGGAAGTACTACCACGATCAGGACTGGCTGACGAAAGGGGCGATGCCGGTGGGTGGTTTCCACACGAAGGACGACGAGGCGCTGCACAAGCGGTTCGAGAAGTTGAAGAAGTGCCACGATTTGTCGGGGAGATTGGTGGATTTGGCGCAGTACCAGCACAGCTTGGGGATTAAGATGAAAATAGCCGAGTAAGTGTGTTGCGAGATTGAAGTTTGGTGGAGTTTACTAAGGTGTTTTTTTTTTTAGGGCTAAGAATCATCCTAAATTGTATTTGTGGTCGAAACCGTGGCCTAAATTGGCGTTACCCGAAAAAACTAAACCGGAATTGGAGGATATAAAACCGAAGATCGAAGGCGATGGTTCCGATTTCCTTAAAAGCGATTTCGACGATGAAAAGGAGTCTCAGAATGAAAATTCCATGTTGATGATGATTCTCAAAGCAGGTAATTTAAGACTACGCGTTGTTTAATGAACTGCGTTTTGACTTATTGCGTTTTTGAACGTTTCAGGTAAAAGTGTGATGCCCAAGCTCGATTTGAACACTTTGATGGAAAACAACAGCCCGATTATTCCGCAACCGGAGGCCGTCATAGATTCGGCCGATTGCAGATTGAATTTGCTCGAGCATCTCGTTCACCAGCACTCTCTCGTAGACGAGCGGTTGGACGATTTCGAAAAGCAATTGGACATTTTAGAGGCCGGTTTCAACATAGAAAGCGGGTCCGAGTATCCCAGGACGAGGCACACCATGCAGATGCTCATGAGAGATTTGGATACGCTGAAAGATTTTAGTCATTGTTCCGGCGTTTAATTGTGTAAGTGTGTTTTTGTAAGTTCAATTTTGTAAATTTTTGCATTGTATTAAGAGTTGTTAATAAAACGTAGCAGAATTGTAAGAAAGAGTTTGTTATTTACTATAAAAATATACCTGTAAGATTGAATAAACAATCAATATCGTGCACTAGAAGCATTAATTATAGGTAAAAACTAATCTTATAATAGACCATTAACAAAAAGAGGGAGAACTAATCGGATAATAGACCTTTAACAAAGAGATTATCGTTATGAGCTAATTGTTTTTTCAATTCTTTTACTTTGTTAATCAGTTCCTCGTCACTCAATCCATTCAAATTCGATTTTAATGTCGTTAGTGCCTCTCTCACAATTAAATCGCCTTCCTAAAACAACATAAATTCGTATTAAATTTTCTAAAACCATTTATAAGATCACGTTACCGCAATAGTCTTTCTTTTCTGACTCGGATTAAGCCCCGTTAAGTACTTCACTCCGTTCTGGTGCTCCAGATGTTTCTGATACTCGACAGCATCCTGTAATGTTTACAAATAAATCCATCGAATCGTATAGTGAAAAAATAACTTACTTGTACGACGTCTTGGGGAAAATCCACCATTCTCGCGCAGTGGATTCCGTAGCTTTTATCGCATTCTCCCTCGCGAATCGAATACAGCGGAGTAATAATGTTATCCGCCACCACAGCGGAAACGTGTAAATTTCCAACGGAGCTGTGCAGCTCGGCCAATTCGTTGATTTCGTGAAAATGCGTGGCGAACAGCGAAAAGCATTTAATTTCTTTCACAAGATGCCTGTAACGGGAACATAATAAGCTATAATTCGCTAGGAATTGAATAAAACTCACTCGGCGATCGCCCACGCTATTCCACAACCGTCGTAAGTCGAAGTCCCTCTTCCTAATTCGTCGATAATAACCAAAGAATTTTCTGTTGCGCTCTGAAATCGTAATATAAATAATACGTGTGTATTAGTAAATGTTTTATGCGAGTACTTTTATTATAGTGGATGTTTCTATCATTTCCAACATAAAAGTTGACAGTCCTTTTAGCTGACAATCGTCGGCTCCCACTCGCACTAAAATTCCATCTACTAGAGATATTTCCGCCGAAATGCAAGGCACCAAACAACCGATATGAGCCATAAGAACGCAAATTCCCACGCTTCTGATGTAGGTACTCTTCCCACACATATTGGGTCCTTCAAAAATATAATTATTTATTTTCCAACTTAACACCCAATTCGCAAAATCCTACCCGTAATAACGTACAACAGCTTATCGTCCTTATCGAACGTTACATCGTTAGGTATAAACGACACGTTATCTTGAGCTTCGAGACAGGGATGCCTGGCTTGCTTCAATTTCAAAATCCCCGAGCCCCGTTTGTGGATCTTCGGTTTCGTGTAAGGTATCCTCGCGGAAATGGCGGCTATAGCGAAGGAATTCAAAACGTCCACGGTAGCTATCGTCAAATTCAGGTTTCTCAGGCTCTCCACGTACCCAGCTAAAAATCACAAACCCATAGAAACGACATCGATCGATCGCCATTGATTCCCTCTCACCGGCTACTTCGAAAACCTCCTCGAGCACGGTTTTTTGTCGTTCGCCGTATTCCTCGTTCAGGTGCCGGTAGGTGTCGTTCAGATGCTCCAAAGCGCCGTTGACGAACCTGACGCCGCTTTTGACCACGTCCAGTATCTTGTATTCCTTGCGCTTCCTCAGCGTAGGCTCGTCCTTGAGCGTCAGCCTGAAGAAGTACCCGTGCTGGTCGTTGCAATCCAGCTTCACCCCTTTACCTTGCTCCAAATCCAAGTCCGACGAAACCTTGTCCAAAACAGCCTGCATTTTCGATTCCACCTTCTGTTTCTTCTTCTGCAACTCTATATAAACGCGTGGTTAATTGAAAGAGTGAAGTGTATTAGAGCTTACCGTTTAGTCCATCGTCGAAGGAGCTTTTGATAAAGAACTCTCCCCGATCGACCAAATCGAAGTCCAACGTGTGCTCGATCATGCTTTGGTAATTCCGCAATTCTCCTACGAGCTCCTCCAACGGTTCGATTAGAAGCACCTTCACGCATTTGTTGTTTAAATTCTTCAAAACACCTATTATATTGCCGACGCTCCTCACAGTCTGGTAGACCTTGTAGCAATCCTGCAGATTGGCCTTTTTGCTCGACAATTTCCGCGCCACCGGCATCATATCGACGATCCTGGGCAACCCGTCTTTCAACTGCGAACGCGTCGCGGGGTCCTTCAATATCGCCTCGACGATGTCCAGCCGCTCGTTGATCGAATTGTAGTCCTTCAAAGGCTGCTTGATCCATTGCTCGAGCAGCCGGCTGCCTTGCGCGGTCGCGCAATTGTCCAGCAGCCCCTTCAAGCTGGAGGTCTTCAGAGATTGTTGGTTGTCGGCGTTCGAACACCTCGTAGCCGTTTTCGGCAGAACGTTCAAAGCGTAAAGAGCAGCGTTGTCCAATCTCACAAACCTAAGAAACCGAGCTTTAAAGATGCACAAAGCTTGCGGTGGGTGTTACCTATGGCAATCGAGCGTGGTGAGTTTGAACTGATTGAAGTTCTTCTCGGCGCCGGCCAAATTCAGGAACTTTATCAGCGCTTGTAGACACCCCATGGCGTTCTTCAGGTCGATCTCGCCGTGGGCCGAGGCGTTCCGGCGCTGGTCCTCGTGGAAGTAGAGCAGCCGGTTCAGGTCCTGCTCGACGTCCTCGCCGGAGAAGTCCGAGGGCTTCGCCTTGGCGACCAGGACGCCGTTGCGCTCGAGGAGATTCCTCACAGAGACGGATTCGGGCGATTCGCCGGCGGGCACGAGGCACTCCTTCGGCCCGATTTGGGCGACGATGCTCTCGAGCTCCGAGAAGGAATCGTTGTCGGTGATTTCGCACACTTCGAATTTCGCTTCGGTGATGTTAACGCAACCGACGGCTAGCAGCTGTAATGAACAATAAATTTTTTTCATCGTGATGGCATCTTCGAAGCAGCTTCGTTGTACCTTGTTCTGTAGCACTTTAACCGCCATGACGGAGTTGGTGAAATCGACCTCGGCGTTCTCGAAGAGTAGATCTTCTAGTTGGGTGAGATTTCCCGGTGAGGCTTTGTAGTCCAAGGTCCAATCGTTGGCGGTTTTGGAGGGACCTTTGACGAAGATTTCCACGCGGTACTGGCGCAGGAGGAGCAGGTCTCGCAGGATGGATTCGAATCGGGATTTGTTCAAGCATATGTAGCTGAGTTGCGGCTGGTTGCCCATGAATTTGATGGGCAGGGAGAGCATTTCGTTTACTAAAGAGGCGTCGTCGCCGTGGACTGTGTAGTAATCCGAGCGGCTGAAGAAACGGATCGTCGAGGCCGGTTTCTGAGGCAAATGGAGACGAGGCTTGTTTAATAAGAAATTACTTGGAAATCGAGATGATTCTGTTCGAAATATTCCTTTATGTAATCTTAATTAGGAGATTATTTTAGCCTAAAGGCCCAGTAAGTTACTCTTCTACAGTTATATTAAGAAACTCTTGTACTTAAATAAAGTGTTTGACTAAAAATAACTTATTTAAGTCATTATATAAATGTTCTAATCAATTATGAATGAGAATTTATTTCATATAAATTACACATAAAATTCTTCATTTGGTTATTACAAAAAACAAATTCGATATCTCGCAACGTCAGTCATTAAAATGTAAAGATATTCTGGTAAATGTAGAAAACATATTTTTGTATATTCAATATACCGATTACAATAAAACACATCCGAATATTTTGAATTTACATACTATTACATAAGTAAAATATTTATTCTTAGAATTAAAAAAAAATTGTTTTCCGTTTATTTCTTACTATTTATTTATTATGTTAATATGTCAAGGCTTTAATAACTTAAATATTTTGATAAAAATTATAACGAAAAGCTTAATGCACATAATATGCAGTTTCTGTAATATTTTTTCCACCCTCAAAAAAATACAATTATTCAAAAACCCCATTTAAATGCAATACAAATAATAAAATAGATATGAATAATTTTCTTACAAAATCCTTTTATCTCCTTGAAGTTTCAAAGATGAATTAACAAGTTTTGAGAAGCTAGATTATTACTACAAATTATTTCGTAATTTTTTATTTGGATGATTTATTAATTTCTATAAGTGGGAAATTTCTGTTGTAAAAGACATTTCTTGAGACAATTAGCGAATAACATGAAGTTTACAATAGAAAATGTTCTTGACACAATAAGTTAGCGATAATCCAATTTGAACTTCTACTGATACCGTAAAATAAACAAATTAATTAATGATTCTAAGAAATTATCGCCGTTAATACAAAAAAATTGATGGAAAACAGTGGCAATTGGAATGTTTTTTAATTATATTTTAGTACCAAAGCTTTAGGAACAGGAGATCCAATTAAGCATGAAACACCGGTTAATAGAAAAATGAAACTGAAAAGCGAGTAGTGGATAAAATTTTTCAGAAAATAAATTATGAATGTAAAATTTCTATTCGGCTTGAAAAAAGAAATAAATTTTAAGTCAAGCAAAAGGTTCTGAGGAAAACAGAACAAAAAACTTTGAACATAAATCACAAAAATTGACCAAAAAAAAATTTTGAATATTCTTTCATACAATTGAAATAATTTTCCAAACCTACTCTTTATTATCCAAATAATCCATTTAATAGTTAATAGAACCCCATAATAACAGTTAATTTTAATCCTCCTTCTTTTAATTACCTACTACATAGTTTTCGATATAAACCACAAAATTCCAGTAAAAAATTTTACGCATATTTGTACATGGGTTTTCGAGAAATTTCATTAATAAGCGGCAAATTTTAATTAATAATTTTAATCCGATTTATTGAGAATTGTTGACATAACATGGGGTCAGTGAGATAAGACCTTCTACATATAAATCAAATAAATCAAATCAATTCAGAATAGGTGGTTCAGTGCAAAACCAAGAGTGGTCACTAAGCAAACACAAGAAACGGTAAGTGCAGAATTATATTTAAAAAAAATGTTAATGTCAAATAGTTGCTAAATAATAATCTTCTTTAAAATAGCATTGCTGTTGTTCTATTAAGAAAATATTAGATATACTTATTAGGATTGCATTTTTTAGTAAATTTATGGTCAAAAAAAGACATTAAATTAATTAATTTCAAGATTCAAAGTAAATTTCAGAATATTCACTAATTTCCTATCTAATAAGTTCATTCATTTAAAAGTAATGTAAATTATGTTTTTTTTTGGGTTTATTACAATTATGAAATACAATCCAAATTGGAAAGATAAAAAAAAATTAAAGAATTTGGGGTACGATTAGATTCAAACCTGTTAATCAGAATAAACATTTAAAGCATAAGAAACAATTTCCCTAATCTATTTGCAATATTAAATGCGTCTTTTGAAAATTAAACTATTATTATTTATTACGATTCCAATATTTATTAATATTCGATCCAACCGAAATTAGAATTAATTAATTATACGAATTAATCGTTATCAGCCAAAAATGTAATTCCATGACGCAATAAAAAATATCTATAGGAGTTCATGTGTCAATATAAACAAATTGTTAAAAAAATTCATAAATTCGAACGAGACTACATAATCAATTATAATATTTATCCTAATAGCCTGGATTTATTTAACTCACAATCATAAAATCCTATAGGTACCTCATTCCAAAAATTTTAAATCCTCAATTATAGAGTATTAAAATGGGACAAGAATAGCTGGATAGCGAGAATACATATGATGTTTCTTACTGCTCAGTACTCTTTCAGCATTAACCTAAATTTGCATTCCAGGGACCACAATGAAAACAACAGTTCTGTTCCTAGCAGTACTGGGATGTGCGTGTGCCGTCCCCAACGGGTACTACCACCAAGAATACAATTACAAAACCTCCTCGTCCGAATACAAAAACAACGAATTACAACACAAAACCGACGATCAAGGTACTACTTCCAACTGCATATCAGCAAAATTCCCAATTAATCGTTCTTTATTAAAGGCTACTACAAGAAAGACGGCGACCTGGAAGGCAGGTACAAACCCCGAGTCGACTCCAACAGCGAACACTCCGAATACGTGAACCCCAATCTCAAACAATCCTCGTACAACACCGACGCCAATTCCTACGGACACATGATGTACGACAGTACCTTGGGCGCCGGGATGCACGGGAACCATTTAGGCGAAGGCCTAGCCCACAGCGATTCGATCCTCGGTAACCGAAACGGCTACTACGGTCAGTACCATTTCCAATTCCATCTACCTCTTCTAACCTTCTCAATTGTACAAAACAGGCTCCCAATCCAGCGGTTACGGAGGTTCGCACTACAGCATGAGCTCCAACCTGAGGTCGATTTCGTCGCGTCTGCAGCAGGAGTGCGAGCGCGACATGCTGGAAGCCATCCGACAGAATTCAGTCTACGGGTCAGGCGTGAACATGGCCGAGCTGGAGCGACAGCTCAGGCACAATCTCACCCAGAGATTCAACGACGAAATCGCGAGGACCTACGGACAGCAGGTCATCCGCGACGGGAAGAGCTACTCGTTGGCAGGCGGAAGGTGAGAGTTACTCTATATTAATTTGTTAATATACAGATTTGGACCGCAACATGGTCGTTTCTATGAGTCGAATAAAGAAAGATTGATCAAATAACAGTTGTCAGAATGAAAAGTTGCAATGAAAAATGGAGCAATCTTAACCGTTTATGTTGCTGTTTTCAGTAGACTGCAAAACGCCAACTTCGACAACCAGGAGTACATGGACCTGAAGAACCAGTTAGAAACCCGTTTGCTCCAGAACCTGCGCAACGAATACTACAGATCGTCCAGTTCGAATCAGCATTACTCCAGCAGCAACAACAACTACGCCTACGTCGCTTCGACGACCACAAGACCGTACTACAACAACGTCTATTACACCACTCCGAGCACCGCTCGGCCGGTCTACTCCGAGAATTACCACGCGCCTACCTACCGACCGATCTACCCGGCCGTCACGACCGGCTACGAATACTCCGGCGGTCAGTACCAGTCGGTACAAACCCACACGAGATACACCCCGGTACCGAACCCGGAGAGTCTAACCCATCTAGCCTCCAATGTCCAATCTCGCCTCGACGCGAACCTCAATAACATTCTGGACGACGTTCGAAGGACCCACTTTTCCTCCAACCAAGCCGCCTCGCTGGTCAACACCGACGTGCTGTTGGATCGACTGAGAAACGAACTCAGAACCAACATCAGCTACAGCTTGGACGACATCATCAGACAGAACTACGGAGAACAGCGCTTGAAAGACGGCTATTTGTACTCGGTAGGGCCGCAAGGTCAACTGTCCAGGGACTACAATTACGGCCAAAGGGATCTCGAGAGCCTGCGACAGCAAATCGAGACCAATCTCATCAACAAGTTGAACAGAGACTTCGAACAAACCAGAAGAAGGTCGGTCACGGTGTTTCCTTTATCTGAACATACAATTTAAACATTGCACTTTCATACACAGCTGGTCATCGCAACAATCCTACAGCAGCCAATCCAGCTACGGATCGAGCTCTAACTACGGATCGAACTCTAACTACGGCTCTAACTCTAACCACGGATACGCCACCACCGTAGCAACTGATTACGCCTCGGGCGGGCAATACATCGGCGAAGCCAACGGCAACATCGGCCAATTGCAAAGGCAAATGCAAGCCGATCTGACGAAGCAACTCAACATGGCCTTGAGCAAAGAGAGCTCGTACAGCTACGGCTCGCATCCCCAGAATTACCAGAATTCCCTGCAGGAATTGTCCGACGAGCTGAACCGCAACCTGACGAGGCACTTCCAGGAATACAGGTACGTCACCGGCGCGGATTGGTAATTTCCAAATGTCGATCCTTTCGATTGCAGCGCCAGCGGTTCCTACGGAGCTTACGGGAACTTCGACCGCGCTCAGATGGCCGATTTGAAGGCCAGGCTGCAGGACAATTTGATGCAGCAGCTCAAGCAAGGTCTGCAGCAGTCCTTCCAAACGCACAGTTCGTACAGCGCGAGCAGCGCGAGCAGCAGCGGGGCTTACAGGGCGGCCAGGGCGGACGACGGCTACAGGTCTGTATCGAATTATTCGTGGAATTATAGCGTGGAGGTTGTGGTGTTTTTTTTATTTAAATTCTGTAAGCTACTTCCTTCGATTCGGTTCGTTTGTTCTTCAGCTAGGCGTGGAATAAGGCGGTTTAGTTTTGGCCGATCGGGCGCGAATAATGATCATTGTTAAATACGAATTCGATATCATTTCATTTGAATTTATTTACATTCGCAGATCCAAGAGGATGGCGCCGAAAGTTTCGCCTACTGACGAGCGATTTGCTGTAACCACTTAGTAGTTGTGGCGATATAAAACTACGCTTTGGATGGTGGCTAGTGCTTTAATAGACTGAAATAAATTGTGCATTGCTTAAATTATAATTTACCACAAATTAGAAAATAAATACATATGTTAGAATGCTTTTGACGGAATTAAAATGGGTTTAAAAAATTACCATTATTTTCATCATCATACAAAATTGTAATTATTAAATTAACGATAAAAAAAGGAAGTTTCTACTATATATTAAATAAATAACTGCAACCTTATAGTGTAAGTACTAGATTGCCCAAACGATGGGAATGATACATATCAAGTTTCTTTTAGGTCCGGTCACCAGTCTTGTCAAGGATGTATGATGGGAGATGATCCACTTGCTTTCAAAGCAAGACAAAAACGAAGCTACCGCAGCAGTCATCGTAGACACCAATCATCACATAGTACATCAAGGTCCAGTTACAGTCATTATGGTTCTCATGGTCAACAACAGCAACAATTATTGGATGATTCTCATTTGACACAACAACTTGAAACTGGATTTCCGAAACATAACACCCATGGAAAATTGGAATTTGGTTCACAGGATCAACAACAACAATTATTAGATGATTCTGATTTGACTCAACAATTAGAAACTGGATTTCCGAAACATAATACTCATGGAAAATTAGAATTCGGTTCTCAGGATCAACAACAACAATTATTATATAATTCTGATTTGACACAACAATTAGAAACTGGATTTCCGAAACATAACACCCATGGAAAATTAGAATTTGGTTCTCAGGATCAACAACAACAATTATTAGATGATTCTGATTTGACTCAGCAAATACAAACTGGATTTCCGAAGCATAACACCCATGGTAAATTAGAATTTGGTTCACAGGATCAACAACAACAATTATTAGATGATTCTGATTTGACTCAGCAAATACAAACTGGATTTCCGAGGCATAACACTCATGGTAAATTAGAATTTGGTTCCCAGGATCAACAACAACAATTATTAGATGATTCTGATTTGACTCAGCAAATACAAACTGGATTTCCGAGGCATAACACTCATGGTAAATTGGAATTTGGTTCCCAGGATCAACAACAACAATTATTAGATGATTCTGATTTGACTCAGCAAATACAAACTGGATTTCCGAGGCATAACACTCATGGTAAATTGGAATTTGGTTCACAGGATCAACAACAACAATTATTAGATGATTCTGATTTGACTCAGCAAATACAAACTGGATTTCCGAAGCATAACACCCACGGTAAATTGGAATTTGGTTCACAGGATCAACAACAACAATTATTAGATGATTCTGATTTGACTCAGCAAATACAAACTGGATTTCCGAAGCATAACACCCATGGTAAATTAGAATTTGGTTCACAGGATCAACAACAACAATTATTAGATGATTCTGATTTGACTCAGCAAATACAAACTGGATTTCCGAGGCATAACACTCATGGTAAATTGGAATTTGGTTCCCAGGATCAACAACAACAATTATTAGATGATTCTGATTTGACTCAGCAAATACAAACTGGATTTCCGAAGCATAACACCCATGGTAAATTGGAATTTGGTTCCCAGGATCAACAACAACAATTATTAGATGATTCTGATTTGACACAACAATTAGAGACTGGAATTCCGAAGCATAACAGCCATGGAAAATTAGAATTTGGTTCCCAGGATCAACAACAGCAATTATTAGATGATTCTGATTTGACTCAGCAAATACAAACTGGATTTCCGAAACATAACACCCATGGAAAATTAGAATTTGGTTCCCAGGATCAACAACAACAATTATTAGATGATTCTGATTTGACTCAGCAAATACAAACTGGATTTCCGAAGCATAACACCCATGGTAAATTGGAATTTGGTTCCCAGGATCAACAACAACAATTATTAGATGATTCTGATTTGACACAACAATTAGAGACTGGAATTCCGAAACATAACACCCATGGAAAATTAGAATTTGGTTCTCAGGATCAACAACAGCAATTATTAGATGATTCTGATTTGACTCAGCAAATACAAACTGGATTTCCGAAACATAACAGCCATGGAAAATTAGAATTTGGTTCTCAGGATCAACAACAGCAATTATTAGATGATTCTGATTTGACACAACAATTAGAAACTGGATTTCCGAAACATAACACCCATGGAAAATTAGAATTTGGTTCTCAGGATCAACAACAGCAATTATTAGATGATTCTGATTTGACACAACAATTAGAGACTGGAATTCCGAAACATAACACCCATGGAAAATTAGAATTTGGTTCTCAGGATCAACAACAACAATTATTAGATGATTCTGATTTGACACAACAATTAGAGACTGGAATTCCGAAACATAACACCCATGGAAAATTAGAATTTGGTTCTCAGGATCAACAACAGCAATTATTAGATGATTCTGATTTGACTCAGCAAATACAAACTGGATTTCCGAAACATAACACCCATGGTAAATTGGAATTTGGTTCCCAGGATCAACAACAACAATTATTAGATGATTCTGATTTGACTCAGCAAATACAAACTGGATTTCCGAAGCATAACACCCATGGTAAATTGGAATTTGATTCCCAGGATCAACAACAACAATTATTAGATGATTCTGATTTGACACAACAATTAGAAACTGGATTTCCGAAACATAACACCCATGGTAAATTAGAATTTGGTTCCCAGGATCAACAACAACAATTATTAGATGATTCTGATTTGACACAACAATTAGAGACTGGAATTCCGAAGCACAACAGCCATGGAAAATTAGAATTTGGTTCCCAGGATCAACAACAACAATTATTAGATGATTCTGATTTGACTCAGCAAATACAAACTGGATTTCCGAAACATAACACCCATGGTAAATTGGAATTTGGTTCCCAGGATCAACAACAATTATTAGATGATTCTGATTTGACTCAGCAAATACAAACTGGATTTCCGAAGCATAACACCCATGGTAAATTGGAATTTGGTTCCCAGGATCAACAACAACAACAATTATTAGATGATTCTGATTTGACACAACAATTAGAAACTGGATTTCCGAAACATAACACCCATGGTAAATTAGAATTTGGTTCCCAGGATCAACAACAACAATTATTAGATGATTCTGATTTGACTCAGCAAATACAAACTGAATTTCCGAAGCATAACACCCATGGTAAATTGGAATTTGATTCCCAGGATCAACAACAACAATTATTAGATGATTCTGATTTGACACAACAATTAGAAACTGGAATTCCGAAGCATAACAGCCATGGAAAATTAGAATTTGGTTCACAGGATCAACAGCAACAACAATTATTAGATGATTCTGATTTTCAACAGCAATTAGAACTAAATCGTAAGCCAGGAAAACTACAATTTAACTCTCAAGAAAAACAAGAACCGTGCAACAGGATAGAAATAACCCGACAATTAGAACCTCTTCAAAAGATTAAACCAGTGAAACTAGAATTTGGATCCCAAGATCAACAACAACAAGAAGTTGATAATTTAGATTTAACCCAACAATTAGAAAACTTATTTCCCCAAAATCACAAACCAGGAAAACTTCCATTTGAATCTCAAGATCAACAACAACAAGAAGTTGACGAGTTCGATTTAGGCCAACAATTAGAAGAAGAATTTCCGGAAAGTCATTTACCGGGTCAAATTCAATCTGGATCTCAAACTAAAGGCAATAAAGGAACAAATGATCCCGATTTGACCCAGCAAATCGAAAACTTGGACGAAACAGAAATTGTAGACCTAGAAGTAAGCTTACTTGTACGAATAACAGAATTTGTATTAATATATTCTTTATTTTTTCAGGCGGTTAGTCTACCAGAAGATATAAGCGAAAAAACCGACTTTATTCAGGATAAACTATCTAAAAAATTGGAAACTGCAATCATTGGTTTCTGTGGAACAGACAAACTTAATGATTTGAGTAAACTAAAATTAAACCAAATAAACGATAAGTTAGTCGAAGATTTAAAGAAAAACGTCACACGAGAATTCAACAAAGGTTTTTCACGCCACTACCTCGAAACCAACTTGGGATTGAGCCAAAAACAAATACTGAAGGTTCGAAAGATTGTATTAGAAAATTTAATGAAAGTGCTCAAAGAAAGCATAAAAGTCGTAGAAAAGAAAGCCGGTTTTGACGTCGAAGTTCCCAACGAGCCTGATTTTATCGTTGATTCCAATCCTCCTGCATTGGATGTAAATAAAATCGACCCATCTCAATTGCCCGAAAATTACTATGGACCCTTGAAAAACGACAATAAAAACGCTCCGACGCTCGTCGATACAAGAAACCCCCAAGATGTCGCTTTTGGTGTTACTCACCAAGGCAAATTTATCTCGCAACCACAATCTAAACAAGAAGCTGGAAACGAAGCAGACGCCTTAATTGCAGCTCTTAAAAAAATACATCAAAATCACAACATTAAAAACGTAGTAGAGAACGACTTCAACGGCGTATCATCCAGAAGCTACAGCAGCAGCAGCAGCAGTACATACTCTAGAACACACTACTCCAGTAACAGCCCTTCGTACACTATTACAGAAACTCACCATTCACACCAAAGACCTACACAGACCTACGTTAGCCAATTCGATACAGACGATTTACACCAGGCACCTGCAAGCAGCTACAATCACGATTCCAGATCTTACATCGGTACCAATCCAGCCCAATTAAACACAGGAGACTCCAAACGCCACAACGACGGATGGTCTTCTCGCCACGACATAGTCGATATCCAAGAAGTCCCATTAAGCTACAGCAGCCACCACACGTATTACAGCAAGAGCAGCCACCAAGTACCCGAAGATACTCCTTTGAGTCGCACCAGCCACAGTTACTCGTACGGTCTTCGGAACAATCATCGAATGGACGATCAACAACAACTCGAAGACGTTCCTGCAAAGTACACCAGCCACAGTTACTTCTACGGCTTCCAGAACGAAAACCAACAGGAGGAGATGGTTCCCGGTAAGCTGTATGCAACGCAGCAAGAGGCCGCGCCTTCCCATGTGCTTGCGTACCATAAAGGACTCGCAGGAGTAGAAGAAGTTGTTCCTGGGAAGTACCTTGCTAGTTCCAACTATGTGCAACCCTCTAAAGGCCATCAAGAGCATAAAGGTATGCAGCCTGAGGTTCCGATGATTCACGTTCGACCTCATGCAGATGAAGAGCCTGAGGAAGAATTGACTTGGTGGCAAAAGGCGGCGAATAAAATTAAGTCCGGCGCCAAGAAGGTGAAAGATGGGGCGGTGAAGTTGAAAGATAAAATTGTTGGTTGATGTGAGGTTAAAATTCGTTAGTTTAAGTTTGTAGAATAGGCAAATATGTGTTTAAATTATTATTATTTTTTAAATAAATTTAAGAATATATTAAAATTGAATTTATTACTGTAAAATAGGATAGTTTCGAACGGTTTCGAATCTCCCGGACTCTACCAAAATTATTAAAAAATTGTAAGAATTGTTTAGTAATTGGGCCTCATTAAAGTTCATAATTGTTATGTAATGATACAGTAATTGATTAACAAATGTACATACCTCAGGAAGGCTGTTATAGTATCTAACAAAGCTATTTTGCTGGTCGATTTCTAAAAAAGAAAATAATCAAAATTACCTAGGAAATTTTTGTTGAAAAGTGTATGCATTTACCCAAATTTAATGCTTTAGTAGGTTCTGAATCCATTATTGACTGTCTTTGTGTATTTTCTCAAATAAAACGTTGCACTCAATACAAATGCAAATACATAAAATACACCAGAAAAAAATAAAGGTTATGTTTTTAAAATTGTAATCGCGCCATTTGTCAATATTCTTCTAATTCATACATACTATGGTGGCCTCAACCTAATTAGTATTTGGCCCCGTTGGTAATCTATAAATAGGTGAAGAAGTAGAAGTTGACGTTTTTACGTCTTCTTTTGACGTTTTTTTTAGAATTTTTGAATTATACAGGGTGGCCCATTGAACAGAAAAAAAGGCTTTTAATACTTTATTATATATTCTTTAATAAATCATTCGACTTAGTCTCCAAAAAGGCCTCTTTATGCGACTGTGAAGTTTTTCAATTTCGAAAGTAAATCAAATACGAGCAGGCATACGATTTAAAAATCTGTAACACAAGCGATTTCTAATACAACCCGGCAACATCGCAACTGCCTTATAAAACGTTTACAGATAGCGTGAGCGGACGCCTTTCCCTCCACTCCGCCACATCTCACGTTTCCCCGCCGTGCGATCGAACGCAAGCGTGCGGGGCATGTCGTTCTATCGGCGTAACCGTGAACTCAACCCTACGCCAGTTTCTAAACATTCTACCAGCATTCCCACATTACATCACAGTGTAATCGACGAACGTCAATTAACGCGTAAGTTCTACTACAAATTAATATAGAGCAACACGCGTACGATGTCGGTCGCATCGTTTCGAAAAGACAGCAAATCCGCCAGCTCGCTGAAGCTCTCGGAAACCAACACCGCTCGCCTGCTGGAATTGTACCGGCGCGAGCCGTGCCTGTACGACCAGAATTCGCGCGACTACAGGGACCGCGAGGCGCGCTCCGCGGCGCTCATTCGCATCGCCTCGGAGCTGTCCGTCGACGGGTTCGGCACCCAAGAAGTGCAGACCAAGTTCAAGAACCTGAGGAACTCCTATTCGCAGGAGCTGAAGAAAATCGAGGAAGGCGCCGACGCCGACCGGCCGTACGTGCCCAAAGTGCATTGGTTCGGGATCATGGACTCGTTCATTCGGCCGCAGATGTACAAATACGCTCGACCTTCGAAGGGTAATTCTGTGGTAAGTACAGCGGTGAGGTTTAGACCACGCTATAGTTATAAGGTCTGGAATCGTTATTTGAGGCTTCACTTTTGCGCCGCACCGTGGCGAACGATCGTAAGACCGACTTATCTCAGCCAATCAGCGTCGCGCTACATATAAATCGCAGTTGCGTGAAACGACAGTTCGAGCTGTCAAAACTTCAAAAATTATTATTTGACATTTCGAGGAGAAAATGGAGACCGAAGATACGTGAGGCATGATGTTAACAACAAAATCATCGCTGATTTAGGTATATTTTTATATTTTGCATCTATTTATAGTTTGCATATAACCTTTCTTATTGCTAATTCTACACTGTGCTTCATTCGCGATTGCAACATGCTGGGCATTTCTATGAGTTGAACAAAGAAAGATTATTAAAATAACAGTTGTCAGAGTGAAAAATTGCAATGACAGAAATGTAACTCTTTCTTTTTCTTTTATAAATGTCTGATGTGGTCTTTGTTGCACCCATAGCCTATATTGCAATGAAAAATGGAGCAATCTGTATATAATTCGTACGCAAAAAACCGTGGTCCTTTACAACATCGCCTCCTAGCGGCCGTTTTAGGAACCCTGTTTTATCCTCAAACACCGGGACACTTTTTCGACCTATGTTTCCGGACCTTACAAATATAGCACCGTGGTTTAGGCCTGCGGTGCTCGATGTGCTTAAGCTCGAGCTAGAAAGTCAACCTTTAACTCTTCTACAGCAGAAACGCGAGCGGCGGCGCTGCAAGAGATCGGCATCGAGCGAAGCGAGCGAGGCGAGCGACGAGGCGGAAAACATCTACTTCAAAGAGGAAGAGCCCTCGGTGGATTGGACGGGTTTCGAGTTCAACGACAGCGCTTCTCGAGCGCGAGAAGACGAAGCCCCCGTCGCCGGGTCCAGCGCGAGCAACGCGAGCAGAACCTCCGGCAGAGCCTCGGGGCATCAGGAGGACAAAATAGTTAAGGCCGTGAGAAGACTGACCGAAGCGACGAAGCTGGCGGCGTGTTCGAAACAGGGCGATATGTACGATAAGTTCGGCGGTTTCGTCGCCGAGGTGCTGCGCAAGGCTGGTTACAACAAGTCGTTGTTGATTATTAACGATATCAGTAAAGTGTTGGCGCAGCACGCCGTGGAAAAAGCGCCTTCTTCGCTCTCGGAATGCACCTAAACAGTTCTTCTTTTAGTTGTACTACAACCTGGTGTCTCGTAATTGACTATCTTACAGCCAGTTGTCTCACAAACAACTCATAAATGATGTCATCTATCCAATAATATACTTCACTGAACGTAGATTCAAGAAGAAGAAAGGGGAAACTTTTAATGATACGAAAACACTAAATCGAACACGTTGTAATTTTATTATCGAGCTCACAACGAATCAATATATTAATATTAATATTCCCTGTAACCTTTTTTGTTGTTGTTCATCGATCCTCTCAGAAACATGGCGGTCAAATATGGATCGCCGAAAGCCGTGGCTCTGGACGTGGCAACGCCGCCTACGAAAAAAATCAACCAGCGTTAAATCCGGTTAATGAGCAGGAGGTTATTCGTGACAAACCTTTGCCTGTGGAAAAAGCGTTGGCTATGGCTGTGGTGGAGCCGCTTGGACTGTACGAATTCTCGTCCTCTTGGTCGCCGTGTTGGCGTTTCCAACCTCTTCCGGTTCCTCCGATGTTTATGGGGAAAAATGAGCTCATAGACGGACCGTCTGCAGGAATTGATTCGAGAGATTAAATAGCAAAGAAACGCGCTGTACTTACTTTTATTGAAGTAAGGCCAAGATGGATCTTCGTCTTCTTCTTCGTTTTCGTGTTGGTTCCCGTAAGGTTTCCTTCCTTTTCTGTGGTACGTGTTGCTGCTCTCTCCTTTGGAGTCTTCATCTGGAAGAATTTATTTCAATATATTCATTAGATCTGAACCAATTAAAATGTTGCTGATGCTTGTTGCTTCAGTATGGAAGCATTTAAATACCTATTTCTGCTTATGGGGTTTTACCTGTGGGGTTTCTGTCAGTAGTTTCCTCCTTCCATTCGTCTCTGAGAAAATACATGGGTCTGCCTAAAAATGAATTTGTGGCGACGACATCTTTGGTCACGAAAGCGGAGATTTCCGGGTAATAACCGACAGGTTTTTCATTGTGAGTTGGCAAAGGGCGGTCCGGCGATGTTGTCAAATCGGCGTAAAATACTGGAATTAATGGATTATTGAATTTTAATTTATTTAAATTGATAAATTGTTAGCGTAGTTACCACAGGGCGTTTGATTAGTTCATAAATTATATGCTCAAGTAAAAATGTTGGAGTAAGTTTGAAAAACGTTGAAATGCACAAACTTTACAACTGAAAATAATATACAGTGCTACGTGAGTCTTAAGATTAAATTTTTAACTCACTTTTCCTGGGGAATCCAAGACATTCTCCCAACAATGTAGCGAGAATAACGCACAGATAACAAAAATAAGATTGCATGTTGGAAACCAACCGAAGACTGCAACCCTTCGAATTGGTGCAACACGCTTTATAAAGCATAAATCCCCGCCTGAATGGGCGTTTTTGCATGTTTCGTGAATTAAATATTCTGCACGGGTGTTGTTTTCGGAAACATTACATTTTTCGCTCCTCCGGATTTTTTTTTCATTTATTAATATTTGCGAGAGCTATCTTTAGGAATCGTCTCTTAGATGAGAAGTAGATAAGAGGACAGTAGCGCAACAATTAATAATTGCAATATAAAAAAAAACTAATAAAGCATTTTGACACTTGTAAAACCAATATTATAATGCCATTATGATTATCTATACATTATATCATTGTATAATCATTAACAATGTAGTTATGAGACTCTGCTATTGTAAATTCATTCATTACAATCCCCAATTTCTGCGATTTTTCTGCAAAAATCTAAAGAATTTAGATAAGTACCGTCTATGCCAAATCACTGGGCTTACAAGGAAGCCCATTTGTAATACAGTCGCATTCTACAGGCGTCTTTGTACGCTTTATATTTTATTTATACATAAACGAACACCTGCGTAATATAATGTCACTAGTGAGTACATTTAAATAGTTTGTTTTACCAAGAAAACCGTAATTTTTTTGTATAAATTTATTTCAATTGTCTGGCCGAATTTAATCCGGTGTCGTTACCCTTTTGGGGTTAACATACGTTATTTTTGAGCTGCGGTAAATTTTTATTTTTGTAAAGAAGAGCATTTCTTGAGCAATGTTTTGAATTTAAATATTAAAATTTATTTCTTATTTATTTCATATTTTTCCCCGAAATTTGCGAATAATGTAAATTGAATACATATAAAACAATTACCTAATAATGTTACAATTCATATTAATAATAACTAAAACGTTCTATATTTAATATTAATTAATTTATGTAATATTTCCAGTATGTTTAATATCTATAAGTTATCAAATTTACGAATTGTGAATTGTTTTTGGTTTTTTATTCAAGATTATTAAATTAATCTAAATTTTTGTTAATTTTTTTCAAAAACTGCCTAATACTTACACAATTTTCAAAATACCTGGCGTTTTTAGCAGCGAGATAAATCTTTCTAATCTTGTCGATACCAATTTAATTTAGATACCTATACTATCTAAATGGAATGATAAATTACAAATCAGAATATTCACATTTTTGCCTCATTTAAGTAATTAGATTGTAGAAAATAATGTGGAAACTCCCGTTATTGCTCGTGATTTGTATAACTACCGTTACGTAAGTACAAAAACCTAAAATATCTAAAAATTCCAACAAACTCCCATCATTTAAATCGACTCTTCTTCCACAAAAGCTCGGCTGTCGACGATGAAGACGACGCCTTCGACGTCGACTTCTCCTTCGGCGCCGCGACGGCCGCCTACCAGATAGAAGGCGCCTGGGACGAAGACGGCAAAGGGGAGACCATTTGGGACAGATCCTCGCACGCGACGCCCTACAGGTTCGACGACGCCGACGCCGACGTCGCCTGCGACTCCTACCACAAGTACAAAGAGGACGTCGCGCTGGCGGCCAAGCTGGGACTCACCCACTACAAATTCTCCATTTCGTGGGCGAGGTCAATTAGCCGGTTTATCCCCCACGCGCGTCCATTTCTGACGATCGAATCTCTTCCAGGATCTATCCTACGGGATTCAACAACCGCTTGAACACCAAAGGCGTGCTCTACTATCAGAATTTGGTCAACGAGCTGCTCAAGCACAACATCACCCCCATAGCCACGATTTACCACTGGGACCTGCCGCAGAGCATCCAGGACCTGGGCGGTTGGCTGAATTCCAACATAGTCGGGTACTTCACCGATTACGCCCGAGGCCTGTTTGAGTACTTGCCCAGTGTAAAGTATTGGGTGACAGTGAACGAGCCTAAACAAGTGAGTGGGAAGAATATTAGGGTAAAACTCTGATCCTTAGAATATTCTTCAAAAATTTATTAATGAAGAATTCTAGAGGGTAAGATCTGGTAAGATCTGGAATTAAGTATAGAAACCTTCCATAATGATGCTTTAATTATGTAACAATTCGTAGTTGATAGTGCTTTGAATTAATTGTTAATATTATTATTTTTCGTAGGTATGTGTGGGAGGCTATGGAAAGGCTTCCAAGGCTCCGTTCATCGCAATGAGCGGCGAAGGGGATTACTTGTGCGCCTATCACGTGATTTTAGCGCACGCTTCGGTTTACAATTTGTATAAATCGCAGTTTTCGCACTTAAAAGGTACCGCAAAGAACCACTAAAATGTTCCTGTAATGTTCCAATTTGTTGTTCAAGGTAAAATCAGCATCGGTTTGGACGGCGAATGGAACATTCCTTTGAACAACACCGACGAGAACGACAAACTAGCCGCTGAGAGACGGCTACAATTCGATGTTAGTAACAACTCGATTATTTATCGTTGATTTTTTATTTGAAATTTTATTGTTCAGTTTGGTTTGTACGCGAATCCGCTGGTGTTCGGCGATTGGCCAGAAGTGGTGAAGGAGCGCGTAAAGGAGCGTAGCTCGCGTGAAAATTTCGCATCTTCCAGATTACCTGCTTTCACGGAGGAACAGAAACGGATGATTAATGGCACCTTGGACTATTTGGCAGTGAATTTCTACGATTCGAAACTAGTAGGAGATGCCAAAGAGGCCGATAATTCCACCTATTCGTACAACAACGATGTTAGAGTATTGATAGTAAGGAACACCAGCCTTCCCGCTGCCATAGATGGAAACACGGTCAGTTAGAAACTTTTCTTTAAGAATTAAAGATACTCATCAAGGATGTTCTATATTCCACTAATTCACCGTTATCAAGAATAACTAATCGAACAGGTGAAGGTAGAATATGTACTGGACAAGTCTATTGATTTCCCTTTAATCAGTCTCTGCTAAAATTCATACAATCAAAAATTCATTAAATGTATTTTGTATAGACTTTTTTTTGTACTTATAGATTTATGCTGAAGGATTCAGATTGTTCCTGAAATGGGTAGACAAGACATACAAAAATCCTAAAATCCTCATTGGAGAAAACGGTGTTCCAGACGATGGAACCAGTATAGTGGATAATGATAGGATGTACTATTTATCAGTAAGTTCTTCTTTATTCGAAGTCGAATAAAAAATTATTTAAATATTGAAGTTTAAAAGTTAACTTTGATTCTCTGGTAATTTCGAAGTGTTACTTAAGTTTTGCTCATTTGTTCGTTACAGGATTATTTGAGCGCTTTATTGAAGTCGATAAAGGAAGATAAAGTTAATATATTTGGCTATACAATATGGAGTTTATTAGATAATTTCGAGTGGACTGAAGGATACAGGTTCGTTAATTAGTTATCTTATATAATTGATTAAATTTATTAATAACTGATATTAGATATAACTATATTTTCACATGATATATTAATTAGTTTAATTTTCAATTTTCAAATTATTTCAGATTGCATTATGGTTTATATTCGGTCAATTTCACCGATGTTAACAGAGAGAGGACAGCGAAATCCTGCGCCTCTTTTTACAAGTTCATAATTGAAACTCGAAGGATTCCACCTCTTCCTTTAACGAGTAGTACATCTACTTCGACTTATAGTACCCCAACTACAATACATTCTTCAACCACAACTGGGACATCTTTGGCTCCCAAACATTCATACGAATTACCGCTTTGTTTTTCATTTATATTTTTGCTAATATCCGTTTTCAAATGAATAACGCGTTAAAAATAAATTACTATCTAAATACACACGACACAGAACTGATTTTTACCTATACCCAAGATTGTAAAACTTACAAAAGTTACAAGGTGTTAAAATAAAAAATAAGGGGAGATTTTTTAAAATTTGGCAAATATGGCACTACACGCGATAGTTTTCTTTTGTCCTCCGGGAGGCGCTGCTATCGAAAAATGAAACATATTTCAATTTTTTTGACCAATTTTTGACCATTTACTTTTTTGCTACTATTCACTGGGTTTCTAGTCTCATTGTCTAGATAGAATTGAAGATTCTTGTGCAAAGAAAATTAATCCTTCTGCTCTAGATGTTTAATCCCAAATTTACGACATTCTTCAACAAGATCTCCTGTTCTTCTCCTAAATGAAATGAATTAAGAGGTAGTGAAAGGATATAAATAGGGGAATATTTTGTATTGTACAGTTAATTTTTGTTTTAAGTTTTTTCAGTTATAACTAAGGTTTGTATTTATCTCCACCAAATCCCGCCACTCCAACGCTTTTAATTAGATAAGTGGTACCTGCAGGTGCTTTTGGAATTTGTCCATCAACGCGTAGTCGAGCTGTTGCTACGAATAAATCGTCGAGTTTTGGTCCACCGAAAGTTACTGATGTTATCTATGAAAAATGCAGGATTTGACTAAGCAATTATTGCAGTTAAATCGACTTACTTGTGGAGTAGGAAAAGTGATTTTTTCCTTGATGGTACCCGTGGCGACATCGATTTTAGATAGTGTTGATCCGAATATGGAGGTCAACCAAAGATCGCCGTTTTTATCAATGGTCAAACCGTCCGGTTTACCCTCTAAATTGTTCTTCGCAAATTCGAATATGACTTTTTCATTGCTTATTTGGCCATCGTTATTGATGTCGTACTGAAAAATTTTGGGTTCCAACGTGTCGCAATAGTACATTTTCATCTTTTTCGTATCCCATGCCAAGCCGTTTGAGATCCCTACATTGCTTCTTTGCCTGGTCACCCTACCTTTTTCAACGCTGTAAAGGGACCCTTTACCAGGAACTACGTTGCCCTGCCCGTCCTCCGGACCCATCGTTCCTGCAACCAAACGATAATAAATGCCAATAAAAAATAGTACTGTACACTCACCAGCCCATAGTCTGCCCCAGGGGTCCACTTTACCCCCGTTTAATCTATTCTTCAATAATTCCGGCTCGTTTTCTACTTCGGCAATCACCGCGTAATTAGGCACTTCGGGACTTTCCCCGTCCCATTCTACAAACGCGAATTTCCTGCCAATTCCCGCTATAAATTTTGTTTCCGATCCTCCCACTGGAAACATGAACGTCAAAGGCTCGTTGTATCTCCCTGAAATGATCAAATATCCCAAAAAATTGAGTAACTACACCTTGAGAACTAGAAAAAAATGACCTGGTACTTACCTACTTTGGCTTTAGTTAATTTCTTATCTGCCGGTGTATATCTGTAGACAGTGGAATTGGGTAGATCTACGAAATAGAGTTTCTGTGTGGCCTCATCCCAATGGATTCTGGTACCGCAATCCAATTGTTCGCTAATCGGTACAAATTCGTAGTTCATTTTACGATTTTATGAGGAACCTGTAACATCACACGATCGAAAATAAAGTTTTTATGTAAAGTTTGCAGTCGTAATTACTTTGATTAGATAATGATTGTCGCAACAGAGCGCGGTGCTTTGTATGTTTACTGGGTTACAGGAGCGTATTGATCAATAATTTTATAATTAATGTATAAAAGATTGTGATTTGGTATAACAAAAACTATCTTACTACTGTGAATCCTGTAAAAGGTAAATGAAGATAGAATTAAAGAATGCAAAAGTGGCTACATTTTTTTAATTTCAAGTAAATTTAGTGTTAGTTACGCTACTGTTTTAATTACATAAGAGAAATCAGTGTCGTAATCAGTTAGCTAAAAATAAATATCAGAATAAAATAAAAACATGGAGAAGGTCAAGATTAAATTTCTCTCGCTAAAAGTAACCACCACCCAGTAAAATACCTAGCGGTTACCTAACTGAGCTTCATATCTAAAATAAATAAATATTTACATTAAATTAATAAACATTTAAATGATTACAAGTACCTGTTTGAGATTTGAGATAAAAATAAATCTTGTACTGTGGAATTATTTAATTTCCATTAAAATTTCCAACTCCCGTAAGACAAACGGCTCGGTTTACAAGATAACGGGGGTAAATTCCAAATATCCTGGTATTCCAATCGTATTGTAATTTGTGGATTAAATTAAGATTAAACAAGATGTGCTGTTGTTATCCCAGTATGTAAAAGTACTTCTTTTAAACAGATTAAAAATTGTTGAAGATAGATTTGTTGTTGAAATTGTATTAGATCGATAAAATTAAAATACGAATACTTATCAGTAATTTCAGTGTGTTTATAGATAATGTCAAAACAAGCGATAAGGCGTTGAAATTTGAATAGCCCGTTATTAATTTCCGTTTCCAAAGGTACTGTTCACTTCCAATACGTTTGTAATTGAGGGAAAATGTAAGTATTTAGTTGAATTTATATTTCAGGAATTTTTTAACCACTGCTGCATTTTTATCTTCGCCTAGATGAATCCCAAAGTGGAAAGACTGGAATCCGTCCCAGCGTGCAAACTGGGCGAAGGACCCCATTGGGACGCCGAGTCCCAAAGTCTATATTTCGTAGACATAATAGGAAGAGCCATCCACAAATATGTACCAGCTACAAACAAGCATACCAGTGCTATCATAGGTAGTATTCAAAATTCGTTTTATATAAAAATTAATTCAATTATTCGAGACAAAATTTCACAAGGTATTTCATTCATTAGGCACAAGTGAAGTTTCTCTGATCCTCCCAATAAAGGGCGAGAAAGGAAGGTTTTTGATCAGCATAGGCAGGGACTTGGCTGTTATCACCTGGGATGGAGAAAGTGAAAATGTTTCGAACATAGAGAAAATCTTAGAAGTGGAAAATAGCCCGGATACTCTGAGTAACAGATGGAATGACGGCAAATGTGATAGACTTGGAAGATTATGGGCTGGTATGTGGATGGTTAAACATAAGCACCAGTGGTTTTAAATTATTCTTGTCGATAATTTATAGGTACAATGGACCAAAAGGCAAACGAAAACGTTGTAAAAACAGCAGCTTTCTATCTGGTGCAAAACAACAAAGCAACCCAAATGCTCAACAACATTGGAATATCAAACGGTACGGCTTGGAGTCGGGATGATAAAAAAATGTACTACATTGATTCTGTTACTCGTTCTATCGATTCGTTTGATTTCGATATAAATAAGGGAACAATAGGTAAATATAAATAATAAATAAATAATTGGTCAATACAATTTTTTTAATTTTTTAGCAAACAGACAAACAATTTTCACAGTAGCTAAACACAATATACAAGGTACTCCGGACGGTATGACAATAGATACCGATGGAAATTTATGGGCGGCGGTTTTCAATGGACATCAGATCCTAAAAATCGATCCCAAGACTCCGGAAACTCTTCTAGCTTCGATTCCTATGCCATCGCAACAAGTACGAGATAAATATATTTGTTTTGATTGGGATTAATGGAGTATTTTTTAGACGACTTCTTTGACTTTCGGTGGTCCAAATTTGGATGAGCTTTACGCTACAAGTGCTAGAATACTAGGCTTAGAAGATTCGCCGAGCGAGAATGGTTCGATTTACAGAATCACGGGAATCAACGCTCGTGGATATCCTAGTGTTCCTGTTACTTTGTAACATTGTAATAAATAAATTCAATTGCCTATAGTTACATAGGTGAAATCTAATAATACAGCATTCCAATACAATTCGTAATATATTATTATTTTCAAACCTCTCGCCTATGCAATTGTTAAGCGATGATTAAAATTAATAAAACGTGCGGCATTTCAGGATTCTCCGCCTATGTTCGTGAAAGTAAGTTCTCGGTATTCGACAAAGCAAATCAAGATTATTTAAAACTATACGATAAACAGTTTAAAATGTAAAATATAATATTACGTTAGTCGACTTCGTTTAACAGTGATTAAGATATTTCACGTGACTGAACCGACTGTCCTGTAATTGAAGCGTAAGTAATTCGTTTGAAATAATTCGACCTTGTTTGTATTTATTGTTTTATGGTTAACGAGAAAGTTAATATACTGTTCTTTAAAGGTATGAAAACGTGCTTTTGCTAGTGGAAAATATGTGTTTTGCAAGATACTAAAGTATTTATAATCGGCAATATGTTTTGGTTAGTTCTGTAATCTATAAATAATTTGTAGAATTAATGTAATATTTTTAGAAACATATCGCTTACTGTATAAGTAGGAACTTGTAAAGTTTGTAATTGGATCATTTACACTTACAGTATAAAGTAAATTGGACAAGTAGATAATCTCAATGCTAATAATTGTGTATTACCTACACTTGTATGTTTATGTTATACTTTTATGTTTAACCAATAATAATTATACATACAGATAAGTGCAAATTTGTACCCAATATGGGTACAACAATAACAACTTCAATTACTATCATAAAAAGGAAAAAGAAAGAGTGATATAGTGGAATTGCAACTTTCTCAGCAAACAAATTTGCACTTACCTATATAATCAAAGACACTACATAATTTACCCAACAATTGCTCTGAAAACAAAAATTACCAACTGAAAAAATAAATTATCTACTGCAAAAAGACCTTGTCCAAACGCTTTGCTTGACAAACTAATCCCAATAAACATCTTACCAAACGCCTCAGATGGAGCTAACGCTATCAGGGCAACCTTTCACTTGCTGGACCTTTAAAAGCGACAATTTAGGTTTGCAGATGTTGAAAATATGTCGAGCAAAGCGATTATCGCGTTTCTGTTCGTTTGCTCATGCTACTGCAACCGATGTTTCAGCGCCGAAATGAATCCTAAAGTCGAAAGACTGGAAGCCGTTCCTCCCACGGAACTCGGGGAAGGTCCCCACTGGGACGCGGCCACCCAAAGCTTGTATTTCGTCGACATTTTCGGAAAATCCATCCACAAATATGTACCGGCAACTAACAAACACACCAAAGCTGTGATTGGTAAATTATTTGCGATTTGAAGTCTATAAATTAACTAATTTTCGTTGAATCGAAGGTGTGGATTGCGTTTCCTTGATAGTACCTGTTAAGGGAGAGCCGAATAAGTTTCTGGTGAGCATTGGAAGGGAATTGGCGGTCGTTACGTGGGATGGCGAAAGCGAGAAAGCGTCGAAAATTGAGAAATTGTGTGAAGTAGACAACGATCCGGAAACGAAGGATAACAGATTTAACGACGGGAAATGCGATCCGGCTGGAACCCTTTGGGCAGGTGAGTGAATAAATATCTTCTACGAGTAACTCTAAAGCGACAATTTTAGGAACTATGGGAGGGGAACCAAAGTATGGTCATGTGAAACCGAATAAAGGCGCTTTTTATTCCTTCAAAAACAACACGCCTGCAATGCATTTTAATAAAGTAGGCATCTCCAACGGATTAGCCTGGAGTGCCGATAATAAGAAAATGTACTACATCGATACACACGCGGGATCCATCGATGAACTGGATTACGACATAGTAAACGGCAAAATTTGTAAGTTTCTACTAGATCAAAGTTAAAGACAACTTATTAACCAAAACAACTCGATTCAGCAAACAGACGGCCATTATTCACGCTGCAAAAACACGATATACCAGGGGGTGCTGATGGTATGACCATCGATCAAGATGGTAATCTATGGATAGCTATTTTTAACGGGTACAGGGTGATTAAAATCGATGGTAGGAAACCAGAAACTCTACTGGCGTCGATTCCCATTCCAGCAAAACAGGTAAACACATCGGAATGGTTTACAAGTAAATTAATTTAATTCCACATTCTGTTAACAGGTAACTTCAGTAGTGTTCGGAGGACAGAACCTCGAAGATCTCTATGTAACTACAGCTAAATTCACTATAAACGATGAAGTACTGGATCCCCCGGAGCACGGCGGTACTTACAGGATCACCGGGTTGAATGTGGCTGGATTATCGCCGAGCGTTCCAGCAGTTTTGTGAAATCGAACAACAAAAACGCATCGTTGTAATATAACTTTTAATAATATTAATAAAATGATATTTATATAAATGTTATGAACTATAAAAAATCACACATATACCTCTCTTTGGAAATTATAAAAGAGCAATAGAAATATATTTATATGTATATATAGTATATAGCTTGTGGCTTACAAAAAAGGCATCATATGCAAACTAATGGAAAGAGTACTCGTTATATCGACAAACTGTTCGTGAAATTGGCGCTGAAAGAAACTGTGTGAATTTCACAAAATGTAAACTTAAGCCGTTTCTATTTCAAATTCAGACAAGATATATTTTTTTGCACAATAACAGTCTTCATTGCACCAAACACTTTTTACGAAACAAACAAGATTAAACCGACATCATCGAAAAGCAATGTAAAAATATTAGACAAAACAGAGCCAACAATAAAGCATGCACTTATAACACGATTTTAGGGCAATAATTTACTAAATCGAAACAATAAATTCGCCAAGGCATCGTCCATCGCAGCTCGTACAGTCGCTAGAATAATTCACAAAAATTCTGAATGAAACTTTTGGCTGGAATTGGATAAATCAAATTATTTTAAAACTGTAACACATTTTTCATTAATTCCTCGGTTAATCTGTACGAAATGCAACAAACGAAACGGCCGATTTGATATTTAACTTGTACTCGTTAAATATTTTGATTAAACATACTTGATACTGCAATAAACCGAAAACGAACGGCCGAAATTTGCGATAGTGCTGACGAAATTCCTCGAAAGTAGTGGATAAAAAATTTGCGTGAAAAATAAGCTTCAACAATATCCGTGTCGTTCAAAAGTAAACGTTAATTTTGAGCAACAATGAAAGTATAGTACTGTTTCAAAATGGATTTCACTGTAAATTCAACTAAAAAGGGTAGAAAATTAGTCTTGCTTTTAGAATTTCGAACTCGAACTGAGCAGAGAAACGTTAACATTTTTTCCACAAACAACGAAAAACAACACAGAAGGCTTATTTTTATGATTTTTTTCAGACTAGTATAAAAATGGTTATCTCAAGTTACCCTAATTTTGCCTAATAACACGTTTACCAGGGTACAGTGCTACACGCTATATTGCAATAAAAATTTTTTGAAAAAGGTTTTTTATGTAATATGTATGTACAGGAAACGCGGTTTTTTAAAATTGCAAAACATACCGATTTGTTATTTTAATGAAATCCTACTAAAGTCTCACAACTAACAACCACCATTTAGTAGCTAAGTTAATAAAACGACATCAAATTAAACCACCGTAGATTACAATGCAGCCAATCGATTTTTGTTTTGCATTAATAAAAAACCACTATTAATAGTCACTAACAAGTAATTATTCTAATTTTTTTGACTTATCTACACCTCGCTGAGCATTCATTTTTTTAACTTGACTAATTTAACCTCAGAACTGCACGTTTATCAATATTCCCAGACTCGATTTAAACTGAATCAACAAAGTGAGCCCAAAACAATTATTTTTATCAATTTTCTTACTGAATCTCCGGCGTGATTGATATTTTTCTCCTGCACCAGCAATAATTCAATCAACAAGGAGACTGTATCATAAGTGAAAATTTTAAGATATAACGCAGTTCTGTTCAATAATGTTGGCACCCAACTAATTTTTTAAACATTCATCTATCAATACCGTCTGTTAAATATAAACCAAAAGATAACAAATTGTTTTACGTATCGGCGCAATGCCAATAATATTCGGTGGTTTTTTAACAAATTCATGTATTGTATTTACATTAGGAATAGATTGAAGATAGCACCATTTTTGTTCTACTCAATTTTTAGATTTGACCGATTTTCTTTCGTTTTTTTTATTGTAGAAAAGGCGTTGAATATTATTAACATTGCGATTGTATAATTTAGAAAGTGTTATTTGGGATAACAAGTTTTGTACTATCACTTTTAAATAAAAAAAAAACACCAAATAGCATCTTCCAACTTCGAAGTATAAAAAAATTGCTCTTTTTAATGGTAAATTCACAGACAAGCTGGCTGAATAGTCCTTTTGAAATTAATTCAAAGAAAAAGGACTTCAAACTTGGGAAAGACGTTAAAAAAATAAAGATGGTTTCGAATGTTAGCGTAATAGATATTCATCTCTACAATTGGACTTTTTCGATCATAAAAAAGATAAGAGAGCTCATTAAAATTGCGTTAAAATATTCCTCGAAATTTCGTATTTACCATTTAAAAAAGCATTATAAAAATATGAAAATTTCCTAATTACAAAATAAAAGTCATAGCCTGTCGCATACTAAATTACGTCTAATCCATATCACACTTTTTCCCAAATAAAATTTCCTTACACGTTTTTCCTCTACACGCGATTCTCCTAAATCAAAGTAAGCAACAAAAATAAAATAAAAACACTGTTTATTACATATTTCACGATGACCCTCTCTCCATCAAACAGTCATTTTTATCATCACTTTGCAGCGATCACATGACGACGGGTGTTCCTCAAAAAAATGCAAATACGATCAAAAACGAATCTCAATTATCGCATTAAAAAAAACATCGAAATCGAATCGAGATTCATACTCCAACCCTCTTCGTACTTTAAGTAAATTCGAATCCATTCAATTTTTTTTGAGATCACCCCGTGTATATATCCTACACCGGCCCGTTACCAATTCGCCATGCCGGGCTTATTGAGGGTCATGAAATATATTTGACAAGAGGAACCGCTTTTCGCACTAGAAAAGAACACTTTATCGTTTCGCTCGCACAGGAACTTTAACCTTTGCGATTTCTTGTGCATAAACACACCGTCCAAATGTCCCGATTCCACTGCTCTGATCTCGATCGCCTTGTTACCCCAGCCCATTATCTGGCCCGTGCCTATGTACGCCACTGACGTCGGCATTTCGCCCCACTGGAAACACGCCAAATTAGTATCGAATGTAATGGAAAAACGATTAGATATAAGCGGACTCACCTGTAGTAACATGTTTTTGGATATCCTACCGTAGGTGTTGACATAGACGCCCTCGTTGTCGTAGCAGAGTAACAGTTGCATGCCCTTGCTGTTGGGTAGAGTGACTATGCAGTGCGGAGATATTCCAGTTTGGGCCTTCGAAGAAAAATAACACAATAAATACGGTTGAAAGAAATTAAACGAGGTAAAAAAAAAGGTTTTTGCAGAATTATAATCGGTTATCACACGTTCTTTTTCTTCATGTTTTTCGGCGTTTCTTTAACAGTATGACATTCCGTTTTGATGCACGATCTAATAGGCGGCAATTCCACCACCATTCCAGTCAAAGACACCGCCCTAACCGGATGAGTAACGTTCAAAACGGGCAGGGAGATCTGCTTCTTTTTCTCCGCCAATTTCGAGAAACCCTCGCTCAGCACGCACTTCATTTTCTCTAAAAAAAACGATAATAAAAATTGCCACCAAAATTCGCTCATATCGCCATCGATTCCCCGAACTTTTCTCATCGTCCGACGACAGCTCGGACTTGGACGATTGCGCCGACTTCGGCGTCTCCTCCACGATCGACGACACCTTCGGATTGGATTCCACCGACGATTCCGACTCCTCCTTTTCCTCCTCCTCCGCCAACGAATTCAAGTACTCCTCGATCTCCGGGTTCTCCGCCTCCGCCTCGATCGCCTCCTCCAGCGCCAACAGTTGCTCCATGTCGCGCTTGTTCGGCGGCAGCAGACACTCGCACTTGATGCTCGAGCGGCACTCGCAGACCTTCGACGTTCGCTCGTCGGTCTCGGCGCGCTTGGCGACCAGCGAGACGATCGGAATCGATTTGGCGGCGTAGGTGTCTTTGGGCGAGGGCTCGGCGCCGCGGTCGCCGCGCCACGCGGGCTGCATGAAGTCCGGGCACGTCGTGTAGCGGACGAATTCGATGTCGAGCATGCGCCACAAGGCGTCGCAGCCGATCTCCACCACGAAGCCGATCGTGCGGTGCACCAAATCGATCCGGTCGATTTCCAGCGATACGTTCGACATGATGTTCTCGCGCAGCGAGAGGATGAAATTGTCGACGTCCTCCTCGTCGTAGATGCTGCCGAAGTTCAGCTTGTACGGCTGGTCCATTTCGACGATCGATCGAAACGACGGGGGAATGTCATTTTGTCGCACGGTGATTTTCGATACGATTACCAACCTTTTGTATTTGCTCGATTCGTTCTACCCATAGATATGTAATAAAGTCGGTAGATCACAGGGCACGTCACAAACGAAAAGGCAACCCACTATACACAGTATACAATAGAGGGTTGTCTACGATCGAAAAAATGATTGTATTGCCATCTCCTGTGTATGGAAAACAACTAAAAGGATTGTAATGTCGTTTCAATTGAAGATATATAACCGTGCTGCAACCTTTTATATTTCGAGCGGGTTCGATTGGTTCTACTTACAACTTTGGGTAGATAGATGTCGTAGACGCTGGCCGAATCCAAATCGACGGCGTGGAAACCCTCGTTGCTGCCGTAGATAACTTTCAACCTGGTGCCCTCTTCGACGGTGAGATCGACCAGCAACGGTCGATACGTCAAATCGCAGAACGATTTGAACGCCATGAATTTGTGGTAGGGCTTCGGGGCCCAAGCGTATATTTCGATGCTGTCTTTCAGCGCGATGACCAGGAACTTTATCCGTTCGTATTTGACGATTTTGAAGTGGACCGCTCCCTGTAGATCGCCGACGTTTATCCAACCGTTTCGCCTTTCTACTTGCTAAAAAAATAACCAATCAGATCAATCATTATCTATCTGATGATATTATTTAACAATACACGTACGTCGCTGACTCCGTCCGTTCGCAGGATTTTGCTCTTCAACCAGCTGAGGTAGTAAACTCTCACTCTGTTCTTCTTGCCCGATATAGTCACGAGGATGTTCTGTCCTTCCAGCACCTCCATCTGCTGGAAGCGCCTTCTCGAAATCAACTGGTACACCTTACCCTGGCCGCTTCTATCCAGCAACATCAGCCCGTGCTCGGTTCCGATCAGAAGATTCACACCTACAATCACCAAGCTATAACCACAATTCGATTATGTTCGCATCATTAACCCTTTACACAATCTTACAACTGGTAGACTTGATTACAGAGGGTTAATAACGCGAAAAAAGGGACTAAGGTCGGATGATTTACCCCACAAGGCGGCGCACAAGATCTCGCTGTTGAAGCGCTTCTTGTACTTGCGTATTTCCGGCGTGTCCGAGGAGATGTCGTGGGACGTGGGGGTGACGTTGACGTTGACGTGGGATTCCCGTCGAGAGGGGGCCGAAGAGGCGCCGAAGCCGAAGGCCAGGAAGGAGCGCTGCTTCTGTTGCAAGGCAAGAGCGTTAGCGTGCAAATGGGTCGGTTGGGATGGGGGTTTGTTCGACGAGGGGGGTTGTATTAGGAACTGAAAAAGAAAGCGAATCGTTAAATCATTTCGTGTGGGGAGTTCGGCCGTTTTAGATTAAGGTAATTCGACGGAAACGTTAAGATTAATGTTAGTAATCTTAAATTTTTAACGTGCTTTTTAGGTGGGGTACATGCAGGTACATTTCACTTACATCCATTGCTGCGGAATTGAATACTTCTTAATCGAACATGATTTGAATATAAAAATACGTTGTTGGTATACACTTATGAGGCTAATTATAAATGGAATAATTGTTCGGGCGAAACTCCAATGTCTGAAATAGTGTATTTTTGCTTGGCCGGTTTCGTTGACACGTGTTTTCTAGCATGTACTTTTAAATTAAATTGACTTATGTTCACCGAGACGATAAATGTAGATATAATGAACTATTTTTAGAATAGATTGAATATTTTCTGCGCGCAAGGAATTCACTGAACAAACACGAAGATGATGCATACGGGGATTTTAATTTCTATACAAATTTTCTTTCGCTCTGCATTGAAGTAAAACTTCCAATGTTAATATTAGTAGAATCCATTCTCGTAGGAGATTTACTAGAATTACCCAATTAAATCGAACAAATAAAACCAATTAACCACAGTAAATAACTTGTTTTTTATGAGTTTTATTCGACTTTACAAATAATATTAGTTTACTAACTAAAGTATTATTAAAGGGAACGGTTATTTCCCGTTAGTTCGAGATAAAAACAGACCAACACAAATTAATATCGATGATTAACAGAAAACGAAATGTTCACAGATCTACGGCTTCATCGCGTATTGCTGAACATAAAAAAAATATTGAACAGTAGACTTTTTATATTTTCAAATGAACTTTAAAAATTCTCTGTTCAAAATTTCCACAAGTATCGTGCAATAGTTGACGAGAAGTGAATTAGCGATCATGCCACTTTGATAGTTTAAAGCCTATCACACTACATAAACATGGCAATAAGTAACACTACCGAAACAGCGAATGGAAATATTCATACTTACATTTTAAGAAACACACGATGTTATGGACGTCACTCGTTAGGCAAAAATCAAAGAGAAAGACATTAAAATTAGTGACAAATTTAGAAAAAAAAAACATGAAATAAGAATTACGATTTTTTCCATTAAAAAAAATCTTACTTTAGCTATAACAAAGATATTTTTCTGTGAAAATAAAATAGAAAAGTACACTGAATAATTTTCAACAAAATTCGTGAAGACAGTACATTTGAAACTACCTCAAAACAAATACAAGTGAAACAAACAACACAAAATAGTAGGAATATGTACACAAAGTAATGGTTAAAACAATATACAATGATTTTTAACCAATTATTACAGTTCAAGCTACACCTGAACAGTAATCATTGTATCTTGCAGCATAAAATTTGTATAAAAATGTGATAAAAGTGCAACGTACCTCCTCGTTGGAAGATTTATCTCTGGTCGAAGGTGTGCCTGGACTACCGCTGGCTTGGCTAAGTAAATCGGGTAGAACGCTTTGTCGTGGATGATCGTTACTTCTACCATTCTACAAAAATTCAAACATTAATTCGACGAACAAATTCTTAGAGAAAATAAATCAATTTTCAGCTCCTTTAAAGACTCGTTTAGATGAATAAAAAATTTACGATGGTACCTATCGCTCATTCCTCGCTCCTTTACTATCGACATAAGTGGAGGGATGTGTTAGAAAAGGAGCGAGATTGCAGGGTGAGCGATAAGTCTACCTACCATCATACTTATGTAGTTTCTCTAAAAGAGCTTCCGCTACAAGTAACAATTATTGTTCCAAAGTAAATAAGCAGTTTAACACATAGTTAATACAATAAAAACATGTTTGAAGCATGTAGAAACTGCCAAATTTGTTCCTGAATTAATAAAATTTGTATTGAATATTTGACTGTTCCAAACAAGTTCAAATAAGCTGACAAAAATATTTCTATCCACTATTTAACAAACCAATCATCATTCACCACACGTAGTCTAGTTTAAGATGATCAATGGTGTTACTTTTTGATGTGATTTCGAGAAATATTTTTGCCAAAAACACACAGCAATAATCTTATCCTAGCATAAACAACTACGTATATTATGCACACATATTCCGCTTATAATCAACAACAAAAAAAAAGAAACGAACACAAGACAAATAAAAACGGATTACTCGAAAAGATGGCAGCAGCGCCGCAGCCAGTTCACGTGTCAATCTTCATGCTCATCGGTGGGTATTCTCAATATATTTTTGAGACATGCTGACGCAGACGTCCGAATATCTTGGAATTAAATCGTTTAAACGGGTTTTTTTTCTGCGCAGATAGTAGGGCGACATAACTGGGACATGTTAGAATTAGTCGTTTTTTTCGTTGAAATTTTGTTAATAAAAGCGAGAAATTTTTTGAATTGTTTGTTTCAATATCAACTGCAACAGAACGATTCTTTGTAATGAGCGAACAACTCCGGTTGGTTTTGTTATTTCAATTCAAGTCTTGTTTATAGTAGTTTTGTACACAAACTTTTTTAATGCTAAAAGTATGTTTCCCATGGAGGATTAGTGTGAATATTTCAAAAGTTCCACAACAGAAAAAAATGGCTTAGTATAAGGTTTAGTTTATTAGAAGCAGCACTCTTTCCATTATGAAGTTAGAGTGCAAAGGAACTGCAACTGGGCGATGCATGATAAGTAATTTGTACATTTTTTATTGTGTTCATCTTCTTTACCTCCAAAAACCAACTTGTTTTATTGTTGTTCGCTCATTATATTAATAAAAAATGAGAACAGTTTTCATAGGAAAGTTTGCAATAATACTTACAGTAGAATCGATCCGTAATGGTTATATCAAGATGCAGTACTTTTAGTAGAAGCAAGTAATTAATATTAATATTATTATTATCAAACCGACCTGTACATGTTTACTGAATACTGACATACTCGTAATACATTATCAACTGACTTATTAAATTTGTCTTAAATTTCCTACAATGTTTTAGTAATTTTTTTATTAACAGTTCTGCATAATTTGGTATATTTAAAAATGTTAATCTGACAATTTTAATATACAAATTAGAAGGCAAATGAAGAGCATGAAAATATTAGACATGGTAACCTCCACATTCTCCACAACTTATCCTGCAACTGACTAATCTATTTTTATAAAGCATTAAAATTAGCGATAATAATCACCGTACATTACTAACAAATTCTATAACTATAGTTGTTATTCGTAAAGAAATTTGAGCCTCTCCTTGCAAGTTTTGTACTAAAAAATGATACCTCGAATATCAAGCGAATATGTTCTACAATAATAACCCTAAAGGCTGAAGAAGAATAAGTCCTTTCACCCACAAAAGAATCTATATAGTCTAATTTACCTCCATCAGTATTCAGTGCCTAAACTCTACACATATCTAGCCAACAAAACAAATTAGTATCGATATATACAAATTTTTAATCAAATTATAAGCACCCGAAAGTATTAAAAGAAAAAAAAACAAACCAAACAAACCAAAATTTACCTGAATAAAAGAAAATTCGTCGCCGATGGAATTCGATCCGGCCGATGAATTCGACATGTTCGAGATATTCAAAACGTTCATTTCGATGGGCTTCGAGCTCCGCCTGCGCATGTTCTCAGCCTCCTTGGCGAACTGCGCCTCGACCTCCTTCCGCCGCGCCTCCAACGTCTCCCTGATGCTCCTGCGAGCCTCCGAATTCCTGAGCACCAAATCGGACTCGGTCTTCTCGCGGCGCGGCCGCCCCATCTCCGCCTCTCTCTTCGGCGCGTCCGTCTTCTTCACGTAGTCCATCAACACCGGCTCGCCGGGCGGTTTCTTCGCCGCGCCGCCGTCGGAGCCGCGCCGCCCGTTGAATATCCCGCTCGATCGGGCGCCCTTGTCGACGTAGACGGCCGAATGGCGCGACGCCATCGGCAACAGATCGGAGTTCTCGCGCCTGAAGTTCCTGAAGAACGGGGCGATCTTCGAGTCGCTCTCCATGCGCCGGTGGCCGGGCTTCTTCGCCTTGCCGTCGTTCTTCGACGAGCCGTTCGACGTCGACGAGGACGACGTGCCCGGCGCGTTCGCCTTCGTCGGGAAAAACTTGTCGAAATCCCAATCTTTGAGCAACGTCGCCTCGTCGACGTCGTCGATCTTTTTTTTGTCGACTGCGTTAGCTGCGGACTGCTGCCATTTTGTGTGTGTGTTTGTTTTTTTGGTGGTTGAACATAAATTTATTTACACATGAACGATAAAATAAATATAGTGGAGTCGAAAAGCGACTAATGTTGCTTGGTAATCCTGAAGCATCGACCCTCAATTAACACCCTTTATATTTACGCTTTTTTACAATCTTCACGACTAGCCAATACTACTACTTCTCACGAACAAACTAAAAACATTAGTCGCCGATCGCTCCAGCTCTCAAAAAAAAAAACGTAAACGCCACAGAGATGCGATTTTTAACAAAAATCCAGCCAAACTTCCCAATCGAAACGGAACGCAAGGGCGATACTCACCTTTCTAAGCACCAGCGTTCGATCGCCTTGGGACTCGTCGTCGTCGGGCGTCGGAGGCAACGGACGATTCGGGGCGCTCGAAGTGCTCGAACCGGACACCGCCGTCGCTCCGGGACTGGACACGCTGGCCGTACCTTCGGGAACCACTCCTAGACCGGCCCTGTAAGAGAATTCGGGACTAACGAAATCAACAAAAAAAAAAAACGTAAAACGAGTTTCGGAAACAAAAAAATACGAGATACAGGTTATTCGTTGAACGGAATAATAAAATCGCAACAAAACAGGGTAGGTAAGAGGTGATAAAAATCGATTAGTAATCAACATCAAAACAGTATTAGGAGTACAACGAATACAGTTGAAGAGTCAGGGGGAATAACGATGAAAGTCCACATTTAACAAAAAATAAAGTATTCAAGGCAAAACGAAGTTTATAGCCTCCACTTTGTTTTGTTACAGTATAAGGGAAAACAAAGTTGACAGTCCAAAGTTATAACCGAAATAAAATTAGATGTACTTTCTTTTTTAGATTAATTTGTGAACTACAATTTTTTTTTTCGGGTAATAATACCTACTAGTACTTTTTTATTCAGTGAATAGTTTTTACGCTAAATATAGAATAGTTACAAACTTAATTTTATCGATTTTATGTTCGATGGACTATCATCGTTACATCCCCCCGGCTCATCAGTTTGGTTTTCTATCAAGTTTCCTTTCACTTACAGCGGCTTGGGAGGGTCGCTGGCCAACAAAGTCCCGTCGTTCCTGACCCTTCCGTTGTCTTCGGGCTCCGAATCGGTCTCGCTGTCGACCAAGCCGTCGATGTTGTTGCCGCCTTGATTGGCGGGCGTGTGATTGACGGCGGCGCCGGGCGTCGTGACGTTGTTGTTCGACGCCGATTGGGATTGCTTGTAGTTTCGGTTGCGCGGCGGCGCTTCGGGTTGGTTGGTCTGCTGGACGCCCAGCTCGTTCAGATGGGCGGCCAGAGCGTCCAATTCCTGCGGAAAGGGTTGTTCGGTATTAATAGGAACATTGTTGTGGAAGCGCGGCGAGAAGAGCGGAGGAATTCGAGTAGGTGAAATGTACGAAATGTAAAAAAATAAAAAAACGAAAACGACCTACCTCGGGTTTACGTGCGGGACCCTGCTGTAATAGGTGACAAATGGACATGAAATAAACAGAACAGCTAAATTAGAGAAAGAAAAAAGCGGTGCTACTAAAAATTAAAATACTGACAATTTGGTATGTTGTTAATTACGTTCAATTGGTGTGAGTAAAACTTTTAGTATTTACAAATTGATTCGAAGAACTTTGATGTTGCCTATTATGTTCCAATATTTAGTTAAATTAATTGTGTACATAACATGAAGCTTAAATTGAGCGATTCATTACTAATAAATTTAAAAATCTCCAATATCTGGAACCTAGCAAATATTAAAAAATCTAACGTCAATTTAAATTAAAAGTTTGCACTAAAAACTATACATCGAACGGAAATAAAAAAAGTTCAGTAGAAAGTTAATCGAAATGAGGTATTTACATAAAATTAGATACAAACAGAAAACTACTGAAGACTTTCGGTACGACTTTTACTGCTACATCATAACGTACCATAGGTTTAAACTGGTGCTGAGAATTCCTTTGCTGTTGCTGTTGATTTTGCGACTTCGAACCTCCAAAGTTATTATCTGGAGGCGGAGGTAACGGCCTAAAAATAATACTTAAAATTAACAACAAAATTAATTCATTCAATATTTATCTAGAAGTACCTTCTAGGTGGCGCCGGATCCGGTACCACGATCATCCTTTGAGGAATAGGCGGCCTCGCCGGCGGCCCTGGCTCGGGAATTTCTTCCCGTTCTTTATTTTTACTACTTCTGCAATAAAATGAAAAATTTACATTAAAGTAACCAACAGTAAGAGGCCATCGAGATGTAACAGTATGTTAAATGTTTACCTAGGAGGCGGTTCGACTTGACTAAGGGTGCGTCCTTCTTGAATCTGCTGGAAGTTCCTTCTTAGCGTGTCCCCGCCTGGAGCTTGTATAATACTGCTGGGTTCACCGGCGATCTGAGGCTCCTCTTCCTCATTTTCAGAACCCGAATATCTGTAGTCTTCTCTCTCTTTTTCTTGTTTTCTCTTTTTGCATCTATCGATGTGGTCTTTCAACTGTATTCTAACCTAAAAGGAACACGAAAATAGCGTTATTAAAAACCATCGAAATCCCAAGTTTAAGTATTATAGTACTTGTCTTTCAGTTGGTTGGTCCCTGATGAAAGGATGCTTGAGGAGTTGTTCTGTGTAAGGCCTTTCGTGATAGTCTTTAACCAGCACGGTCTCGATGAAACCCTGGAACTTCTTGTTCCATTTTTTGCTCTTCAGTCGTGGTGGTGGATTCCTCGGGATAAGAAACAGCGCTCTCATTGGATGCAACTGCAAATACATAGCTTATAGATGTGGCGCTTTTAAACGGGATTTTAATACTAATTACCTCGCAAAGAGGCGGTTGGGATTCGGCCATTTCGAGAGCGGTTATTCCGAGCGACCAGAGATCGCTGCGATTGTCATAAGTCGCGTCCGGGTTTTCGTCGCAGGCTATAACTTCGGGCGCCATCCAATAGGGGGTGCCTATGAAGGTGTTACGACGGCCGATTGTACGATCCAGTTGGGCGGAAACGCCGAAATCCACTGGAAAAAAATTAATTTCGCAATTGCATTACTAACGTATTACAACGAAGAATTCGAATAAGCTGGTTTTACGACACGTCGTGCGAATTTTCCCATTCATTAGTTTCGTTTCTCGAATCTATTCATAAAATTCGCTTCCCAACTTTCTTTAACAAGTACTATTTTTCATATATTACATAAAGGTGTTAATTAATAAGCATTATATCACAAGTTCTATTCTTCCTCCTTCAATTCATAAATTGCAAACAAGTGAGCTTATTAATTTCACAGATTGTGATATAAACAGAGAGACAGAGAAAAAACTGAATATACATTTAAACAAGTCGTAGGGAAAACATCAAAACAAAAAAACCGGCGGAAAAGAGATTGCTCGTTAATTTCCTAACTGCTAAAATGATGAATAATCCGCAGATAAAGTTCCATTTAAAAAATAAATGGGAGTACAATTCAGGCGTCCATTAAAAGAAACTTTATTTAAACAGAAAAAATATACATCCACATAACAAAGAGTTATCAAAGTTTTATTAATTTTATCATAAAAATGTTATGAATGATAAAATATGTCTGTATATACATAGGAAATTCGCACTCTCTCATGTACCAAGGTTGTTTATATTTATGTTTAATAAATAAAAAATACGTACCTAATTTTACTTCAGCATTATCAGTCAGTAGAACATTTTGTCCTTTTATGTCCCTATGTATGACCTTATTCGTATGTAAGTAAGACAATCCCCTGAGTATTTCTCTACAAATATACGCTATCCATTCTTCTTTCAACGACTGTCCTTTGGTCGATTTCACCAGGTCAGTCACGGAACCTGAAAATATAAAGAATTGCCATACAATCAACACATTTTTTATGACCATCAATAATGCATTACTCCATTTCACTGTCAACAAAGAGGGCAAATTAACGCTCGATTTACTCGATATTACCTGCTCCACAGTATTCCATGACGAGCCACAGCTGATCGTCCTTTCCCGGTGGAGATTTTTTAATGAATGCACCATAGTAAGTGGCGATGTTTCGATGGTTGGAGTACTTCTTCAACACGTTGATTTCCAGTTTTATTTCCTCCTCTTCATCTTCAGTTACGTCCATCACTTTGATAGCTGCCAACTGACCGGTCTTGGTGTGCCTTCCCTATAAGAATTTACAAATAATCAATCAATAAATTTGTAACTCGACATTTTTTTTATATCAAGATGCCAAAATGTTCTCTATCTCCACTAATAAAGGAGGTTGTTGGTTTGTTAAGTAGTCATACATAGAAAGGTAACACTAAATACATCAAGTTATAGATAAAAAACGCTTCCTTGAGAAAACTACACAGATAAGAACAAGTACCATTAAATTTCGCAAATTAAAACCGGTTAAAGGTACTAAAATGCTTTCCAACGCGCCAATCGTTTGTTTACAATGGCATATTTCTATTTAAACTGCCAATAAAAGAGGCATACAAATACGCGTGATTCATCCCTATCAATTGTACGAGAAAACCTATTAAAGAACCCGAAGTTGCGTGAAGGGAACGGTCGAAACATCTCGAATTCCATGTGAAAAATATCCTATTTCGTTTACACAATATGCTCGCGATTCAGTCACAACATTCTTCAAAAATAAATATGGAAAAGCGATAACGGTAATCAGTAAACAAACATGATGTCATAACATTGCGCTAGAATTGTTTAAGGAACAGCTGAAATTGCTCGTAATAAAGTGAAAGCAAATTCAACGGCAAATCTGCTTTAAATATTTCTTTAATTAATTGTTGTTTTATAAACAGTTGATTTTATTAGGATGATTTAATGCAACGAAATCCTGACACTTGTTGCATAGAAAATTGAAGCGCTACTTTCTTATCGAGTTATTATTGTTATTTATATTTCAGGACATTGTTCTGAGCTATCATGAAATACATAGATATGTAATCGGCGGTTTAATTAGTCACTTGAATGATGCTAGTAGGTGATAAAACAGTACTCGTGCTGAAATTTTACAAATGTTTTCAGGCACATTTCGATATTAAAATTAGATCGGAATTTGCATAAGGTACTTTTCCAATCAATGACCAAGGAAACTGGTGCAATTAATAACCGTACGTTATGAAATATCAACGTTATTGGACTAATAACATTGTAGAGAATGGTCGTTAATGAACGCATTTAACTGAATTTTCATGTAGTTTGTACAATTTTATTTGCGATCACCGGGGTTTGTAGTAAACAAAAACAAATTGTTACAAAAATTCCACGTTTTTATTCTATCGTGATTTAATTTATACCAAGTATTTCATTTATTTCCCATGCATGATTTAAGGTCGCACGAAAAACAATGGGCGATAATCAGACGTGAAGTAACAATGAAAAGAGTAAAAGGAAACACGGTATAGATTTTAATTCGAACTGCGGGCTGTTGTACCCATTAAAATTAGCCAATAAGGAAATTAAACTAAAGCCAAATTGAAAACAATTAATATATTTCAATTAGCGTTTGCTATTTATCGCTAAACACACTAGAGAGGATGATTAATTGAATCATAAATAATCCAAAAATAATGAAAAGATTCACATTATAATCCTCCAAAGCTCGAGCATTATATTAAAACAATTTGCTCTGGATTATGTAACTGGTAATTGCTGCGGCATTATTCCTGGGTTTTCACTGGAAATACAAATTTAGAACGTTTTTATTATCAGCCATACACGAGCATAAAAGAAATTAAATTTCACACATGAACGAATCGAACAAACATACCTATAAAAACGGCAGGTTCGGAATTATTGTAAACATTACGTGTAATTCGTTATGAATTCGTAGCTCTTATTTACCTCTTAAATATAAATAAAATTTATTCTCGTTTGGGTTTGTTTTATTTCAGTATTATTTTTAGCTGTACTGTAACTGCAGCACAAAAGCACGCAGGAATCGTTAAGTTTTTCTAATTTAGCTGCTTTTCTAACAGAGCTCTAACAAAAATATGATCGTTATTATTTTGGCTGGATAATCCTAATGGCCGAGGCCAAAAAAATTGAATAGAAGATAAACTTTTTAACAAATACTGCAATAGATAATAAAAATAGATGTAATACAACTGTAAAAACCACAATTAATTCTAGCTCTATGATAGTACGATATCTAATACATATTTATTTATCATAAGTATGCATTGAAAAATGTTTTTATATAAAAAAAAGCATTCGACATTCAACCATATCAATCTGATAACGTGCTAACAAGTTAAATTGGAAATAAATGCAAATTCAAGTGCATACAATGTAATTAAAACTAAATTATTAACTAATGAATGATTATTAGACTGGCTCGAAATATTAATTAATAAATAATGGTAATAGCCGGCTTCCTAAATATTTTTATAATTAATTAAAGCGGCAAAACCGATGAAAGCCGAGACTAGATAAAAAAAATGGCTGTAGTACTTTCTTCAAAGTATGTTAATAACTTATTTTTAAAAAGAAAGCTACTTATTAAACATTTCATTATTGAGAAACATAACAATTTAAAAAATGAACGTACTTTAAACCATGAATATTTAGAGAATACGTGAAAAGATGTATCGAAAGCGAACGGAATCGCTTTAAAAACGACGAGATTTTCGTATTTAGTATTCGACAAACACCCTCTATGGAAGGAGCGAACGAAGGGGGACCTGCACTTACAAGTGTGCGACGACCCGGTCGGTATTCGACCAGTTCAAGGACGAAACGAATGCATATTTTAATAATTTACTTTTCCTAAACTTCGCACAAGATTGTAAAATACTTAGAAATGTTCTAGGTAGATACAAAAATGTACAAATATTTATTTAATCAGTAGAAAAAAAATATGTTTGCTATAGGACTTTACCGTGGGTATTTATCATAATTTAATTTATTTTTGAGAATAATAATTTTAACCTGCTACTTTTTAGTAAAATATATTTCTTTTTTGACAAGTCAAAAATGTCATTTCTGTCAACAGCCTACTGTTATTTTAAAAACAACAAATCTTAACTTTCAGTTGTCAAAAGTGCAAAAGGTAATTCGTAAAAGAAACCAAATGTATTTCCTACTAGGCATTGTAGAAAATTATTAATTAATTAATATTCTATTAAAATAAAAGTCGAATTTTATTAAATTAATTTGAATACGATTGCATACTAAATATTACTACGAGCGAAGATTATTCAAACTAGCAAAAAGGTTAACGTTCTCAAAGTTTTACGACATTTTGTTCCACTCATCATCGGTTCTAATTAATCTAATCTCATTGTCTCTTCCGAGAAAATTTAAGATGACACATGCAGGCTCGTATTAATTAGAAACGAAAAAAAACCGAAAAAAAATTATAGAAATTTCACCTTGTAAACTTGTCCATAAGTTCCGTTACCGACGACTTCGATCAACTCGAAAATACCAGCGGGATCCTGCAAAAGAAAATCGTTTCGATAAAAAAAAAGAAACAGTATCTTCTGTTATGCTAACTGGATGAATCACACCCATAAAGTTGATATGTTTACATAAATAATTAGCGCCGAAAAGTCCGTCTCTAGAGATCTTTGAACCGCGGCAAACGTGGGTTTTTAATAATAGAAATTATCGGCTCACCTTTAGGGCCGTCAAGTCGATATCGTCCAGCGAACAGTTCACCGATGGGGGCATTTGATGCGCCATTTTGATTAAGTTCACTCACTTCGCGATCAAAATAACACTGTTTCTCTTCGAAGCGGCCGTTAGTACACTACGAAATTAGAGGAATACGTCGAGGACGCGGCCATAGATCCGATAATACCTAGTATCGCGCCGGTGCTACGATGCGAAATGCATTTTTTTATTCGAAAAAATCGTTCTCTTTCGGTACACAAAACATGTTTTCACGGTGTCGGCGCACCCTTCTCTGTCGACAACACGACGAAGACAGAGAAATTGATGTTGCCGCTGTGCCACGACACAAACTTGCGACGTTGCCGTTACCAGCTGTCAGTTCGATCGGTGGCTAAATCTACGACAACGGGTATTAATAAATGTTGTCATTGGTAATTAACAACAAAAATTAATTAAAACATCGCATTGATGGTACATATTAAAAATTTAACTAGTATTAGTGTTAAATTTTTGTGTAAAACAAAATTAGCATGTCGTATGTGATGTCAGATGTGGGTTCATTTTTGTCTAAGTTTACGCACCCGTGTTTTAAGTTTTGGTAACCAAAATTCAGTTGGTAGTTGTGAAAATATTCTTTTAGGATTCAAATTACAATTCTCATATTCACTAATTTTACCGATTTTTTCAACAGAGGAAAACCAAAATATTTTGCAATTCCTATATGAAGCTGATTGAAGTGCGATTCATAATCTCAAAATTGGGTAATGTTGGTTGCGTACTTTGAATATTTGTTATTTCAAAAATTGAAACACAGATCGTCGGGAATAGTTAAAAGCGTGAAGGTCGAGTATGCTCTGACAATCAACAAAAACTCAGTTGTTTTATGTTAATGAAAAATGAAGTGCGACGATCATTTCAATTATATTAATTAAAATTGTGGTGTTGGCGCAATATTTTAGTGACCACAGCAATAATTGATTAATTCAGAAGTTTGTGAGGTAATTATGATTTTCGTTATTATTTTCTATTTTCCGTTTTCTCAAGAATCGTTTATTGTTTATAGTATGCCTAAGCGTTTGCTATGCAAGCATATTATGCAACAATTTACCTCTTTAAATGGTGTTCATTCAATAGTTTTAATAATTTATTACTTCTAAATTTTAAATGTAAATAATAATATAGACACAAGTCTAAAATGTGTTTACACAAGTTTATTTCTAAAATATTGCTTTAAATAGGATTCCTGCAAGCCTCCTGCTCTAGGCAGGTAATTGCTCAGAAGATGGAGCCATGAATCTGGATTTTATCTCGTTTGTTTAATTTGTCACATCACTGTGATACTTACCTTTGTTTGTTTGCTTTGTTAAATTTTTTATGCTAACATCGTTGCATTTGTTATACAGGGCCTTTGAAAACTTGACAGTCAAGCCAACTTGATATGTTCATCGCTCTAAGCTCTTTCTTTATAGGTAGATGATATTCCTGCATTCCTGCGGCAGAAAAACGGGTAAAAATAAAACGATTCGTTTAAAAAGGCAACTATATTCAATTTATAACTACCAAAACAGTGTAGTACACAAAAAATAGGGAAATAAACATAGACATTTTTTAGATTAAATCAAAATTACAAAGCTAAAGGACTAGTTAATTGGACAACTTGTTTTTTACGACATGATCCCGAATATCTTTTTTTTTGTATTTTTTGTTAGTGGGCATTTTTTTATGCGGTATGTTAATTTATTTATTGCTTACTATGATATGCAGTTGTCGTATAAAGTTGTGCAAGTCGATGTGAATTTCAATAATTCGAGTATTTCGAGAAGATAATGATGCCTACTAAAATAATAGGCACCAACGTTTAATATTAAAAAAAAATAAAACATTTTTGCAACAATGTATGCCTTCCATAAAACCACTGGGTTTCGAATTCGCATACTCGAATTAAAGAAACTCGCGTCGACTTGTACAAACAAATAAAAAAAAATATCTGGCAGAAGCTACGCGATTTTGCGAAATTCGTACGCGATACGTAAAAAAATAACTAAAATTACGAGTAGACTTATTAAATAAATATGGCTGCTATCTACAAGTCGTACACTGATTTATCAGATATAACAATTTTAATTTAGAGGAAGCCGAACGGCGGAGCGTCGGTGCGAATTTTTGAAATTCCTAAAGGTCCACTTTGAGGGAAACGCTTCGCCATCGGGCTTGGTACATCTTAAATAGTGATTTTTTTATAACTATTTTTCTATGTTATTTATGACAATTTGTTTAAAACTGTACACTAACGGAGCAGGGACGTATCGTTGACGCTTTCAATTCAGATTTGAGAAGCGCCAAGATTTTCTTTAAATTGGAAATATGTTGCTTTAAAGGTTCCACAAACATTTCATAGTTTTATACAAAAGTGTTTTTATCAGAGCGATTTACAAATAATTTAAGTAGTTATTTAGATATAAATTATACAATTTTTTATTAAATTTCCACAGAAATATTTTTATAGAGTTTACAGTAATTAACTAGATTTTTTAAGTAGCCAATTTTAAAAATAAGTAGGTTCTAATTAGAAAACTAAACTATTCATGAAATCACTCTAATAAAAGATAATTACAATGTAATTTTATAAAACCAGGTGTTTTTGGGGGGAGTTTCACTGGTTTCTAACAATAATAAATAGTAATATTACATTTAACATTTTTATCATACATTTTTATAAAATGTAATTAATAAGTAGTCAAGAAATTAAGAGACAATTAATTTGCATCTTAAAGACAGTCGTTTATGAAACCTTGTCAGTGAAAATAATATAATAGAGTAAACCTATAAAAAGGATTAGAAAAATTTGGGGTACCTAATTTTCTATTAATTAAATAATAAAAATAGATCAATCACAGACAATTCTCAAAATAATTTAAAAAAGTTACAATTATAATTATATATAATTCTAGGCGTCTATCTACACACATACACCATCCTCGCATTCGTTAATCGTCCTATTAAAAAAATTTCGAAACAATCAAAAAATAATTTTTACGTTTAATACTATAGTTTGGTATTTATTGTTTTCTATTAGAATCAATAAAATCTGATTAAATTCCGTCAAACTAATTTTAGAAAAAACAGTCTCGGTTGACATTTCAACAAATTGATTTATATACAAGGATCATTTTTCACATTATCGTTCGAAATTTTCGAAGCGATTTTCCTACATTCCGATCGAAGCAATCGGAAAAATAGTACATTCGCAAACATCGTAGAGCAATCAGGTGAATCATCAACTGTTGAATAACTTTTGCTTTATTGCTCTACGTGGTTTATGAATGAACATAGCACATTTTTTTAAGTAGATTCCAAATACTTCGTTACACTAAGCACACAGTGACTGCCAAACTGCCACGAATTTGAGACCAAACGGAATAGTATTTAATAATTTGATCGAATTAATAAAGATTTTTTGACTAGTGAATAGAGAAAACGATTGCAATGATTCCAGAGTACCAGGTATCACACATCCAGACTTTTTGACAGGCACTATACCTACGAAGTAACACTAAATTTAGATAATCCACCCATATAAAAAAAAACCGAAATGCTTCAACTACCACACAACGTGTCTCTTAAGCAACTCCTCGCATCGTCAACATCGAATAAATCATTTGTTCCTCATCGTCTCGATCGACTTTCTCGCACTCTCGAGTCTTTATTCGTGATTTTCGTTTACATGCAAAGTCTCCTGTCGACGTAAATCCGCGAAATAACGAGCGAAATCACTAAAACCACCAAGGAGGCCGAGCACCTGCCGCCGCCGCCTCCGACTCTCGTCACGATCGGCGGCGGGTCGTATTTGGGCGGCTGCGAATCCGGCATTCCCGAGCGCGATTCCCCGTCGTCTGTAACAAAAAAAATCGTGAATATTTTAATTGATGCGTTAGTAGAGGTCGCGTACCTTCGTGCACGTTGGGGCCGTCTCCGGAGCCCGATCCCCTCGGCATGTCCTCGTCCTCTTCTATGTCCGGACCGCTCCCGGACCCCGAGCCTTCTGTGCCGTCCCTTTGCATGTAATCTGCGTCCACAGCGGATGAGTAATTGGGCCCTAACGAGCTGACGGCCATCTGAAAAGACCCAGCAGAATTCAAAATTGTGTATTTTTACTAACAAGAAATCGGTTTTCGCGTCAAGTTTGCGCAATAATTAGTACGATTTTCGAATTCGATGATTCAGCAGGAGTATCGTCATTAACCTGTCGAATTTTCCAAAAAAATGTCCGGCAATTTAAATGCAAATTCGAATCGTAGTCGCAATAACGACTGCTTTGTTCGCTAATAACGGGCAATTTTCGATATTTACAAACGTTTGTCGATTGACTACATACGAAATTGCTTTTATGTTTATTGCACTCGCCCATCATGCGAGTACGGAGGGCACGGGAGAATGAAACAAATCGAGCCAATATTCCCATAAAAGCGCGACATAAACACACGAATTAATACACCAATAAGGAAGATAATTATAGACACCGATGATTTCTTCGCAGGTGCGTAGGTGTTCCCTATAATAGACGAAGATTTCGTATATCGAAGTCACGAGTTCAAAATCGAAACTGTTAATATTTGATGGCGAGAAAGATAAGTAGAATCTTCCAATAAAACGGATGTACGCGCTACTGATGATCGGATCAAATCGTAAGTGCAACTGCAACTACTCTTCCGACCTGTCGACATATATCTATGGTGATTTATTCGCGAGTAAGGACTCTCTATCATACAGTTGCCGTGTAATACATTCGCCGTACACGGCAACTCGAAGACTAACGATTGGAGCACAAAAAGGGATATCGAAAAACGAAATAAACGAACTTACGTGATGTACTCGCCGTAGTTTGTCGACCAAATTAGCCACTCTCGGATCGATGCTTTGTATGTTTGTGCTCGGTTTCACCTCCGGATTGTATTTCTGCATATCGAAACCGACGTCCACCACGGTTTTCGTGTATCTGCAACAAAAAGGACCTGAATTCACCTGAAAATTTCAACACCCTGTATATCTCAAACCGATTTTCTAGTCGGGCACCTAACGAACCTTTCAATTAAAGCTGACTGATTAATAGCGAACGAATTCCAAGTGCACGAGCTTCAGCTACTTTCAAATTAACGGCTTCTCCGCAATTCGGGCTCTATAATAGAGCGAAACAACGTTCCAGAAAACTTTTAAGTCGACCTAACAATTTCGGTAAACGTTCCGTCGTTTACATTCAAATTAGGCGGTCCGCGAAAAATAAAAAGTTTTACATAAATAGTGGGCTATTTCGAGCACAAAACAAACCAGCACAAAACGAAATGTACTTGCTTGTAGGGCGGAATTTCCGTGGTATTCTATTCGAAGTCGGAAAAGAGAGTAGCGATGTAGAGCGACTTAAAAATGGGAAGCCGGGAGATTGAGTTCAGATGGGTTTTTCGAATTAATTTTTCCTCTCCGGCTAGATTTTGCTCGGGTTTATTTGTGGATACGCCATATCGATGCCTGATAGCATACGTACAGGTATGCAAACGAAGTCAATTTCCATTTCGCGAATTTTCACATGGCGCATTAAAAGTTTTCCATCCCCTCGTCGGGCCGACCAAATCGAGTTTTCATTACAAAGTAAATTAAGGGCGAACGAAGGGACGCGCGTATTTATTCGAATTACGCAAATCCGATTTCCCGCGTACATTCGAACCTTTTGTAGCGCACTTAACTAAAAATTTCAATTATTATGCCCCATCCTATACGAACCGCCAATCAATATTTTTTGATTTAAACTCTGTGTAATATATTTTAATTGATCATACATAATATGAGATATTCCTGATACGAAATTATAACAGGTCACTGGATATCATAAATGCTGTATAGACTCTAAACTTTGGGAAATACATTTAATGAGGAACTCGAGAATAACTCTTGCCAGGTACAGTGAAATTTCAGAAGATTTCAATATAGATTTTCGCAAGCACTAGCTACAAACTCATCAAGGCAATAGTGAATTGAAACAATCTCTAAAATTTCTACTATAAATAGGGATTTTACTTACTCGGCAACCCTTTCGCCGTTCCAGCACTGCTGGTCCTTTCTCTCCGCGAAGGACTCGTCCTGGCAAAGGGTGTTGGCCAAATTGGCGTAGAAGCCTCTCGTTTTCCCGATGGCCGCCAAAAATTGGCTCAGCTCGTTCTCCGGCAGCGGCGAAAATATCCTCGGTTTCGTGCTCCTCGGTTTCGCCGGTATCGACAGCGGCGTGCTGCTGTCTATTAGCAGGGGGTTCTCTTTCCGCGAAAATTCCGGCGTACCGCAGATTTTCTTCACCTGCAAGAAAAAGTCACGCTGTATTCAATCCACTTCGGAAAGACCGCAGTGCTTAAAATAGATTCAGATGCAGGCGATTATACACGCGATCGTAAAACCACCCCGTTTGCGGCAACAAAGTAAATTTAACGTTGCAACTTGCAACAATTAATTTGTTTTGTCCGACCGGCGACCAAACTGAATCCGATGAAATGAGCGCGTCAACTTTTCCGATTAGTTTCGGTCCCGAGCGGTTCGGATTTCTGTCGCCCGTAAAGAGGAAACGGAATCATCTGTAGCTAATTTGACTCGATGGCCGAGGGAAACGTTTCCTTCGCTTTTTTGGACCGTTAGTGCCAATTTAGCCGGCAAAAATTAAGAGCTAACGCGTCCTGAAGTTGAGCTCGGAACGTGGGGCGAGTGGGGATATACTGAAGCTGTAAAAGTTTATGAAGGTAAATTAAAAAGCGAGCAAAACCAGTTGCGAAATGCGCTCGGAATTAATTGTTATGGAATTTTACAACTTTATTTTACCGGGTGTAGGTAATTGACTTTTTCTCATTTTTCATCAAGTGCCTGTATCGAAAGGAATTATATTTGTATATTGAGCGAAATTAATTTTCATCTAATTTTTTCTGAATCCAATTCGCAAAATTCACTCCACATTTGAAAAGCGCAACTCTCATAGCCCTTTTGATGTGGAATTTTCGCTAGTTATTTTTAGTTTGTTAATTCCAATTTTCAGAAATACATTCGCTAGCGTATTAAATTACTAAAGCATTCAAAAAATTCTCGAAATACCTGCAGAAATTTAATTACAACCTACAGGGCTATTAAAAAAGCTATGAAGTTGCTTTAAAACATTATCATACTAATTTAATATAGCGAAACTGTTAGAAAATACCAATTAATTAAATTGCCCGAACTTTTCGAAACAACTATTCCGCTTAATTCGAAAAGCACAATTTCCATCCTATCTAAACATAAACATTCGAATATTATTGTTTCGCGTTATAAGGCGATCGGTAAACAAATTCGAAAACTAGTTTTCACACATCATCACGCATTTCGCCAGAGGCAGCGAGAAAATTACAACTTAGATCGTGTATACGCATTAAATTCGTCCTTTTTTTTCTCCTAAGGACTTACGCCGTAGCGATATGATAATTAGAAGCTACCGAACCCAATGTGTTTACATAAAATATTTATTAATACATGGGAAAGATTGTGGCAGAAAGACCGAACTAAAAAATAAAATATGTTGATCTTATCAACGTGAGAGTGCCAGGTCGAGGGACGGATTCAGGAAAATCCTACAGTATTGAGGAATTTTCTGTAAAATATTTGCAAAAGTAAATTATAATTTATTGCTAATGACTCCAAATTGCACATTTAGAATACATGCTGAAACATGACAGAATTTATGAGCGAAATAACAAAAAGTCTCCTTCCTCTGTCAATCAAGATACAAAAGGCGTAAAGCGCCCATTCGCGATAATATCTTCAAAACGGCGTTTAATATAATAAATTTTCGTGTAGGCACCTATCTTCTACATAATAAATCGTTTTTTTCCTCGCTAACGTACAGCGTTACGGCCGACGTTTATTCAAATAATTATTTATTCGACGACAAATACCGAATGTTAAACTAATAGGCGCCATCTTACCGTTGAAATATCGCCATCGAATTAACGTACGTCGTGCGCGAATAACCCATAAATTTTTCCGGTCGAGGCCCTCGCGGAAAATTCATAAATCGCTTTTCGAACGTTTTATGAATAACGGGCCGAGATTTTAGATAGAGAGAATAGTTTAATGAATACTTAAATTTTAGCCGCTCTCGACCACCCGGTAATTGAATGAATTGTTTTCAACGTTTTATTGCAGCTTTGGCACGAAATTTACCTACGTTGACTCGCGGAAAATATGTTTTTAGATGTTAAATTAAGAAATTTATAACTTGGCAACATACATTTAATCCTCAAATACTCTTTAAAAAACCCAAAAAATGTATAATAACTGATCCCTTGAAGCAGATTCAGTGCAATTATTAATATTTTTCGCAGTTGTAAAGCTCATAGAGCTTGCTGCAAAACAAATAGCCGAATGTTTTTGAACGGATTTAACATTATAAATTATCATCTTCTGCTGCGTAATGGTAATTTGTTTATAAAATACTAAGCGCATTAAAACCGACAAACGGTAGCGAAATTAATACCAGCTCATTTAACCGACGCTCGGCTATGACAAGGCAACGAAGAGAAATAGTAAAAAGCTCGTTTATTAAAACGAAAATAACGATACATCAACAGTGCATACGTACGCCCGACGTGAACCTAATAAACGTTTTTTTTTTCGGTTTATTTGTGCAAAACAATGCGCTATTTTTCCCGGACTTAATGGAAAACGTATATCCGCCTAAGTAAGGCAATACCGTAATACACGGAAGAGTGGAGAGAGATTGAAAGAGCCAGAAATTTCTATGCATGCTAGAATGGAAAATGCTTAATAAGAGGAAAACAAGTTTGAATATATGAATAAGGATTCTATTCGTTTCTTTCTTTGTGCGAATTATGTAGAGGATATAGTGTTAATTAACTAATACCGTTACATTAATATTGCACCTACAAGAGATAGGCACTGTAATCAAATCAGTAGTAGATTAGATTTGTTAATTAGATTTACTGAGCTCCTGTAGAGATTCTAATTATATACTAGTTTTCCTGAACATCGCTAGTATTTCGAGTCGATTAATTGTCGTGAAAACAGCCTATTTTGTCGTTATTTTTTCCACACAATCGTCCTTATTTTTTCGAGTGCTAGACCCACCAGAATAGATGGGAAATTAGAATAAACCCTCACTACCCACTAAACTACTTTTTATTTTTTGCAAAAAGTCTCTTTTTGGTCGGCGTAAACGAAATTCCTTCGGAAATAAAAACAACCGGAGGCTCATTTTTTGCTTAACAAAACCGTGACAAAAAGCGCTCGTTTCTGACGCGTGGAAGCCCCCACGAAATTGGGAAACCTTCCAACATAAAAATTCATTAATTGAAAAAAAACCGACTCGAAAGGAAAATTCTCGCCCCGCTGGAAATTCCGCAAGGCGATTTTTCATCCGAGTAAACCCGAAAAATCAAAGTTTACGCCCTTCGAGGACGCCGATCCTGTGGGATAACCGCCTGAAAGGACGCCTTATCCTTTCGTTACGAGTTACGATCGAATTTTGTCTGAATTTCGGAGAAAACCGTTTAATTTACACATTTTTAAAGAAAATAACCACTACCAGTTGATAACAATTTCGCCAACACATAATTCTTAATATGCTAGACATTTAGTTATATCAAGGAAACTATAAATAATAAGTTTACCATTTAACATGTTTATTTCATGACAAGTACTAAAGCGCCTTTGATTAAAATTTTAATTAAAATATCCCTCTAAACTTTGGAATTAATTAAAACCGTAGCTATAGAGTTGATAGAGTTTTAATGATTGAAAGATTGCGAAAACTTATTACAGCGCTCGTGCAAGTCAAGTAACAACAAACTAACTCAAAAATATCGAGTATCACATCAAAATTCCAGGTGCGAAATCCTCCCGCTGGAAAATCTCCAGAGCTTCCGCAGTCGCTAATGCACACAACCCGATGGCGCCTAAAATATAGTTCTAACATAATTCAATCCCGATTCCGTTACTTGCATAATTCGATAATTCAACATTCACCTCAACCACTCGGGGGAAACTTTCCGCAGGCGGTAAAAAGGTGAGAAACGTACGAAACATAAAACACGGTCTCGGGAATATCACTTAAGGGAAATTACGGTCGATGATGAAGCGCTGAAAACTGGTAAATTTTTAATGCCAAATTCACTCTTTTAGGAAATTTCGATTTATCCGTTAATAATAAACATTCTTCGCGACTCATTGCAAATAGGTCAAAGAATTAATTACAATTTCATAAAATTTATAGGTTGTGGGTTAATAAATTTTGAAAATATTAACTACTAAGAAAGGATTTACAAATTAAATTTTTGTACAAAGTCTTGCAGATACAAGAACAATAATTTGATAAATAGAAACAAAATTTTTGCAAAAATAGAAACCGCTAATGGGTATATAACATTTTTAATAAACCTTTACAAATCACGCAATTTTTCGTATGCACGCCAGTTGTGAACCTTCCAGGCCTTTTGTTAAACTCTCATATAAGGCCCTTATTGTCCTCGGCTGCCCTTTGGCCTATTGTTTGTGCGTAACACGTGACGGTAGTTTCGAGCGGAGGCTGGGAAAAGAATGCAGAAATCGTGAAAATATGCGATTCGGCCGCTCGGCTTATGGGACAGCAGGAATTTGATTTCATCGACAGGAATATTACAAGCGAGCGCAAGAACACAACGTCGCGGTTCGATAACTCGAATATAAAATTCAAATTCGAGGGCGAATTTCGACCGAAAGTTTTCCCGAGTTTGTCGATAAAATCGGCCGATTTCATCGTAAAATTTAATTAGGTAGAAGTATAAGAGCATCGAGTGCGCTCTAAATATCTACTCCGCTCGGCCGTGTTCTGATTTATATAATTAGAATTCCATTATTCTCCGTTATCGCCGGTCAAATGTTAATCGGATCATTAATGTTCGCTTTCTAATTGATTATTTTCGATTGTAAAAAGCACCAACAAAATAAGCCTGCTTTTGTTGGGTAACCATCACCAAATATCGCGAAATTTACCTTCAAAAGGGAATCCAAAAATGGAAACAATATTTTCCGTGGAAAATATGGAAATCGCCGACCGTATGCGAATTTACTTAATACACAAAGTGGAGCCGAAATAAGCCGAAAAAAGCGCGACTGTCGTCATGCCAGATGAGCTCTTTCCCATTTCCACGTTCCGGTTATTCCGGATTTCTTTCGTACGGAAACTTGCAGTTTGAAATAGAAAAACGAAACCAAGAGGACGGATCGAAAGACCGGGTATAATTTGGTTTGGGAACGGGATTGAGTAGATGAGGGAATTACCG